AGAATCTAATTAATAAACCTACCTAGTCGAACTTTTTTTTCAAGCGCTTGACAAGACTTGAACTCAAGATGTGTTCATAGCGCACGACCATCTTGCCCAAGAAGTTCAAGAAGATCATGCGCATGTGCACAAAAAAATTGTAAAAATTTTTGGTATAGGTAACAACGTTTTTTCTTCAAACAATGCTCATTTGTAGAAGAAAAATGGTCGATTTGGATGCCTTTTTTTACAAAAATTTCTCTTATTATCCGCATGTCAAGAAATATTTCAAGATGTGTCCATAGCGCATGACTTTCTTGCTCAAGATCATCAAGTATGTCATGTGCATCCCAAAAGATATTTGACTAGGGCTAATACTGCTAATAAAGAAAAATAAGAAATCAAATTGAAGATTTTCTATATTATAAACAGAGAAAAATAATGAATAATAAATAGGAATTTCTATAGCTATGATTAATATAGCAAAAAAAACTGACCGTAAAGTGTGCTTGTTTTCTTATGAATCCTATCAGAACTGTGAAGATCTGACAAGAAACATTTAGTCTACTCCTATACCTTTCTTGCTCTTTAAATCTTGTAAGATTTTTTCAATGAGATCTTACAACCAAAATCAGACGAAAGCTTTAAAAAAAAACCAACACATAAGATATTCTAGAATCCTGCACGGGCAGACGTCTGGTTTTTAGACGTGGATTTGCATCTAGTGTAGAATAATGGTAGAAAATAACAAATTACCTATTTATTGGATACGTATTGAAGAAATATATTTGTATGAGCTGACTTATCATATTCTCTTATTGCTATATGTACGTAACTTAATCTTATGAAAGCTTCTCAAAGAAAATACAGAAGAAAAAAAAACATCATATTATATCAAATTTGCAATTTCTATATTAACTCATCAAATAAGTCGTGTAAAACGATAGTTAATGACTCTAAAAAAATAAATCGTTTAAATCAATAGTATTTACTATATACTGAACAAATATTTGCAGACTAGAGAAACAAAAATATTGCCCAGGCGCCAGTGTCAACCGAAAATTTCTAGTAAAAACCAAAAATAACGTCTGTAATCCATGAGTAATCGATGCACTGAAAATGTTTTGATTTTTTAAACGAAATCGAAACCGTTTTAGGTTTCGTAGAGATCACGTTCCGAAATACATAAAAAATTTATCACTAATAAACAATATTTCGTATTAGGCGTTCTCTATAACATGCTTCACAAGTAGTTTTGCACCTCGACTAGATGCAAGATTCTTCCGTGTCCACTGCGTTGACAGCGCTCTTACCAAAACAGAGCCATACATTTTATTTATTTGAAAATAATACTATTGTTAGAGATATCTTAAATATAAGCGGATATCATTTTTTGTGGGATTTCATAAGTTTTAAATTCGCTTTTTGACACCATGTCATGCCACTGGTATATATGACCTATTTTAGTTAAGTATTCTCAATTGAATTAATTTTTGTGTATATAGTATAAATTTAAGCTACATATGAGAAAGAAAACGGAGTAAGTAACACTGGTAAAAATGAAACTTGAAAATTTTTAGACTTTATTTGTGCTTTTGTTGTCTGCTTCTTATCATTTTGTGTTCGATGTTGAGTGAATACAAGCTTTTTCCATTCGAAAGGAATGAAATTGATGTGTCAATATTTATATCATCCTTGCTAGTACTATAAGTCTTGATCAATGATGGAAGTGAATGATTAATAATATCCCATGTAATAAACGCATAATGCTATTGTGCGTACCAAATTGTAACTCAACGATAATATATAAAGAAATAATAGTCCATAAAGTTTTATTTATTGATGCTGTTTCAGTAAAAACATCGTAATCTAAATAGTACATACTGTAGTATAACTCCATGGAATCTCAAACATTTCATTCGACACCTTGTTTTTCCAGTGAACTGTGTCAATCATAAGATTCATGTGTCATGTCCTATCAATATAGTTAGTTTTTAATAAAATATCTGCTACAAAATAAATCAAAATGTTTTCAGTCAAAATTTTCTTGTTTCACTTTCTTGTTTCCATTTAATAAATATATTTATATAGCATTTGATAAAGGTAGATTTTGAAAAACTATGTCCGACTGGCCTCAATAATCGTACGAAACAAAAGGACTTAAATGACCAGCGCCATTATCGATGCCTAAGGAAAAATGAAGATCATATTCATAGTGAAGAGATTCAAACAACAGATGAGTCTAGAGAGTCTGACTGATTTTGTTCCCGCTCCTACATTAGAATTGCAAGATATCAGGTAAAATGTAGGTGTGGTTGTTTTTCTTACTTGTGTATATCCACTTCCTTGATCCATTCATACACAACAACAAGAACAACAACGACAACGACAACAACAACTATTATTTCATCTTTTATGAAAACAGAAATTCATGTCATCTTCTACAACAGATTCAATCACAAGTAAACAAAAGTCTTCAGTTGACAATATCATTTCAATGGTTCTATATAATTAGATATTCATTCTATTAAAAATACTAAACCTATGGACATGAACACTTTTCCGCTCTGTTTCAAAAATTAAAAACAATTTCTTTCACCATATGGTGCTCAGGTATTAACTAGGCCTAGGCAGTTTCTATATTATGCTACGTAGACTTTATTTAAAATAGAAATTTCAAGAAAACATTCATTATTGTACGATGATTCATATTAGAGGGTTCAAATAGAAATAGAAAACGATAGCGGGTGAATGATTCTAAGTACGAGTTCCTTAAGTAATTATTTTGAATCGATAATAACTTTGAGTTAAGAGAAAAATGGAAGTAATATTGCGTATTTATTTTTCCAAAGTTTTACTTTTTTCTTTCTACTCTATCGCATGGATACTAATGTCGAAAGAAACGAAATAATAAATATATAGTCACATGTTGTATCGACATTTTTTTTCTTCGTCTCCTGCTCTGTATTGCATGTTGACATGCTTTTTTTTCACGCTAACCATACGACAAAATAATTTGATGAAATTTTTTCTCAACTCTACACCGATTTATTTTGGACAATTATCTTGCTTTCACGATCGGAGTTGAAACTGAAGAAAAAAAAGAATCAATCAACTGCTGTTTAAATGAAAATTCTTATACTCGGTGGATATGGAATCTTCGGCAGTCGACTAGCACGGTTATTGGCTAGTCAATCACAACTTACACTATTCATCGCAGCTAGATCGATCAAACACGCTAAAGAATTGTGCAATACCCTTCATAGAAATGCAGCAACAATACATTCTCTCTATCTCGATCGTGACAATTCAAATATTGAAACTCAATTACGATTGATTCAACCTGATCTGTTAGTCGATGCTAGCGGACCATTTCAATCGTATGGCAAAGATCCGTATCGCGTTATAAAAGCATGTTTAGCAACATCAATTAATTATATCGATTTCGCAGATGGATCGGATTTTGTGAAAAACATTAGTCAATTTGACACAGAAGCCAAGGCCAATGATATCTACATACTTTCTGGAGCCAGTACCTGTCCTGCATTGACTGCTGCAGTAGTTCGCCGTTTAGCAAAAGGATTAACTCATATACATTCGATCAGAGCTGGTATCACTCCATCACCCTATGCTGATGTTGGTCTGAATGTAATTCGTGCAATAGCAAGCTATTCTGGTAAGCAGATAGCGGTGATGCATGCCGGTAGATTAACATTTAGCTATGGATTTACGGAGACAATGCGCTATACAATATGTCCACCTGGACATCTTCCATTGTCGAATCGCCGTTTTTCATTAGTGGATGTACCTGATATTCGACTCTTGCCTGATTTGTGGTCAGATATTAATACGATTTGGGTTGGAGCAGGACCAATGCCAGAAGGTTTACATCGCATGCTCAATGGACTGGCATGGTTAGCTCGATGGCGACTGATTCCTAGTTTGACACCGTTTGCAAAATTATTTTATAAGACAAAAAACATCGTGCGTTGGGGCGAGCATCGTGGTGGCATGTTTGTTTCGATTGAAGGAATTGATAATCACGGTCAAAAGTATGAACGATCATGGCATCTCATAGCTGAAGGTGATGTTGGTCCTTTTATTCCTTCGATGGGAGCTGCAGCAATTATTCATTGTGTATTAGATGGAAAAATACCGGCAAGGGGTGCACGACCCGCCACTATGGATCTTGAACTTGAAGACTACGAAAGATTATTTTCGACTCTTGATATTCATAGTGGACAATGGGATTTGAGAAGAACAAACACTTCTATTTCATCATCAAACCTATATAAACAATTGCTTTGTCAAGCATGGGATCGATTACCACAGTCGCTGCAAACATTACATAGTGGCAATACAGTAAAAGTGATAGGTATTGCTCAAGTTGAACGAGGTACCAATATCTTCTCCCGATGCATAGCAATGTTTGTTGGATTTCCGAAATCTGGAAAGGATGTACCGATTCAGGTACTGTTCCAATGAAAAGCAAATGCTGAATTGTGGACTCGGACTTTTGCAGACAAATCCTTTTCTAGCTGGCAAGCATCGGGTTCTGGTCACTTGCAAAACTTGTTGATTGAACGATTTGGACCATTTTCGTTTCATCTAGCACTAGTAGTTACTGCTGGAAAATTGCATCTCGTCGTGCGTGGTTGGAGTCTTTTTGGCATACGGTTGCCTGGATTATTAGCACCAAGTGGAAACTTCTATGAATTTGATGATCATGGTCGCTTTAATTTTCATGTCGAAATTAAACATACATTCACAGGATTAATTGTACGATATTGTGGATGGCTGATGCCTGCTAATTAATTTATTAGCTTGAGACAATGTTTTACACCTCTTGTAACATACACCAATGTAAAACTTTCACGAGCTGTGTGGGTATGGGCAAATACGACTGGCAGATTTTATGTGTATGTTAGTCACTAGAAGATGTACACTCATAAGCCCCGCACCCCTCCCATACACTCACTTAGCCAAAGCATAATCTTGTTCCATGCATAAATGGAAAATAAAAATATTTTTGTGATGTTTCTCATAGCAATTAATTTTTTTCTTAAAAGTTTTCAATTATCTGCTTTCTCGTTATAATTTTCTGTTTATTCGAGAATTTTGTCATACTTAGCGAGGATGACGTTTCGTCAAGTATTTCCATATTTCAGTGTTTATGTGTATCGTGAACATTGAATTTGAATCACTTTTACATCATGTTACAGCTTTTCAAATAATTGCTGAATATCAATATTGACTTCCTCTTATGTAGTATCTGTAAAGTAAAACTGAATGATTTTTGCGTTCTTGCACACGTAATGGAAGGAATTGTTTGATGGTTGCAATAATAGAAAATTTTTATTCAACTGATGTAACTAATTGAAAACTATAAGATACATGTATGCAATATGTAGGAAAAATTCAACTTTCACTTCATTTGGTGAAAGCAATTTTGCTGTAACTCGTATTCGAACACGCTGTTGTTAGAGATTACAACTATTCGGATTGTCAAATCATTCATCATAATCCTAATGAAAAATGCATTTATATGATACCACTCTTCAGCTATAATTATCGAATGAATTCATGGAAAGCATACGATTTTCAGAAAGAAGAGCAACTGTTTGAACTGTATATCATAGCACATCGAGTTATCCATAGTGAACATTAGTGATTTGATATACTTTACAACAGATGTTGTGTGTTCACTTGACTCAACGCGCAACTCAACATATTTCAGGTTGATTTTAATTCAATTTTAAAAAGTTGGCATAATCAAACTCATAATAACATAACGTAGTTTTTGGTTTCAATTGCATTGATAATTGCCAAAGCATGGTCGAAAATGCATCGAAAACCAAATCTTCGTGAATGAAATTATGAAAATCAGTGATTATCTTTCGCTGATGACCACATGATTTCTATTTTGCTTGAGTGATGGCATAATCCCGTTACACCGGGTAACGACTTCATTGCCCTAACGATATAACTATATGTTAAAAGTTGAGGAATTTGAGTTGTTTTGGTGTAATGACCTTTGGGATAACAAAGTGCCTACCCTAAACATCGTTACACCAAAACAACTAAAATTCCTCAACTTTTAACATATATTTATATCGTTAGGACAATGAAGTCATTACCCGAGTGGTAGTCTCGGAATATTTTGGGAGCATTCATCCATAACCGAGTGGGATGTAGATATTGATGCGCTTCGTATGGCATAAGGTTAGGATACTATGACTTTGGATTCTCATTACCCAATGTAATGGGATTATGACATCTATGAGAAAAAAAGGATGAATTAGAATTGAGAAAGAAGTTATTCATGTTTTTCAGCTCCTCATTTATATGTGCTTTGACAAATTCTTTGAATTGTGTCTATAGATTCACTTTTTAAATATCGTTAATTTTTTATAATTCGTGAGATATCAAACATGAGATAATCAATAGGATTTACTGACCATTTGTTTTATATAAACTATAGATGAAAGTAGAATTACTCGTCGTTTTTTATCAATTCCCGTGAATCAATTATGTTGAAAAAGAATACTATGCATAGAAGAAAGACAATTACAAGATTCATCTAATTACATATTCACCACTGTTGTACTATTGTTGTACATGAATATTATATACAAAAATCCTAGATTGTTGAGATTTGCTTTTGAAACTCGTGAATCCTTCTCGCAGTTATCTGCAATTTTCTGCAGTCAAGTTCTTTCTCATTCCATGAAATGATTTTCAATTCTAAAGTATTCTTTTTTCGTATTACTCCATCAATATAAAGCGACATAAATGATAATAGTGAATTTAACTTATCGCATTATAATTTCATACCACGGAAAATCTATTTAATTAGTTCTGAAAGTGCATCATTCAGATTCAATAGTAACATGAACCAGCTCTTCAAATGACTGACGAACAATATCAAAAGTTAATGCACGAAAAATATTTTCTTATTTTGTTTGACAATCAATATCCTTGCGGTGCATGTCGTGTGTTATAATCCTGTTGGTTTGATAGGATCTGCCAATGTCATCAAGTCTGATGTACTCCATCTTATTGGTCCCGGTGCTGAAATCTACATATAGTGAGCAATTTTTTATTTATTGAGCATTTTGTATATATTTTTGTCGATGTTTCTAACGATATTATTACGAGATTTTCAAGTACTAATGCGGGAATAAAAATAAGGATACTAAATGCACAATAACTAAGTTATAAGCTAGGTGTCTTTTCTATAGTATTTCTTTTTGTTTTTGAATGTATATATATATTGTGAGTATTCTAGAGTGGAATATTTGCATGCTTCTTTTTTGGATTTTTCAAATTCTTGGCTGCAAGCAATTCTAAATCGCGACAGATACGTTGACGAGTTGTATTTGGTTCGATGATATCATCAACAAAGCCTCGCACAGCAGCTGGAAATGGATTTGCAAATTTGTCAACATATTCAGCTTCGCGTTTTTGAGCATCACTGCCGTGACCTCCACGAAATATGATTTTAACAGCGCCTTGTGCTCCCATTACAGCAACCTGATAGAAAAGAAAAGACAAGGAATAGAATAAACATATATATGATTATTATTTTGAATTACTTCAGCTGTTGGCCATGCATAATTCATATCTCCACGAAGATGTTTTGATGACATGACATCGTAGGCACCACCATAGGCTTTGCGAGTAATAACGGTTATTTTTGGAACTGTTGCTTCAGCATAAGCAAATAAAAGTTTGGCACCATGACGAATAATACCATTGTGCTCTTGAGCGGTACCAGGTAAAAATCCTTAAAAAAAGAAGCATATTGTTGATGATTTGATATTTCTCCATAGGAGATCGCTTACCCGGAACATCGACAAAAGTTAAAAGAGGAATATTAAATGCATCACAGAAGCGAACAAATCGAGCTCCTTTTACAGATGAATTGATATCTAAACAACCAGCTGCTACTTTGGGTTGATTGGCAACAATACCAACGGTTCGACCATTCATACGACCAAATCCTTTACAGAGAAATGAATATAAGACGAAAGAAAAACTACAAAATTATTTCTTGCTAGTTACCAATGATAATATTTTTAGCGAATTCAGGCATAATTTCAAAGAAATCTTCTGCATCAACAATGGCATGAATCTATGAAGAGCAAGACTTGTTCTTTTCTTGTAGTATTGAAATTAATCATGATTACTTACAACTTCTTTCATGTCGTAGGCAGCAGTTGATTCTAATGGTACAACTGTATCTAATGAATGCACTAGACGATCAGGACTATCATCATTTTCTCGAATGACTGATCCCTGTTCTTTGTTTGATAATGGTAAGAAATTAAAAAGTTCTCTTGTACGCAAAAGTGTATCAATATCATTATCAAATGCAGCATGTGCTACTCCACTTTTAACCATATGAGTGTTGGCTCCACCAAGTTCTTCTTGTGTAACCGTTTCGTTTGTAACCGATTGTACTACATCGGGACCTGTGATAAATAAATAGGATGTTTGACGAACCATAAATATGAAGTCAGTTAATGCTGGTGAGTACACAGCACCACCTGCACAAGGGCCCTACAGAAAAATAAACATCAAATCAGATGTTCCCAAGTTTTCCCAATCTGTCCGAAATATTCATTATTGTCTTACCATAATAAGAGAAAGTTGTGGAACAACACCACTAGCCATAACATTTCGTTGAAAAATATCTGCATAACCAGCCAGCGATTCTACACCTTCTTGAATACGAGCGCCACCACTGTCATTTAAACCAATAACTGGTGCTCCGACAAGCATAGCTTGATCCATTATTTTACAGATTTTTGCTGCATGAACACTCGATAAACTACCACCGAAAACAGTAAAGTCTTGTGAAAATACATAAACAGGACGTCCATTGATAAGACCAGAACCTGTTATAACTGAATCACCATAATATTTTTCTTTCTCCATGCCAAAATCTGAACAACGATGTTGTACAAACATATCATATTCTCGAAATGAATGAGGATCAAGTAGAATTTCAATTCTTTCACGAGCCGTTAATTTGCCTTAAAGAAAACTTTCTATGTAATCATCACTAAACATAAGTCAATTACCTTTTTTGTGCTGTGCATCAATACGTTTTTTTCCACCACCAAGTAGTGCTAATTGTCGTTCGCGTTTAACTTCTTCTTTGACTTTCAATGTATTGATACTTCCAGCACTGATAAAACGTGACTGAGCAAAACCACAATTCAACACACGCAATGCAGCTAGACTTCGAAACATGTCTCTCTGGCGCTCTTAAACTTTTGTCTAAAAAAAATTGAAATCCGTCAAAAAAAAAGAAAACAACACAAAAATATTCTGAATATTTTATTTATTCATCATAATCAAAATTATCATTCGATAGTTCGCAATTTCCATGATTAAATGCTTTATAGACTGAATCGAAATTAAAAAATCTTAAGAATGGTAATAAAATATTTTTATCTTGCATCGCTGTGACTGTTAAAATTAAACTTGCATTTTTCGTAGCTGATTCGACCTTATCTAATTTCCAATGGAGAAATCTCTGAACGAATTCTGGCACAAGTTTTTCAGAGAGTTGTAAAGATATGATTGAAAAATCCTTTGCAACCGATCCCCATTCATATTTAGTTGCTTTGGAAACAATTTCTAATGTTTTCAATGTAATAAATGGGATGCCAACAACATTATTAAGTATGGATAGCGCAGCTCCGACCACCGATCGAACCATTTCTATAACTTGACTGTGGCAAAGTGCTTTGGTTATTGAACAGCCAGCAACGCATGAATATGGATGAGTCGATGGGCAATGCTGCCAACAAATAGGACCAACGCCGTAAAACTCTCCATAACATTGTTCATAGCAAAGAGGTCCAAAACTTTCATCGTCTTTCGAACATTTTAACGCTGAACCAATACCTCGACCATATTTATTTCGTAAATAAAATCGTCCACATACACAACCGAGCTTTATGTACTTTTCAGGACATGATACACATGAACTTTTAACTATGCCACATTTATCATACCATGGACATGAACGATTGGATAAACGAATGTCGATACAAGCAAAACCAAATGATGTGATATTTTCACATTTTTCCCAACAAATAGGACCGACGCCATTAAAACCAGTGCGACATAATGGATAACAAAGAGAACCATCTTGTTCAGGTGCATCATCGGAACATGTATTCGGCAGACGACCGATACCCCGCATATACGAATGGCGCCAACAAAACGGATTGTACATACGAAATATTTCGTGCAAGACATAGGTGACAGATGTTGAGATATCGATTTCGGGAACAGGAATAGCATTCGAATTGATAGGAGATGGTGTTGTTAATTCTAATAGATTTTCTTCTAGGGTTCTAAATTTGGAAAACAAAAAATTATGATTCGAAGATTAAAAAATTAACTTACGTCTCATTCCAATTCGAACCTGTTTCGTTAGTCGCATTTTGAGCTATTATTTGATAAACAAGTAAAATAAACAAAAGAAAACCACGCATCGAAATAAACTAATACAACGAATAGTGCTCTTTTTTTTTGTATATAACCACAACAAACTATTATCGATTCATTCACATTTGCTATCATTTTCTTATCCTGCTCAGACGATTCTCATATTTCATAGAAGTGTGATACATCGCATGAAAGAAAAAAACAAAAAAGAAGAACAGAAAAAAGAACGATCTCTGATTGAATTTTTAAAATACACAATAAAATAAACCAATGTTACAGTTCGAACGATTTATGAATATTACACATATTTCGACTTTTTCTTTACAAATTACTAGAGTTTAAAAATACTTAACGGAAGGATTTTTCGTCATTGCAATTACCATTATTATTTGTTGGATTATTATTGGTAGCCACAGCAGCCGCCCGTAATTGATCAAGACGTATAACTGAATTGTATCGTGGAATATTTCTTTTAAGTATATCTTGTATAGGACCAAGAACACGTTCAAATCGTGCACGATCCATTTTAACGCATTTTAATGTACCTTTAGCAACAACAGTTGCAACACGTGGTCGATTACATAGTAGAGCTATTTCGCCAAAATAATTGCCAGGACCAAGTGTATCCACTTCAATGGCTTGAGGCAATTCAGATGTTTTTTGGTAGACAATTCCATTGCCCTTTGAAAGAAAGTCCCTTTTATTTTTTTCTTGTAAAAAATTAAACCGTCGTGCAATATACTGTTTATTGCTAATTATTCATGATGGTACCGAAGGGTGAGGCGGAAACCCACCGGAAAATTTTCTTAGCCTGAAGAAGTTTTCTATGAGATATTAACAGAAAGTTTGGCGCCAATCCTTTTCTTTTGTTTAGTTGTAGTCAGAAGATTCTATAGAATTAGTTTTTTCTGAATGACATAGGCTAATATTTTCTTTTTTATAGCAAAAATCCTAATTTCTAATTACCTCAACAATAATGAAAAAGTCATCGCCAGGATCTCCTTGTCTCACAACAATATCACCATCTTCAAATTGTATGGGCTCCAATGAGTCTGCTACTGTTAAACGTTCCCATTCGTCAAGTGTCTCTAAATAATCATAAAATTCAAATTCGATTGTTACATCAGTCGCTCGTTTCTTACGTAGTATTGAGACATTGCTAAGAAATTCTTCATACATTTTTCTTTTCTTTATAGTTGAATCCATTAGTATTCTTCGATAAGTTTCTCCTAATAGTGACCAAAGTTTAACATCAGTTTTAGCTTTAACTGTTGCTGCTCGTGGTGTACCATAAATAAGAGCCAGTTCACCAAAACTCGAGCATTCACCAATACTCTTAACAAGTTCATCGTTCACATACACCTGACGATTAAAAACAAACAAGCAATGGAATTTTTTTTGTTTTGAAAATAGACTTACATCGACTTCGCCTTTATCAATAATATAGAAATTTTCGCCTTTTTCACCCTGTTGAATAATTGTATCACCAGCAAGATGAATTTCAGGAAACATGGCATCAAATATTTGTGCACGTTCATTCTCATCTAAATGACTAGAAAACACAGAAGAGGTCTAAAAATAGAGACTCTTCTATGTCCAGTACCTGAATAGAATATTTTTTTTAATCGCTTCAGACAATGCGCACATTGTGGCATAATCTTTTTGTACGATTTCTCGTACGAAAGGAGTCGCTCCACTTGTTCCAGACGATGATTTTGATGATACGGCTCCGCGGCGTTTTTTCACCATAGCAGGAAATTCAACATTACCTTCTTCGCTCATCATAGAATTCTAAAAAAACAATATTTTTTTTCCTTCCATAGGAAAAACAAAACAAACAGAAAAGTATATTTCTCGACTGTCTTTCTCGTCTAACTATTTTCTATGTTGATCAATGTTAAATATGAAAGGCGTGCATAATAAAAAAAAAAGAGCCTTTCCTATACTCGTGAATACAATGAGAACGGAATAATAAAATATGACTTCTGTTTTGCGGCATGTTGTGCTCTGTTTTTCTCATCACTAACTTGAGATTTTTTCTCTCTTTACAAAAAGCTTCTTAGCGCAGCCCCTTTGGAGCTAAAATGTGGAACTCACATCTGTCCATTAGGCTTACTAAAATAGTTCAAAATCCTCCATCTGAAAAATCTTGATTTCCAAAACCTATAATTAGGTCATTGCCTATTCGCTTATGTCTGTAATGAAGTATTGATTGTTAGCTCGTATATTTAGCAATGACAGAGATTAGTTGCTACGACCTGTAATGAGCAAGCATTGCTTTTTTCGTGTAGTCTGTAATTAAAAAAGGAAGAAATACCAGCCTAATTAGCACAATTTCAAACTCATTAATATCTGTAATGGAGGGGAGGGGTCGCAAAAATCTCACTCTTAAATTTACACTCACCATTTTCTTCGAACATATATGTGAGTTCCACAAAATATATTTAATTAAATACAACAACATTTATCTAATGAACTATTTTACTCAATGATTTAATTATGTTATGGATGTATTTTCAACTGTAGAATATGTTCTTAGCAGTTTTATTTACAAAAAAAACAAGGAATATTCAATGATAAAAATGCTCGCTGTTAGGTTTTCATGACAGTCGTGAAGTGAAAACAACTTGATGAATATTTATGGTTTACTTACAGACACAGCTCACTTTTAAATATTTCCTATATCATTTTCTCGTCAGAGAAAAATAATTATTTGCGAAGTTAGATTACTATGAATAGCTAAGAGGATAGACATAGTAAATAGTAGACGCAGTGTTCTTTCAGTGTGTGATACTTTGTCAAATGCTATGGGGCACAGAAAAAAAGTAAAGAGCTATCTGGAAAACTATTAAATAGCTAGAATATCGAATATGAAGATAGAATTTAATTAGTTTTTTTTTATGTCATTTTCGTATTGAATGACAAAAATCTACATTGTCTCAACTATGCTCATCATCGATCACGACATACAAAAAAAGAGTAGTCACCGACATCTATAGAATAGAAATAAATATTTTGTTTTTGTCTGAATAGAAAATTTCTAACCGGATCATATGGCTGACTGGAAAAGTATTGTTTGAGAAATTGAGCAGGATTATCAGGTTGATGAATACATAATTTATGCAAACAATCTTTTATTAATTTCATAATATCATATTCGTTCATATAATGTTCACATTGGTTAAGTAAGAGATCGACGTCTACTGATGAATTCATATCTAAAAGTATAGATCATAGTTTTTTGTTTTCAAAGTCTCATCGATTAGAGAAACGTATACATTGATTTTGTTCGTGTGTTTTTCTTTATCTAATTTTTTTTATATACATAGATGATTGAAGGGAATGACCTAATTTGCTCAATAGTTAACGAGAAAAAAAGAAACCGTTGAAGTTTTATCGTCGATGATGACGTTCTTTGGATGACGAACTATTTTCATGTCGTGATGATCTATGATGATGATAATCATTGTCTTCTCTTGAAATGAGAAAAAGGAAATTATTTTTTTGTTTTTCTTATAAATGTTTGATGATATAAACCTGGAAGATTCTCGTTGTTTACTACTTCTATCATGATGATGATGATGATGTGACGATGATGGTGAACTATGTCGTTTAGGTTTTTCATCGTTGGGCTCTGATCGATCCTAAAAAATCGGAATTGAAAGAAATGCTTTGTGAACAAAAAAAAGAACAATTCGTTCATACTCGTTTGCGGTTCGATAGTTCTGGCTTTTGCTGCACATTCCGAGTTCGGTCTTTTTCAAGCATTTGTGTTTTACGTTGCTAAAATAATTCGCATATAAAGATTTTTGGTGATTAGCTATGATAGATCGACAGACATATGCGAATTCGCTGCATGCTTAATATGTTGTCGTTGATCTATCTCTAATACATTTCATGACGTAGCAAACAGTATCCTACGATCTAAGAAATAAGCGTTATGTATGATGCAGTGGCGAGAAAAATAATCGTTATGTTTTTTTTTCTCTTTCTTTGGCTAGTAGATCAACACTCGGCCTTGATTATTCTATTGGATCACGTGAAATATCCTACTGTATTAAGGGGCTCCCCCCCCTCAGGAATCGTTTTTCGTTATTCGTGGACCAATTGGTCTGAGATTTTTAGGCAATATGGATGTTGTGTTAACCCAATTTATTGCAAAGTTTTGGCTCATAAGGTTTTTGCTTTGAAGAGTTATTGACAAATTAGTCCCCAAAATGGTGGTTCTCATAAGGTACCGATTTCTCGAACTGCCAAAGACGTAGAGAGCTACTTTTTTTTTAAATAAAAGAAGAAACCTATGTCTAGAAATGTACATACCGTTTTTTCGAAATTCGATTTTGTTCGGATTTCCGAGACATTCTACTGCAAGAACTCGGAATTTAGCGCTTGTTGACATCAGTGTTATCCAGTTATCTCGGCAAAGAAATCGAATTTCCAAAAAACTGTATGTGCATTTCTAGATATAGGTCTGTTCTTTTATTTAAAAAAAAAGTAGCTCGCTAACTCTTCTACAGTCTGAGAACTCGGTTCCGAACTCTCCAAAAAAGTGATTTTGAGAAAACAAATAAACAAGTTGATGAAACAATTTTTCATTTCACTATAACTGTCACGACATCTATACGGAAATTTCGTCATGTGCACAGGATTTTAAGTAGAAATGACTATACGTTCCACTAATTAATTAATATAACAGAACGCGTATCTGTTTCTCATTAGATAAAACCTACCAGTTTGTGGACGAATATCACATCCCCGTAACTAAGGAAATTTTCTGAAAAAAAACCATATATTTCTACTACTGCTTCCAGAAAACCGCTATTTTCACTGCCAAAAACTATTCAAAACGTGACAAATCGCACATAATCTCAAAGAGGACACTTTGGGCTCTCAGTATATGTGCTTATCTCAAAATCGATTTTCTGAGGGAGGAGCCCCTTAAGCCACTCAACAGATACGAATGAATGGACCTAGAGTGCAATTTTCTTACAGTCGTAAAATGAGTTCTTCGATCGACCACCGGTACGGCAAGATTGCATTCGACGTTTTTCTTTTTTATTTAACTAACGAATGGTAGAAAGAAAAAAAGTACAGCTACAGTATTTTATTTGTCCTCAAAAATCCTCAAAAATGTACTGAAAGTGCAAACGCTGCCGTTGTACTTTGGCATATTGTATTACAAACAAAAAAGAAAATATACCAGAAGATGCACTGCGAAAATTTCTACAGATGTGAAACAGAGACGTGTACAGGGCAGGACGGTCCTTTTGTCCTGTCCTGCCGTCCGCCTGGACCAAGATAGCCAACAGGACAGGAGAAAAAAAATATGTCCTGTGCACGTCTCTGTTGTGAAAAAACAAATCAATTTACGATCTCGCATGTTGTGCCTTTGACGAGTAATATCAGAACACATGGATCGATACAGGTCATCAGTAAAAAAACGCAACCACCGCTAAAATATTCTACGTGTTGCATCGGGGTATTTAAGGACATTTTTCTGCCACACTCTCACAATAATAACTCACGGTGTTCTCTATATTTCAGGAGAATTCCTCGCTCAACACTATCTGGATAATCCGATACTAGGGTATGCAGTATACACTATCAAAATAGTTATTGTCCCGAAAAAATGTTAACTATCGTTCTGTATAACAAAATTACAAAGTATTATATATAAATAATGTATTTTGATTGGTTGCATAACAATAATTCAATGTTTTACAAATGTAATTCCGAAAGAAATTCTTTACAGTTAGTGTGTATGACTCGAGAATAACCGTGAATTGTCAACTACGATCCACTTACAATTAAATCGTCAAGTGTTGCTCTAATTTTTGCGTAGCCTGCATGTTGTTTTCCACTATTGTGCTCATCCAAACGACTTTGTATATCACCAACAATAAGAAATGATCCACAAACAGTGCATACTTCCATAGCTTTATTCATATCTGCATTGGCTTGTTCTTCAGCTAATTGCTAAAAGAATAAATTTAATCGATGGACGAAAACTATTAATTATTTATCTGTACTGTTTCAAGTGTCGCTTTTTCTTCTCTCATTTCTTCACATTGATTTAAAACTTGTTGTGCTTCATCGATTCGACAATCATTTCCAAGTTGTTCTGATTTTAAAACATGTGAGGTGATTTTTTCTTCGAGAAATTTTATTTTATTGATAGTTTCATTCTAAAATTAATATTAAATTATTTTCTTTTTATAGAAAGCAAAAAAAGAAGCCAAGAAAGCATTGCTTTGGAAAAGTAGTACAAGCCAATTTTCATAGGAAAGAAATACCTCGTATTTATGTATCGAACGATTCGTACGAATATCATCTTTGATAATCAATTATTTCCCATTAGCTAAGCGAAATGTTTAGGCTTTCTCAAATCTCAATTTTATTCAGTTGACTACTTTAAAGAACATGATTGGAGAAAAAATTCGTTTATTTACCTTTTGACTATTTGGATCGTTGTTAGCATTTGGATCACCCTGAGTTATGCGTAGACGTTCTTGTCCTCGTTTTATTCGTCGTTCCACATCGGATATTAATGATTTGAGAAAACGTTCTACAAGGAAATAAAAATATATTCTTTAAAAACAAATTACTATTTACCATATTCATCTTCAAAACCAAGCTTTCCATGACGTGAACTTTTCTGATAACTAAAATTAATAAAGCGAAATAAATAAATCACTTTCTGAACAAAATTATCATTTTACATACTCTTGTTGAAGACTAATATCATGAATTTTATCACAGGGTCCTAGAAAAAAGAACTTGTTAGAAAACAAAATAGGAACAAATATTCGTTTTTATTTACCAAGATCTTGTCGAGTATTAACAAATAAATCGTGTGGACAAAAGTCAACTAACATATATTTACAAACCTAAAATAAACAAAATCCAAAGATTCATACATATATATATGTGTAACATAGGATTTATAGAAGTGGAATTCATACATTTGGATCATCGAAACGATATTTATGAACTTTTTCACCTTTCGCTGCATTTCGCCCTTTGCCCATTAATTCATCTAGTAATGACTGCTGCGCTGCTAGAGCCATGAAAAAAAATACCTGAACCACAATACTAAAAAACTAATTGTAGCTAGTATTTTTGCTTATTTTTTTTCTTTCCTGTTTCTTTTTACAACGACAACGAGAACCTTGGACAATTTATCCCATCCATAGTTTTTGCGAGTTTTTTCAACAAATCACATCTCCTCTATTTATTTCACAGATGGCGTCTGTCTACACGAAAACCAGTAGTTTAGGAAGAGCAACTCAACTCTCGTATAGATCAACACTTTCGAAAATTTCTATAAAGCAAATTTTCATTCTCGCTTTTACTAGAGTTAGTTCATACAGCTGAATTAAAATAACTGGTATTCACACTGAAAGTTGATACAAAATCTGAAGTTACTGAAATCTCTATTCATAAAAATACTTAAGCAAGATATATTTCTCTCAGCAGAAAAAAAAAGATTATTTAATGAAGTTCAACATTAATCTTTCCTGATAGAGGGCAGTTTTTATCGGAACATGAAACTTTTTATCTTGTTTAATTTGTATATTGAATTTCTATTAAAATTTAAATGAGAAACGATTTCGTTTTTTTTTCCAGTTCTTCCACTAACGGGATCGACGACGCGAAGTTTGTGATTCACCGATCATCTGTAGATCGAAGTGAACAACACACGTGGAGACGAAAAACAATTCAAATCAACGGTTAACTTTTCTTTTGTTAAAATTCTCACTAAATATTTAGCTAGTTAAAATTTCCACAATGTCCCTTATGGAAACTTCGTCTCTTCATTCGTTCGAGACAAATCAATCTTCTATTCAAGGTTAGTATGAAACAAAATTTATCTCAAAAGGCAAAAAAAGTATTGTACGATTATCAGCATAAGGTCATGTAAAAGAATTGATCTGGTAAAAAAAATTCAATTAATAGAAAGATAATAATCAAATCTATGATTTTTGACGTCTGAGTGCACTGACTAAGAGTGAAATAGTTAGTCGAAGCCGTGTTCTACAACTCTAGATGTTACTTCCGTTACATTCTTAACCTTTTAGTAGTAATGATAGGTCAATCAAGCTCATGCAAATCAACGTTATGGTCACCACCTCTAGCTGTCTAATTATTATGATGACTCTATTGTATGCGCGGTGAAGGATACCTACGGACTTCTATTCTCTCTCTTAATAGCAATAAGATTGAATTATAATTTTGTTTTTAAAGGCTATTCGACACCGCCTCGATCAAATATTCCACCATCAACGAATCGTTCATTTTCTGAACTTTTTCATCATTCAAAAATTTTAACCAGTAATGAACTCAAACGACGTTTTTCTCCGATGAAAAAACGTCGACATCATCGTATAAGAAAAAATGATTCCATTGTACCATTAAAACGAAATCTTAATATGCCTGTGATATTAGAAAAATTATTTGATTACAAAGAAGATCATGTATCCAGTAAATCAATCAATGACAACGATTGTCTAGTTCCTCTATCGTCTGCAAATTGTTCTCTTATATCATCGAAAATAATTCACCCGCAACCTATTTATGATTGTTCCATAGCAAATTCATGCAAAATTAAACAAGAAAAATTATTCTCAATATCCGAAACAACGATGAAACAAAAGTTTCAAACATTATTCCAAAAAAATTGATTTTTTATAAAAATGTCTTGTTTGTTGAAATAGATTTATCTAGATGATTTCATGCATGTGTGTGCCTGTTTTGTTCTATTAGATTTGTCTTACAGATGTATCTTCTTTTTTGTTTTGTCATGTATGTATTTCGATAAAAAAACACATCACAAATTTGATTTAATCTTATTTTCTATAAAAACCAAGTTTTGCAGTAATTGCCGACAGAGTGGAAAGAGTTAAACGAAGAAAAACAATTAATATTCGATGAAATTTGATCGATCTAAATAAGACAAGTTTAGCTATCACAGCGACCAGGCCAAACCACAAAAAATTGTGTAAACGTCTTAATCTAAACAGGAAACAGAAAACTAAGAGTTAATACAACAAAAACAGCACAAGCCTACCTTATATTACGTTTACGACATTTCGGCATATGAGCGAGATCTTCACGGAGTAAATATTGCTTTGTACCCAAGCAATAGATATGCCAGTATTGAGACCAATCAAGATCCGATACATCAAAATTAAATGCCTGAAGGAGGAGAACAGAATAAGATTACTATGATGTCAAATACGCACAAGTATTTTCAATAGTATTGACTTCCGATTAAACGGTCTATCAATCAAGGAAGACGCCACCATGTCTTGCAAACTGTGTAGCAACTTACTTGTCGATCGAAATCGCTCATTTCACCTTGTAAAAGAATACCATTATCAATTGGAAAGATCCATGAATGCAAAGTAAAAAAATCAATTGTACGAACATTTTTATAAATTTTATCACAGATTTTAATAAACCTAAAGAAAAAGAAAAAGAATGATCTTAGAGAATTTTCTCGCTGTATATCCTACATTGGTTTTCGACCAATTAAACGCATATAACCATCAAGTACAAATGCAGGAAGTATTTCTCTGACGAATCGAAGATAAAAATATCGAAATCTATTCAAATGAAATTTTTAGATAAAGATGCTTGTTTTGTTTTTTCTTCTAATTTTCAAATAACCTATTTTCAGTAAATTGTAAATGCGGATAGCTAATAGCATTCTCCATAGATATATGTTCAAGATGACCTAGACCAATTTCCGTAATTTTACCCCACGTTAACGAACCCAAATGACCAGTACAACAATGATATACTGGAATTGTTTTCGGGCTAAAAGAAAGAAAACAAAAAAGAAAAAAAGTATTGAGAAACAATTCAGTTCTTACTGTTTTATTGCTGTATGCCATGCTACAGCAATCATCATGTTTACGCAAATATCAACTGGAATAATATCAGCCATGGCTTGACCACTTCCTATCATTGTTCGGAGTAGTCCTTTGCTTGCCTAAACATTACAAAACACTATTTATATTTTAGACATACAACTTGTCTTACCGCAACAATTATTCCAGTAGCACCATTGTAATTATCAACCCAACCCTATTGACAGTTGTAAAATGGATATTTTCTACTAAAAAAACAATTTTCCATGAAACCTACTGGCATTGGTTCCCGCCATGTACATCCAACAATCGACGGACGTATTATAGCTAATGGAAGTTCTTTTGCATCTTGTGATACAACGTATTCCGCAAGTGCTTTTGTAAACGTATACGTATTAGGTCTATCACTAATAAGTTTATTTGTTAGAGCATCTAATACTTGATCATCCATCCATTCACAAGCATCTAATAGTTTTGACGGTTGAATAGGTGGCGGATAGATCATCTCGGAAACATTATTACGATTGCAATTAGCATAAGCTGTTGATACGTGAACGACAGACTAAAAAAAAAGGAAATTTTAGATCTTTTTACTCCATCATTTTTCTATCGAGGAAGCCCAGTTCTAATTTTAGTGGTTTTCTATGTGGATTAAAACGCTCTCGGGCTTTCGTAATGCGCTTCTGTGCCAGAGCCCCCCGGACTCTATCCGATACGTTACGGTCTTTTTATGTTTACTTGTAATTTTTTCATCTTGTGACACAACGCCAGTATTTTTACAACGGATGCCACATTCATTTGAACAGCTAATCTAGAAAAGAAAACAGTATTATATTTCATCGCGGGAAAATTTTCTTTCTGCCATACCGAAGCGGTTCGTGAAAGCGAACAGTAGCCGCCGAATGGAACACAATATGACAATTTTCGATTAACGTTTGTTCATCGTGTGCATTGAGACCAAGATTTGGATCGAGTATATCACCTTGTAGAGCAAGTATCTTTGATTCGAAATTTGGATTAGCAGCTCGAGCGACATTGAATAACTATAAATCTTATCTAATGAATTTTCTTGAGTTAATTTTAAAAAATAAACTACTTACAGGACTACTCAATAATTCTTTTAGTCGCTCGCTGACAGCGCGACCACGTTTTGGTCGAACGAGAAGATAAATGTGTTCAAGGTCTTAATTTAGAAGAAGAAAGTCTTTATAGAAGTTCCGATATGTTGAAAGATTTCTACCTGGACATGACCGAATAAGTTTTTCGACTAGTTGCTTTCCAATAAATCCAGTAGCGCCAGTTATAAATATTGATTTTCTTTTAAAAAATTCAGCGATGGCACTAACTTCGGTACTTGCGGACATGGTGTTCGTTATCTGAATATTTAAATGGCAAAAATTTATCACAAGATATTTTTTTCTAAATTTTCTTTTCACTGTTCACAAACAAAAACGAAATCTTATAATTGGAAATTATTTCAACATTAAAACATAAGCACACGCAGATCGACCCAACGCTTCTAATGATAAAATGATTTTGTTCGTTTCATTTATAATAATATCGTCAGCAGAAATCGATCACAATGCATGAAAGACCACAACATTTACGATTTGACATCAATGCACAAAAGAGAAAACATTCTTCAAGGCTGAGTAAAAAGATTATAGAATTTAAAAAGAAGTACAAAACAAATACTGATATTAAAATTAATTAGAGAGAACAAAACACAATAGAAACATGTTTATAATAAAGAAAAACAAACGAGGGAGAGAGAAAGAGAATTCCAAGGGTAATAGTATCACATTTAACGTATATGAATATTGTTCATGTGTGTCCATTTTCTAAATTTACTATAATCAACTGAAAACAACCGTTTTTTAAAATTACCAGAACTTACGAAGTTTTTCGTAATATAAAAACGAACAATTCACTGTTTCACCATTGTTCATCTGTCCATGGAGTTGAAGTAGAAAAAATAAAGTAAAGTGATTCATTCATTTTTTAACTTTTGTTTACCGGCGATTATATCTGGCTCGTGCCGATGGTGGTGTTAATCGTGTACCACGATCTCGATAACGATAATCATGACCATTTGATCGTTCTTGATGTGGAAAATATCCATCCATAGTAGGATCATAGCGTCGCGACAACGACGAATACATTGGCATTCCATGACGAAAATAGGATGATGGCGGCATTGCAGGTGATGGAAACGGTGAACGAGACCTAAAGTTCCAGATGAATCCAATACCATCGTCATCATTTATAGATCGTTTTCCCAAAACATGAATTAGCGCCCAGAACAACCAATTCCCAGAAAAGTATTCTTTTATATATATATATATATATACAGCCTACATCATGCAATCATGCATAGATACTTCGAATTTCGTTTTCTTTCTTTCTTAACTATCCTATATATCAACAGTCTCCAGAAATTGTTACATATCCAGAAAGATATATTACGTAACACCAGTTATATTTATATATATATATATATATTATGGACCAAATTATATAGATTTGATGTGATTCAATATTAGTAACCAACTATACCTCGAGTACTGTCTATAGCTTGATGATGAGAATTGATCGTAGTCATTGTCACGACGACGCGATGGACGTCTATCTGTCGTTTGACCATCACATTCACGACTAAATTAAAATGGCAGTAACAAATATTTCGGCTTCGATTCCTTCTTTAAAAACACCTACCTGAAATGTCCTCGTTGTCCACATTTATAGCAACGCATATTTGGATCATGACGTGGAGCACGGTTTCGAGCTCGTGGTCTTGCCCATGTTACCTTTAAACGATTATTTCCAAATGATCTTAATCCAATAACAATTGTCTTGTTTACATTTATCTATTATTTCTACGTCATATCATACCTTCCATCCATATGATCGATTGCTTTTTGAGCTTCTTCCTTGAGTTTATAGACAACAAATGCAAAGCACGATGCACTCGCAACCCAAACATCCAAAAGTGTACCGTAACGTTGAAACATTTTACGTACTTCGCTTTCTTGAACACCCGGCGTCAATTCAGCTATATGAACGCGATATTCATTGGCTCGTTCACTGTCACTATCATGATCCGATAGAGGCGAACGAGAACGTCGTGATGAGGGTGTTGCACTTCTTGATCGTGGCATTTTCAATGAGACAACAAACGAAAATAAATAATACTGAAACAAATACAATGGTAGATTTAGTTAGGTATCGAACAGAAGCAGAAACAAACAAAAATCAGCCAAAGTCGAATAAAGATCTACACAAACGCACAAATAGAGAAGAGAAACATAACAGTTAGATGCAACAAATGATTTGTTCATTGATAGAGATTCATTTTTGCTTTGAGAATCGCAATCGTGGTGGACTAAAAGAAAAAGTTGTATTATATAAGCTGAATGTTAATTTTAAAAGAAACCAGTAAACTAAATTATAATCTATGCGTTCTTTTCGATATGAAGCGATTGCATAATGAATGAAAGCACTTGGACAAAAGAATAGGAACATCTGACTCTACTTGAAAATTTTCATGGAAGCAAAGTAACGATTGATCAAATCGCTATACGAACGAGAATTCACTTTATTTAATTATAAGAGAAAAAAGTCGAATAAATTTTACAACATATGTGCTGACCGAGGAGAGTTCGGCGCTATAGTAAAATTGGTCACCTATATTCTTTCTTTCTGTCATATGTAAGTTTATTATTGGTGTCACGCTCAATTCATTCTGATCGTTACTATTCGCGTTTTCATTGGTCGTACTAATTCTTTCTCATTATTACCATAAGCTCTGTTTTCATCATAACTTCCGCTCGACGAATATGCGTGCTGAGAGACTCGCTTACTCTGCAAGAAAATCCACTGATTGGTCTACAGATTTCGTAGAACTTAAAATAGGAGAATATTCGACCCATAAAATCAGTGAACGGGGCAGGCTTTTTGTCTTGATCTATCGAATGATTACAACATCCAATAGGGTTTTAACTGATCAATGCCGGTTCATATTTACCTACCTTGTATAATAACCGTATCGATTTTCACGAGACGGTGGTGATGCTTCACGAGGACTAGAGAAAAAGAAAAGTCGAATACTTAATGATCAATATTTGAATTCGATTTACCTATAACTGCGATAGTCTCGAATAACTTGAGGACGTGGCGATAGTTCACGACGACGATCTGAGTCAGATCTAAAGAAATACAACAATGAATCATTTTTAATAGACAATGAGATATTTCGTCATGAAAATTCTCAACGATTTACCTTGATCTCATATTCCAATGGGATATCAATTTTAAATATTCATCCCATATTGCCCAATTCTCTCCAATGGATATCTACTCTAGGATAATTTCGTTAACCATAATCATCATTTTTCAATAGAAAACTTACCGATATTCATTGCCATTTTTATTATGATTTCGTTGATCATTACCACAATCTCGACTAAAATGACCACGCGAACCGCATTGATAACAACGCCTTAAAATAGAAAAAAAACGTTCTTTTCTATTCATCTACTGATCAATCAAGCTCATCGTTGACGACGTGAAAAGCACAATGTAAAGATTGTTAAACAAGTAGTTTTTGTCTATTACGATGTGTCGACATGGTCCACTAGTTTCTTTTTATACTTAATCTAAGCTGGTAGATACAATACTAATATACATCGATAATATCAAGAAATCTTACTAAAAAAACCTCTGTGAGGACACGATAAGATTCAGTTATTTTTTCAGTACAAATAGGAAAGATGGAGACAAAATAAATTTTCACTCTTGAAATAGTGTAAATCATCTCTTCTCATTAGAGTTCAACTATGCACGATCGACTCGTACGTTTATTCAAAAACATGAAAAAAAGAATCATAACTATATTGTTATTTAACTTTCTTTCTTTTTTCCTTTGTTTGTTTTGTAAAATCTTAATTTTTAACAATGAATATTTGTTCTGTATATATCCTAGCAACAGTCGAGTTACTTTCAATAAATGATAGAAATTTACAGCATATTTTTAAAATTTTGGAATGGTAATACGATTTATACTGCTATTTTCTTATAGGTTTACATACATGTTTGGATCAAAATTTCTTTGTGCGCCGCGTGCACGTGGTCGAGCTAAAGAAACTCGAACTCGTGCATCACCAATATATCTAAATCAATTTCATACAAATAAATAAAATCATGACGAATATTTACCGGCCGTCTAATTCGCTAATGGCTTGTTGTGCGTCTTCGCGCTGACGTAGAACTACAAATGCAAAGCATGAGGCATGTGCATGCCATATTTCAATTAAAGGCCATTTTTCGAATGCTTTTTCGATTTCATGTTTTGTACATTTTATTGACAGATCAGCAACGTGAACACGACAACCATTTTCTTCATGGCCATCGTTATTATTTGATGAATACGATCGATCGCGACGATAGGATGCTGTCATCGGTGAGCGAGAGTGTGCCATAGTTAAAGTCTACAAGAACATAAAAAAGGACGAAGAAAAAGTTCATAGCAAGAAATAAAGAATAAAACAGTCAGTCAAACTTTCATGCGTTAAAATTTTCTTATTGGAGGTTTGCCTCGTTATTTAAAATTTGCAAATTAATTGGTTATTAATTGTAGTTTTGAATTTTGTTAGTAATCAGAGTTATTGTTTAATGAATATTTAAAAACTTTTTCGCTAGATTTCAATAGATGACGCCGTTTTTATTAAAATTAATTGTTGTTGTAATATCAGTCAAAATCCTATTGGTCGCATTAGATTTATCATACTGTAGCAGGAATTTCAGAAGTATTTACCCGAAAACTTTCTATTTATTTATTACTTATTAACACAATATAAAGCGAAGAATTCATTTGCATCGCCCAAAGATTTATGTATTTATTTCTCATTGGATGTACCTATGCAAATCGTAGTCCTCGTGCGAAACGAGCAGCCAAAGTACAGAAAGAGATGAAGCACCATCATTTCGATTATAGCGCTCTCTTGATTTCATACTTGAGTGAGCATATCACAATATGAGTCTCTTTTCTATTCAAAACGAACTCATAGAAATATTCACAATTTCGCATTAATTGTTGAATGAGTTCTGTTAGTCAAATGCAAAATTCTAAGCAAAAAAGCTTCAACATAATTCTTTAGAGTTGATTCGTATTTTGTAAGATTGTGTCCGCGTCGTCGTATTGAAACTCATAAGCTCAGTTTTACATGCTATACGTTGCGCTGTACGAACAACATTGTCGCGTACGTCTGTGTGGGTTTTTTCCAACTTATGACAAGTGTTGAAAATAGAAATTAAGTCACTATAGATCGATGCGTTCTCTATTATGTAGATCAATAAAGCAACTACTTGAATATTCTGTTTTCCGTTATCACAATAATCATGGCAGCAAATTCGTTCACAGGTGTGGTACCCGTTTCTGCGGATGGCCGTGATTTTGGTCATTTCTCTGATCATGTTACTGTTTGGATTGATCGGTATATTGGTGTTCAAAATACGTATACAAACTTAAAAAACAAATTCAACAATAGTATCCAAGTTCTACAATCAAATAATGAAGCCGAAGCTGAAATAGACGACGACACTATGATATGTGCCAATCCGGATATGCTTAAGGAATTAGCTGAAGAAGTTTATTGTTTAAAATATTTTTCTACAGTTGAAGATGGTTTAGATTATATTAAGAATCATCCAGAAAAGAAAATTTTCTTCATTTCATCGGGTACTATTGGGAAAATAATTGTACCTGACATTGCAAATTTAGCTCAAATTCAAGGAATATATATTTTTTGTGGCAATATTTCAGATCACGTCAAATGGGCTCGTGATTATGAAGATAAAATAACAGCAATGCTCGAACATCAAGATAACCTATTAGAACGTCTTACTCAAGACATTGCTAAATATGTAGAAAGTAAAGGTGATCAATATAAAACTGGTGGCGATAATGTAGAAGCGAAAAATTGTTATTCATGGTCAAAAAAATTATTAGTCCGCGGGAAAATGTTGGGTGATTATAGTCTAGAAAGATTAATTGTTAATATTACCAAAAAAATCGAAAACTTACAATCATCTACAGAATGTCGAGATTAAAAAAATAACACAATAAACATCTTTTCTTGTGATAGGGTTAATCTAAATTATATAAATATTTATTTTGCTTTGTTATTCCTGTTGTAATCTATCGTATGGCAGTTTTTGTAATTCCATACGATTTTTGTTTCACAGAATACATTAGCCTTTGGAAGCCTTCATCTGGATTTTTAGTTCGAGACAATGTTAGCTGAATCATATTTTTGTTACTTTCCTACTTCTCCTCTCAATCGTGTCTTACTTCTTTACCTTGAGACAAATTTTTCTTTCTCATTATTTTACAGTCTAAACTGTAAAAAAAAAGGATTTTTTTCAAAAGCTTAGTTTTATGAGACAAAAAATATACTCCGTCGCTTGTTTTTTAACCTTGGTACACGTGCGAAATAAAAAGAAAGGAAGTAAGAGAAAAACATGCTTTGCGTTCTTCACCAAATACTTGGTTTTTTCCGTGTGTATATTTCTACAGAACGTAAAATGTTTGTCGATTCATTTCTTCCAACAAAGCAATATTGAAACTAATGCCAGTTCATTTTTATTTTCTAGATTCATAGTTAAGAATGTCCGATCAGCCACCTCCAGAAAAACCAAAGGCTAAAAATTTCAGTCATTTACAGTCGGAACCTGTACCAATATCATTCCTACCGCAACAATTTTTAAATCAACTCTCAGCTGGCAATGGCAGTGTGTTTCCGATGTCAGCGATGAAAACACCAAACTATGCACCAATGCAAATGGGTAATCTCGGAAATGACAAGAGCATCGCAAGTCAGCAAACACAACACGCGGCTAGCAGTAGTACCTCTACTGCTCTCGCTCTTGTAAAACCAGCATCATCAGGCCCCCACTATTTAAAACCAATGCTCTCACAACCAATTGATACAAGCATATTTAAAGGCTTCAAATTTGTCACCCTTGACGGAATGCTTGTGGAAACTCGTGATGTGTACGATAAAATCAGTGGAACATATCAATGGGAAATGTGCGAAAATCAAGATGAACGTTGCATTAATTTGATACGCGACAACTTTGCCAATAAACGAGTATTTCTCATAACGTCTGGAGGACTTGGACAAAAAATTGTTCCCAAGATCCATGAATTAGCGCAAGTTTATGCGATCTATATTTATTGCGTAAATGTAAAATTTCATTCTGAATGGGCAAAAGAATATACAAAAGTCCGTGTTGTGAGTGATAATGATGATTCTGATTTAATTCCACAATTTGCTGTTGATGTTGCACAAGCAAATATTGATTGGGGTAACGGCTTCCTTAAACAAGGCAACCGCGAAAAAGCCAAAGAAAAATTCAAATTAGCTTCGGATAAATTAAATAATTATGCTCGTAATCATGATCCAGCTATGGACGTAGAAATCAAAAACAAATTAGAAGAATGTAAATAAACAAACACTGAAATTTCGTGTAGATATACAATTCTGTTCTAACCGACAACAAACATTACATTTGTCATCATCAATTTTTAGGATTTTGTTTTTCTGCCTCTATAATACCTAAATAAAAATTAAGAACAATTGTAAGCTGGCGTCAGTATCAATAAACTAGTATCTGACGAAACTTGTTTTATACAAACACTTGAATAAAAAGTCAAACTCACAATTGTGCACTTCAACTATTCATGCGTAAATAGAATCTTTTGTTTTGAACAGTAGCGAATTGGTCACTGAAATTTCTCTTATGGAAAATCTTTATCTTGCCGGACAAAGCTAACGTTTTGTTTCTGTTTGTCGTCATCTATGTACTCGTATGAAATATTTATAATGAAACACGAGTTCATCATCATACAAACACGTGCACGTAAAACTGAAACAGAAAGAGTCAGACACGTACACATACACATATATCACTGCTTTGAAGTTTTCGCAAGAAGAGAGAAAAAGACCGCCAGACAAATACAAACAAGAGGACCAAGTTCGACAAAAAAAGATGAAGAGAAAAAATACACCCATATCTATGTGCAAGAAGAAGGAAAAACATTAACATGTACTTTTTTTTTCTTTCAGTGAGATCATCGTTGTAGGAGAGTTGATGATAATTTTGTGTTTTGCTTTTTAAGAACAAAAGAAATGGGAGTACAATCAGTAACAATAATACGAAAACAGAAGGAAAACGAAGTAAGGTCTTGTATTTTCCTCTTTGTATATATGTGAACAGGAAAAAAATGCATGTAAAATTTCAAGAAAACGCAATACATTGACCTAGCGGCAATTGAAGTTCATTCGAATTTATTTTCGTAGGTCGAGTACACACACCTACGAAGGAAGAAATCAAAGATTTAGATATGAAACAAAGAAGTTTCTTTGATAACTTACTGTTCCGTCGGATGCACTTGCACCTACACGTGTGCCTCGACTGTTCCAACACACTTCAAAAATACCACCTGTACCACGGTAACTATGGACTATTTCAGCTCGCTAGATAAATTTAAATTCGATTCGATAGATACGAAAATAAAGATAAAAGAAAGTAACTTACTGCTATATCCCATATATAAATAGCCTTATCGAATGATCCTGTTGCTAATAAACGACCATCAGGGCTAAATGCAACGGAATAAACCGGTTCTGAATGTTTAATAAGTGTACTCTGACAAACACCACGTTCAACATCCCATAAACGTACGGTTGAATCAAAGGATGCACTTGAAAAAAAGAAAATTAACGAAGACATCAACACGCATTTTCTTTCTTACCTAGCAAGAAGTAATGTTGCATTTGGATTCATAGTGCCGGGTCCTGTTGGACTCCATTTGATGGTATAAATTTCTTTATTGTGGGCTTGTAGATTGTGAACAGGTGTTTCTTTTGTCATCGCCCAAATCTAGAGAAGATTTCCAAAGTAAATTTTCGTTATTTTATTTTTTGCAAAAACGTACTTTTAATGTCATATCATCTGAACATGAAGCAAGTAAACGGCCTTGTGGATCCCATTTAATTGCATTGACCTCATTTTGATGTCCGTGGAATGTTTTAACAGGTCGCATTTCACCCAGACGGCAAACATAAATTTTCTGATCAGTTGAACATGATGCAAATGTGATGTCAGATTGCCAATCAACATCAAGTGCGGGTGCTGTATGAAAAGCAAATTGTTGCTCACAATGGCCAGAATTCGCATCCCAAATAATCGTTGTACGATCAACACCGGCGGATAGAATATAATTGCCTTTTTTATTCCATTTCAAGGCGAATATTGGACCCTTATGTTGACCAAGTGTACTAGCTAAATTGCCATCGGATGACCATATTCGAGCATAACCATCGTAACTGCCGGTAGCTAGTTGTGTACCGGATGGCTAAAATTAGAAAAAAAAAAGTTTAATAACATTTCGAATTTCAAGTGCACGCGAGAGAATGCAAAAATTTTAAACTCAAATATCGTCACAATCATATGTTCGACTATGAAAACAGGAAACTGTAGGATGAATTTTTTTCTCTGAAGATTTGTTTATGCACATCGAGGATTTACAGGTTCACAATGACATCGACCTATAATTCCTTCTCTGAATCCGATGAATAGAAAATTATCGAATTCTGATGTGAACCAACAGAGACTTCAGTATTGAAATCGACCGGTTCGTCTTGTTCGAATTTGAGAAGCATTTTAAAGAGAGACTTACATTCCAATCTAAACTTGTCACATCTTTATTACTTGGTACTTGTGTATCACCACGTCGAATACAATGCCTTAAAATCATTTCTGGCTCACGTGAACCTTGTAAATTCCAAATGCGTGCCGTAGAATCTCCTGAACCGGATGCTAATAAATCGTGTGTAGGATTCCATGCACATATAAATACTTCAGATTCGTGACCACGCAATACAGTTACACGATTCGCTGGTATCTCGACAGTACCGTTTGTCATTAAATTGTGGCTATTCGATGAACCAGTTTGTACAGATGTTGAATTCGGTGTCGGATTTCTTGAATAATTTGGATGAAGATGGGCGCTATTACTGGTTTCATAATCCATAGGTTCGTGTTTAGGTACTAGAAAGAAAATAAACCAAAATAAAAAATCAAACTAATAATAATTTCTTTTCTTGCCAGCAATATGATTACTACTGTTGCTATAGGACATGTGTGAATTGTTATCATTTCCATTTGACATTTGAGAAAAATTACCAGCTGATGCTGATGATTGAACTGTATTCAAATGAGATGCGGATGATGGCGGATGATTATGTAAATAATGGGACTGGGCTGTTGCTGGCGAATGTGAACGTCCTGTTATTGCTGAATTAAACGGTCTTAAAGACGATGAACCTTGTTCCATTGCTGACGGCTCTCGATAATTGATTCCACCATTCATTCCTGATGATTCAATATTCGTTCGATCAGTTATTGTGGGATTTGCTGATTGTGGTGATGTATTTGTTGGTTGTTGTGTTGGCGAACGTTCTTTATCGTTAGCATTCGATGAAACAGTTGTTGCCCGAGATGAAGGTTTTACTTCGGTTTTTAAAGATGTTCCGGTGGATAATAATGCAGTTTGTTGTTGTTGTTGTTGCTGCTGCTGTTGCTGAAGTTCTTTACGACGATTTTCAATAATTTCCGGTACAACAGCATCGATTAAACTTAAATTATCGAATGTTCGTTCTTGTCCATCCTAAGGAAATGAAAAAAATTTTTTTTTGAATTCAAATGGAGCGCCGGTTGAGTAAACCAACTGCTCCGGTTTTCAAAGATTATGCGTCCGAAATGTCTCGATAGCCATTCCGCACGGTGTTTTTAAAAAAAAAACATTAAAAAACAACCATGTGCTATTCATAAGCCAAAAACAAATAAACAGACGCCCTTTTTAAGAGAAACAACTCGGATTGCTTATCTACTTAAACTAGTTACTAATGCAAAATAAATTCGGTGATTTTAGGAAATATTTGCAGTGTATAGCATAGAACGACATCTGTTAAAACTTACATCACCAATGGATAATTCAGCTTCGGTATAATAGAGACCCTTTTGTATAAGGGAAAGAAGCGCACCTGGTGGTACAATATTGCCATTAATTGATGTATGAGCAATGTGACTTTCAAGGCCAAATAAATAAGCTGAATGAACAAATCCTAAAGAATAGAAACAATAAAAAAAATGGATATTTATATATATATATTGTGACGTAGGTTATTTTTCTTTCCACTCATATATATATATATACTTCAGTAAGAAAACATAAGAAATACGGAGTACTAATTAATCTGAAATAAACATCATTATGTACGCTTTTTCAGTCTTTTATTTTTTTTTCTCTTTTTAGATGTTGTCATCAGTTGTCATGCACTTAGTAGATATCTGTCAACACATATGGAAAATATATATACATGTGCGTATATATTGTTGTAAAACGTAGCATTAGACACTCGTCAATGCTTGAATTTTTATCTCCAAGGACATTTCTTTGTCTATGTTATGACCTCAAACTTATTTGCTTGCTCGAAAGCATATGCATTATCGAGGCCAATAAAACGGTGCTGGATGACAAAGATAAAAGAGAAGAAAAATCCAATTTGTATGCAAGAGCACGACGTTAGAGAACGCGTAAATGACGACAATAAAAAGAGAAAAAAAGCGACGTAAAAGAAAATTTCTATGAAATAAACATAATGTAACATACAAAGTGCTATCTTTAGCTTCATGTCATTTGAACATTAACTGAAAAAGAAAAGCACTAAATAGCAATAAAAAATCACATTTTGCGTTTTAAACAAAAATATTTTTTTTATTACATTACTGAATTCCTATTTTTTTTATGACATATTTGCCTCGATAAATAAACATACTTGTATTTCAAGATTCTTTACTCTTGTTTTTTTTTCGTCTAATATTTATCTTGAGTGCGATAGAAAAAAAAACTTGGAGGGTAAAGGTCATAACATACATAGAAAAAAAGCAATGAAAAACATCAATATTGTAAATACCATACCTGATTCTGATAAATATCGGTAAATGAGATAATTAACTTCGTCAGATGTGAAACTCATTCTCGCATAATACACCTCGCTATTATGCGAGGATAGTTAGTAATAAAAGTTAATAAATAAATACACTTTATTGATAACAACCTTAAAATAAAAAATAAATAACATTCAGTATAACAAAAAATAATTAAAAAGGGTTAAAGTACTGGCTCTATGCAATCAACTAATTCATCCTTTTCCTCTTTCTAGTAGATGATTTTTTTGCTTAGTCCTCCCTCTTTCATTCTTTCTTTTTTTTTGCTGTATTACCAATGCGACTAAACGTGTCAAATATTAAATAGAAAAGAGAGAACATGCACGTTCATACCTATAGTAAAAGACATGATGATGATGATGATGATGATGCGAATGCACGAAGAAATAAGAATAGAAAAAGAAAGAACTGGCAGGTACGAATGTAAATAATTGCGCTTCTGACTCATGTCTACATACTCAAATGCATTCACGTCGATTCCTTTTCTTTTTTCTAAGCAATCTTCCGTAAAAAACATTCATCGACGGTAGAGAGGCTTATGGTTGCTTCATAACCAAAAAAAAAACAATAAAACAAAAGGTGTCTTGTCTTCGTTTTTCAACATTACGCAGGATAAATTTAAACGAAATCCTATTCGACTTTTGATGAGTCATTTCCTTTCGAATTAAAGAATCTTTAGGAGTGCCTTTTTTTCCTTCAAAAATGAAACGAGTATGTCATCAGGCTTTTTTTGTATTTCAGTCCATCGCGCATGAAAAATGTTGGATTTCAACTTTTCCACAAAGAAGTTAATCTTCATTATCGAAAATTAATGAGTGAAAATTTCTGCCCTGCATATGTCAGATCGTGAAAACTTAAGGAAACATTGAAAATTCAAGAATTTTATTTACTTCTTCAACTGAAAGTTCTACGGGTAAAATAATTAGAAATATAATATCAATATCATAGATATACGCTTCTTGTTTTTAAATATCCTAGAGTATATATATATATATATCATCGGCTTACGGTTTTGTGTTTTCGATTTTTAGATGAAATCAAGTCCGATAAAGAAACCATTTTCTATTTCATCACTAATTCCACACTTATTGAATAAATCGATGCTATAATCAATTTATTATATATTCAATGATTTGTGCATGAAATTTCTTTCTTTTTTCATGCCTACATATTTGTATCATTCTTCTTATCGGTCAAAAAGAAAAAGTACGAATATATTTTTTTTATATTAACTTTAACGCATTCTCTCATATAATAATGTTTTTAAGAAAATAGGCCTGCCGAAGAGGTCAACAAGTTCTAAAAATATATAAACACGTCAATGTCATATCTTTGTTTGTCAATTCAATAGAGAATATGACAGAGAAACGAGGGACATCAATTGATGATATATTTATATATCTATGCCGAAGACGTTCGCTTGATAATGACAACAACAGTTACATTCGGACAATGATGAAATATCTAATCACCGCAAAAGGAAAAGAAACATGATGTAGAATTACAATAAATATGTCTATCGAACAAAATGAGAGCTTGAGAGGAAAGAAATAGACCATCTAAATATAATCTTCCTCTTCAATCAACAGGCAAATAATTCCTAAAAGCTTTTTCCATCTTTTTTTTTGTCTACGAGCAACAGGTTCTCAAACCTTTTTTCTCTTTCACACACCCATATAGCTTCTCATGTAACAAATGCAAATAGAAGGGTTGTCGGTCTTTCTTTTTTGTCATAAACATAGATCAGCTTGATTATTCTTTTTCTCTCTTGCTGTGACTATTGATAACCTATCAGCCTCCCCGCAATATACTATCATGAGTCAACAACGGCATTTCTGCGAAAAAGACAATTGTGAATCCTAAACTATTATAAGATAAATAACATCAATAACTAGTACAACCGGTGCAGTACTTGAAAGTATAATAGCCGTTAATTTTTTTTTGTTGTTGCTTCTTCTCAATACAATCGAAGTTACATCTATTGCATAAGATCGATAACCTACAGATGGTGCATCTTTCATGACCTTAAATAACAAAAATGAGACACGACAGACGACAAGATTCTATCGATTGAACTTCAACTTGCTGAAGAATGAAGAAAACATAGCATAAAAGTGGAAGTAAGCGTGCTGCACGCACATAATGACATCAATCACGCTAAAAATATACATTTAAAGGTACTAAACGAATGAAATAAGAAACGATTCATTTGTAATAATGCAAAATGACACCAAGTATTTTTTGTCAACTAATAAGTTTAAACGAATGTTTCATTTTACGTTCGCGAAAAAAGAAGAATTTAAAACCTATCGATTTTGTACTTAACTGTTACGTAAATATGCGATAAAACTTAGAATATAATATCTAAATGTTTTATTAACGACATAAAAAAAGAGGAAGAAAGAAATACTAGAAAAATTTATGAATAGAGAACACGGCGTAAAATCGAACTGATTTCAAAAAAAGTAAGATTTAACTAAATACCTTAATTTTCTTCCAAATGAGTTTTGTCACGGAAAATATTTTAGCAGAACATAGATTTGACAATAATCAATCATAAAGCGAAAAAGAACCAATTATTATCGACGAGATCAAATGTTGTTGTTGTTGAAATAATCTTATGTTCTGAAAAAAGACACAAAAATAGACGATAAATGAACTTCATGTTAGTACGCGTGTAAGAGAATAAAGAAGAGAAAATGAGAATGAGAGAGAGAGAGAGAGAGAGAGAGAGACAAAAAGCCCGCCTCGAAAAATGCACGTGTGTGGTTGATAGCAATAGCGTGATGGTGTGCGAATGTACTGCACATTCTTGGTCTGTTTTATGTCCTTCTTTTTTTCCCTTCTACGTTGCCCGCACATCGTCTTTACATACACACTCCCTCCCACCAGTCGTGCTCTGTTGTTCGCGTTTTTTTTCTATTCGCATGCGTTCGAGCATTTGTTTTCTCCTCTTTTTTTTCTTCTTCTTCTTCTTCTTCTTTTCTCTTTTCTTTTCTTCTTGCGTGTATGCACAAACCCTCCATCTTGTGTCTTCTTTGCTATGCGACCTTATGGTCGAACTCGCCGGCGAGAAAGTCTGCTACAATTGTCGTTTTCAGATTAAAGGGAAAAATCGGAAGAAAGAAGACGACATCCTGCATGATTATATTTAGGTCAACGAGAACAATGTCAGAAAAGAGAAAAATAGTAATAGAACTGCGCAGAATGAAAAAATATGTAGATTCCGGGGACAAACATCAATAATAACAACAGATGATCAAATACGTTATGTAATGTTAACAATCTTTAGCAAATATGTGTAAAAAAAGCATAAAGGGCAAATATTCATCATTTGTTGTATTTTTATCAAAATAAATATTTGTTAAGAAGAGAGACAAGAAAGAAAGAACGACGAAACAATAGAAGAAATAGAAAAGATACGAGAATATGGAAGAGACAGCTGATGGCTCGATGCCAAGCCATTACGACCGTAGTAGTCATCGTCATGAGTCATGCATCATTATTTCTCTATTCTATTCTTTTCTGTTTTCTATTTACATTGCTTCCTGCTCTATAATAATCATAGAACAGACACGATCTCGTTTACTGATTACCTCGACGTAGATAAATATATATATAGCTATATATATATATGTAAAAATAGTAAAAATATCTGTTCGTACATCACGCCAGCGCGCACCGTCGAGGTTGCTACTATGCAAAAAGTAACAGCTGTTGTGATTCACTAATTTTTTATATACATTTTTTCTTTATCATTAGGTCTGATTTTTTTTTCTGCAACGTTTAATTGCCTGTTTTCTCGAATCATCATGAGAAGAAGAGAAAAAGCAGTCTTACTGTCAAACTTATTTTTATAAAAAAAAGTAATTATATAGATGTACTTAAAAATAGTTCGTTTCATTTGTAGAGTAATGTTGTTTTTTTGACTTTCAATGAATTCTATTCATTTCACGCCAACTACAAAAAAAAGATATATATTTATACATATTTGCATCCATGAGTAAACACACTAAAACTGTCATTACTATATGTAGTTTCAATAGAGAATCACGTTTGATTGACAGTAATAACTAAAAATAAAATGTAATGATGCATAGAAAATTTGGACTATGATGCATTGAAATACATGCAAAAGAAAAGGTAGAGATACACTTCGATTATATGCGTAGAACATCAATTCATGTTGCGCACTAGCTACCCAATGAGTGTGATCATCAGTGCAAAACTTCGTAATAAAATGTTTTTCGTAATAAAAATATCTGATTTAATATATATATATATATTATTCCACGCTTTTTCAACAAAAAATTCGCTGTAGAAAACAATGTCACATTGAAAAGTTGACAAATAATTATTTAGAAACCTTCGTAGGGAAAGTCGATTATTGAGTACATTTTAAATCTTATATAATCCTATAATTCAGTTAATATGACTTTTTATGAGTGAAGAGCTAATCGAATTTTAAAAATAACTCCATTAATATTATAAGTTCATTTGAATGAAGTGGCTAAAAAGCATCATGACAATTTCGAAGAAAAAAAGAACAACAATTAATGGAATAAAAATCATGTTGATCGATATTGTCGAAGCCATATTCCGTAAGCTCTAGCTAAATCTGATGCTGACAAATTCTTTTTATAATAATCAACTAATGGTGATGACTTCTTAGATGTATCTGTATCGTAACCGTTTTGCAAATCATTTAAATTGCTCTTCACCGTTGATAAACGACTATTTGTTTTATCAGATAGATAATTAGCGTGACTAGTCAATGTTCCTTGTTTGTCATGAAAATATTTTTCTCCCGCCAATACTAATACAATCATCATTTTCATTTTCGACGGATAATAATTTTGTGGCGTAAAGCGATACGAACGAAATAAAAATCGTTCTCGATCAACCGACGGCACTTTCAATGTTAAACCAACACGTGGTGATGCAAGAATTTTTTGAATGGCTGCTGTTGCTGTTTGAATCGAACGTAAATACATAGTTGATTTTTCATTAAAAACACGCAGATTTTTATTTAATTTTGTTTCAACAAGCTCTTTTATTGCTTTACAATCACATAAATTCAATATAGCATCAACCACTAAACAACTTCCTTCGTATATTTGACCGGTTTGTTTATTTTCTATTGATCGAATAAGAATACCACCGTAGGATGAATCATTGGACGAACCAAATGTTATGTCTACACCTCTACAGGAAGAAAAATATTCGTTTTAAATAAAAAGAAAAGGTTTTGTTTATTTTACTTATAAGTTCCAGCTTTGTAACTAGCTGTTGATGAAGTGCCCTGCCGATGGAAATACCAATTTGAATAGCGTTGTTGCTCGGGATGCCGATGAGCAAATGTATCGGGATGACGAGTTTGATGATAAAAATAAAATTCGATTTCAGATAAACGAAAAATGTGTTTTGCATTGAGAACCAATTCATAAGAATTAATTAATTTATCAGCAATTGTTTCAAAGACAGTTTGATAGTCAGTTTCAATGCAATGTGCGTCGTTTAAAAGCAGCAAGTCATTCGTATTCAATTCAACTTTTGAGCGTTTTTCGCTTGGTAGTTCAACTTCATCTAGTGTATATTCGCTAACGTCCGATTTACGTTTACTGTGAGTCATCTGAAAATGAAATATTGAAGGTCCTCCAAAGAAATGTTTTACAATATTTTATATAAAAAAGTTGATGATATTTCACGTCATGATGAAATAACGATAACACTTTATTTATTGTTCAGTCAACAAAAAACAAGTGGTGGAATAATGGTCGACATTTTTGCAGTTCTCTATGAAAATAGTGCAAAACAATACAACTGATGGATTTTGATTTAATAATCATATGGAAGAAAAACAAAATTTTTTGCATTTTTGTCATGTTGACTATTTGATAGCAATCTCTACCGCTATCTATAGCAAAGGCCATACGGAATAACATTCATACGTATTTAAAAATATGCTAATCCTGTTTTCATTAAAAAAAACATTAGTGAATTAAGTTCGAATTACAAGGCCATAGTATGTTGCTATAATTCTAATCCATCACTTTTGACCGAGGTTACGAAGAACTGCCGAGCTATAAGTCAGGAATGCTTTTATTTACTAAGCTTCCTTGAACGTTTATTTTAGAAATCGATGTGTCAACTAAACAGTAGAATGAGAAATTCGAGTACATGTTTTTTACTCAAAAATATAGGATTCTTGTCATGCACTTCGACAACTGAGTTCTTGACAATCTTATCTCTTATCCTATTTATTAATTCATAGATTATCATGTCAAGCACTGGACCCCATGACATATTTTAATAAGATGATCTCATCAAGGCACGTTCATGATTTTCAGGGGAAAAGTTGGAACGAACTCAAAAAGATAATGTTTCCATTCTTTTCAATGGTATCATGTCTATGGGAAAGTGTAAACAGAAGCCTTTGCTAAAAACATTTTAATTTGAAATCTATATATTTTAAAGAAAAACAAATGGTTAGCATAATGAAGCACTATCTTGACCATCCGTATTATTATTTAATCTAAGTTCCAGGCAAAAGATGATTATCATTTGATCAACATACAAAAATAACACAAAGAAACGAGAGCGTGAGAAAAACAGAGTAACTTCGACATTAACGCGAAGAGAGAGAGAGAGAGTATGTAAGCAATATGAGAACATCAACACTGTTTGTTGAGTAAAAAAGAAACGAAAAACAAACAGATTATTTTGTTGTTGAATAAATATTGTTCGTTTGCTATTGAAAATTTCGTTTTTCCAACCGGTAAAAAATAATGAAAACGCTCTAAGTTAAATAATTATGAGTCATTCTCGCCGACGGATCGTAGTTGTTGTTGTTGTTGTTGTTGTGCTTTCTAATGGGAATATCTACATTCGAATTGAATTAATTTTTCTTCTTGTTGCCACGAAAGAGTCGTTCAAATACGTTCATCTTTTTGCTGGTGTCGAGTTTATCAGTTACAAGAGAAAATTCATTCGTAGTCATGCCTGTTGGAGTTCTGGCACCTGAATCGCTTGATGGCGATTTCTTATTCATGAAATTTTCGTTGAGTTTCGTCGAAGAACCATTATCGGTTGCTAACGAACGAGGTGAATAAGGTATTTGATTATGAGATTCACTGCTGGGTGTTGGTGGTGCAGGTGCCGGACGTTTATTGTCAATTTTAGCCGGTGCAAAAACAGAAACGGGAATATTGCGGCGTTGACCAGTTGGAGAAACAAAGCGGCTATCATCCAAACGTCTCGCCGATCTAAAAAAAATAGATACATTGCCAGTAAAGAAAATAATTTCGCACTGTATGACAATCAAAATGAATCTTTGATCGGTATAAGAATCTCGCTCATTCATTGAAAGTTAAATCATTTTCTAACCTGTTCAGGTCTGTGCTTGATGAGTTCGAATCTCTTCTATCGAAACTAATGGGAATTGATACTGGCGGTTTTGATCGAGAAGTGTGATTATTAACAGCTGAAGTAGATGATGATGTTTGAATATTGTTCGTTCCATAATGTTGAACAGGTATTGTTGTACGCATTCGATTATCAGTAACAGGTTTTATTTGATAATTATCGGTACTATATGACATATTTGCATCGTTTTCAATATCTTGTTGTTGATTGTATGAGTCCATTAAATTTCCATTTGAACCTTGAGTTCGAAATCCATTTGTAGCTTTTTGATAGGGTAAATTATTTCTTGAAGGTGGACGTTTTCCTGACGTTGTTCGGTGAATAGTCGGCGGTGTTACTGGTACACGTGATGCTGAAGGTACGTCACGACGACCATTGACTTGAGAAAATCTTGATGATGGTATTTGTTTTCCTGATTCATCGTGCATGGAATTACTATTCTCATCGTTGTCGATACTTGTATGATGAAGATTATTAGCGCGAGCTTGAATTATTTTCAATCGAGCTCGACCATCGACAGATTTTGAACGTGGATATTTATTTTCTAATCCAGAAATTTGCTCATGATTATTCTCATTATTATCAGTCGCTGTTGATGAACTCATTGAATCATCGAAATCAATTTCACATGTTTTCAATTGAGTTGTTGGAGTTTGTGGTAGGTTTTTGTTTATTAAATTCGAACAAGAATTCGAACTGGTTTTCGATAACGATGCTTTTGTACCAGTATAGGCAAGACGATGAAAGACAGAATCGTTTGGTACATTTCCATTGCTAGGAGAAGTTAGACCTAGAAAATAAAATATTGTCTATCAGTGGAACAAAACTAGATCTGTTATATTTGAATAGGTGAAAATTAAATATGTCGCACCCCGGCTTTCACGCCAGATGCTATTTTCAATGTTTTCTTTGTGAATTATTAGTGATTCGTACAAGTGTGTTGATTATTGCTATTTATTAGCTTCATTGTTATACGTCTAGACAGTAGGCCTTCGAATAGTAACGAAGTAGAATTGAGTTATTCAACTGAAAGCACGCTGAGTAATTAGTTTGTCTCAGCAAGCATAAAAGCAGACTTCTAGATCGTCATCATCATTAAACAATTCAGCGGAAAGTAACAACGACAATGAAAATGTCTATCGATGGAATTTTGGACTGAAACTTATCCCGGGGAGTAAAAAAATTCGGGTCCTACATCTTGAATCAACTAGCGAACAGAGAGATATTCATATAAACAATATTTTTCTCTAATAGGCAGGGCCTAAATAAACTTTTGGTCTTATAACAAATTGAAAACAACAATTCGAACTAATGGAACCCGGAGAGTTTTTGATTGATTGTCGCACGTGGTCTAACAATGTTAGCAAAAATAACATTCTTGACATTATCTTCTTACTGACAGAACAATGTTGTTTGATGTAACATAGTAGATAAGAATAGTTGTCTTTATTTAGACAAATAAGAACTTAAAACGACTAGTAACTATGCAAGTGAATCTTATCATACCTTGGGGTGATTGGGGATTAACCGGTGAAAATTTATTTGATGGTATTCTTTCATTTGTTCGACGGTCATTTTGTTGTATGTTTGTTCGAGTAGATGCAGATGATGGAGGTAATCTTGATTGATTATTTATTTGTGTGCGAATATTGTTTGGCCTTGCTACTCTCTGTTGTTGCTGTTGTTTGAAGCTTTCAGATGAATTCGTACTCGATGTTGATTGTGTTCGATGACGTAGATCATTTTGTTCTTGCAATAGTTGGTTAGATGGATCGCATTGTTGATTATAATCTGTATTGATTGGTCGGAAACTAGTTGCGTTTGTTATTGTTGCTGGATATGCATAATGAATAAATGGATCGCGAGGAAGCGTTTGACTACTATTATTATTATTATTATTATTATTATTAACATTTTCTGCCAAATACTCATCGATTGAATGACGTCGATAGTTATCATTTATATCTTCATTTTGATATGCGGGTCGACGTAAACGTGGTGGAACGACTGGAGGTTGATCACCCATATTCATATAGTGATTGTTTGTTAAATATGTGTTTTGTGGATTAGCAAATATTGGCGATGAATAAGCATCACCAACACTTGGATTATCCAACAGCTGATTCGGTTCATCATAACGTGTAAGTCGACGACGTCCAATAATTGATTGGTAACCTCCTCCTGCACTGCCATTGCTACTCGTACTGGTTGTCATTAATGCCGGTTGATTAGAGTTAAAATAGTTATCCTGAAATGTTCCTGAACGTGTCAGATAACTATTTGTTGGTTGATATTGGGCTGTTGACTTGAGACTATTTTGAATTTGTGAATTAAATCGCTCAAGTGCTCGACGAACACTAGAATGATAATGATTAATAATAATACAAAAACAAAATCTGTTTGTTTATACTTACATTGGATCATCCGAATAGGTTGTTTGGTTAAGATTACTCGGTGTGTATGTTGAATTGTACGACGGAGTAGGTAATGGTTGTTGACCATAGTAGCTATTTGTTGTTGATGGTATAGAAGAATGAACAGGTGCAAATGCCGATGAAGATTGAGTTTCAATCGACGGTCGATATGCTACGGGGCGTTGAATTTCACATTGTTCCTGTTGAAGGGATGCTATTTGATTGGGTTCATTTTTTAATGCTTTCGCAGGTTCGGATGGCACCGTTACAAGAGGATTTCGACGTGGACGTGTATATTCACAGCTGTAGGCGGCATAGGTTTGTGTTGGTGTAGCATAACTAACCGACGATTCGTTTGTACGAGTGAAATTCGGTTCGAGAGCTTTAATTAATGTATTTGGCAAACGTAATTTATTTTCATTCAGTGCGATTTCTTTCGATGAATGATTACGTTGCAATTGTGAAGATGTGTCAATATCATCGAGATTTGTTGTTTGACAGATTTGTAAATCTCGTGATGAAAGCATATCTTCTGAACGTGATCGTTGACGGAAGCCCGTTGGCTGTTGCTGATTGTTTGATGTAACATAAACCGGCTGTGCTGGCACACGCATTGTAGGTATATCGAATTCGTTCGATGATATAAGATTATTTGTTGCAGATAAATCGGACATTTCATTTGATGATGGTGTACAATAACGTTGATGTACAGAAATATATTTCGTTCGATTATTTGATATTGGCGATTGTGATGAACTTGCATAACGTGATAGACGATCGGTAGGAGCAGGTTGTAACGAGCCAAGCGTATAATTTTCTGTGTAGCAATTTTCATTGGGATCATTTGTGGTCGGTGGTATTGTTCGTTTTAAATTTGATTCAAGACGCATTAATGCACGTCGTGTAATCGGATCTTGAATATCATCGTAATTCATTGATTTTGTTTGAGTCAATTTACGACTTCTCTCATCGAAACGTTCAAGTGCACGACGAACAATAGGATCTACTACTTCTTCTGGTTTAATCGTATATTCATTTTCAAGCTTCTGCTGTTGCTGTTGCTGTTGCTGTTGCTGTTGCTGTTCTTGATCGACATGTTCTCGACTTTGACGACGTTCACGAATACGTTCAATAGTATTTAAACGACGACGAGTCTCCAATTGAAAGCCATATGGTCTGATTACATTTTCTTCCGTTGGCAGAGTTTGCGCGACAACTGTAGTTGATGGCGCTATTAATATTGAACTGTCAGTTGACGTCGGAGCAATTATTGACGTTAAACTTTCGTTTGTACGTCCAAGATCACTTTCACTTGTCATTATTGTATCATCGACTGACTGTTGTTGTTGTTCGTCGCCACTTTCTCGTTGATCTTTAAAGTTAACAATATCGTTGTTATCAGCAACTAGAATAATAAAACAGACAATAAAAAGAAAAATCTGCTGCCCACTAACTCGATATATACGTGACTAAAATAAACAGCCTTGAAGCAATAACCTTTTACAACTTTACCAAACGATAATCACACAAGAGAACAAGGCTCATTTAATTCGTTCGTGTCCTATATTGATTATTTTCATCTTCTATGTGATGTAGCTCTCTAAAGTTTTTACCTTTTTCTTCTTTTCTATTCGTAAGAAGGGAAATATTTGATTGCTGCAGATGCGGTGATAAAAAGAAGCAAACATCGCACAAAACAAATATGAACTTTTTCTGTTGTATTAAGCTCTTTATATTTCTCATGCTTGTTCTTTCTTTCTTTTGCGAAACGAACTTCATTTTCAACTGATTTGATTTCATCAGATATCAACAAACTTGAAATATTGAGAGATGTTTGAACACAACAACAAAAAGAGAAAAAGAAGACTTTCTCTGATATGCGTATTCAAGTTTCTTTTCTTCTCTTTCATGTTGTACATATATAGATTTATATCTTTTATGTTATTGTGCTCTTTTTCTCTTTGACATTCAACAAATTTTTGTGTTGATGTAGTCAAAAAATGTGCTTGTAGTAGGCCCCTCTAATCAACATTCTCGTATAGGACAAAAAACAATAGGAAAGCCATTCGAACGATTAGGTATACTATTGTTTGTGTTATCGCTTCCCCGTCAATTTGACAGTGTAATTGATACTTGCCCAACAGACTAAAAGAAAAATCGACGCATGCAGCTGTTTATTGTTCACTCACCTCGTTTGTCATCATTTGCTACGATAGCTGATGATGACTGCTGTTGTTGTTCTTCTTCTTCTTCGACTTTTTGATCATCCTGATTAGTCGTCTTATCATCGTTGGTAGTCTTATGAATCGTTGAACGTGTTGTATCAAGTAGATCGAGTGTTGTACCGTAATTAAAATTACTATCATCAAATACTTTACGCGGTCGAATATAACTATCAGATGGTACCGATGATGGAACTTGTGTTGATTCAGTATCAACTTGAATCGAATCTGGATGTAATTGTTGTTCGGCATTTTTAAATAGATTTTCAAGTGATTTTCTCGTTGATGAAAGTGATCCCGACCATGATGATTTGCCTTTAGCTGCTAGACTTGTATCTTCTTTTTTCGGTTTCGGTACAGCAGCATTCATACGTTCTTCGAAACGTTTTATAGCACGTAAAGCAATAGGATCGTCGGCCGATAATTGAGCTGTAGCTGCTGCTGCTGCTGATGATGATGATAACTTATTCGAGAGATCTAATGAATCATCCGGTGTATCGACAATTTTCGATATCGCTTTTTTATAACATGATAAAACATTGTCTAATTGTATTGGTTCATCAGTAGAAAGGATTGTTGTTATTGTTGATTGTGGTGAAGGTTGTCGTCGTTGTTTTGGTTCATCATCGGTTAGAATAAAATCAGTCGGCTCAATTGAATCAATATTTTCTTTTAATATGGCTTCTTCGTCGTCTGGTATTTCTTCGATTTCAACTTTTTTATATTGCTCTTCATGTTGACCGATATTAGCTGTTGCCATTTTATTTAAATTGTTTGATAGCGATTGTATCGGCGACTCATCTTCTATCCGCTGTTTGTTGAATTGCTCTAGTGTCGGTAATGGGGATGACGGTCGTTCTCTTTCCTCTTTTTCTTCTTCTTCTTTCTCTTCTTTCTCTTCGTTCTCTTGCTGTAATAAGACCATTTGTCTTAGCTCGTCGTTTCTTGATATTATTCCCGACGCGTGATAGTCATGTACGAAGCTACTGTTGTTCTTTTTCTCTTCCTCGACGTTATAGTCGTCGCCACCATGTTGTTGTTCTTCCTTTTCTTCTTCTTCTTCTTCTTCTTTTTCTTTTAGTAAATATTCGTTGGTCTTGCTCTCATTCGCAGTTAATGTTAAAGAAGAAGGCAATATTGATATTGAAGGGGAAGAAGAAAATGCGGTAGATTCCACTGGATTGATTATTATTGTCGAATTGTATTGATTACTATTCGTGTGTTGATTGTCAGCTAAATGATTATGAATATTTTCTATTGTTGCTGCCGTTTGATAATCAACGTAGGATAATAATGAACCTTGTTTCTTTCCCATTACAATTTCTTCTTCCGATAAACAAATAAATTCCGGTAGTTGTCCATCATCGTTGTTTTTATCGGCATTCTTACTTATCAACGATGATAGATCTAAATAGAAATACTAAACATCATTCGAAGGCAAGAAGAAGAAATTTTCTTCTTTGATATATAAATTTAGTAGGAGGTTCAATCCTTGACCATGTTTAATAAACGAGATTGATAGTGATCAATCAATTGACAAACAGAGGTAAAGGAAAAAAAAGAAATCAAGCGTATATAGGATAGGCAACATGAAAAGGATTTTTTTTTCTATTTTGGCCTTGCAAGTTTTTTCTCTGTGTACATGTACACATCTTTATGTGTGTTTGTATGTGTAGGTATGTTCTTTTTCTAATGGAATAATGATTAACAATAGTGAAAATTATAATTTTTCTTTGTTTTTGTTGCATATGAATAAACAAAAAGAAAATATTTTTCTTCGAGTTTTTCTCTCACTCTTGCTATTTTACCTTTTGAGAGGGGTTCGACTACTTGATCAATATTCGTTTGTTTCGTGGTTGCTGTCATGGCCAATGTGTTAATCTCCTATAAATAATAAATGAAAAGAAATACAGCTGCCTATACAAACGAGCTTTGCAGTATGATATATATCATCGCATGAAAAGAGAAAAGAAAACTTGTATCAATGCGTGGGACAAGCAAACAGTTAGCGGCGTGTCACTGACGAGTCGGCCAAGGAAACGAAGATTTTATTGTATTTAGAAAATTGATCGACTCTCAAGGATTTCTAATGAAAATAATCTATTAGTCATAGTTATTTAGAATGGATACTGACCGAAACAGTTCAATTAGTTATGCTTTCATTCGTTCACTGAATTTTGAACGTAATGATCGGAGAAGGAGATAAAAAAAAATAACGAAGATAAAAATCTAAATGCACTGAATTCAAAGTATCGTTAACTTTCTGCTTTAGAGATTTTTTTTATCGGCGTTGATAATGAAGCCTGAAAGATTTTTCAAGGTTTGAAAAAAAAAATTTTCTCATAATAAAAATACAATTTGATTTGCATTGATAAACAAGTTTTCGCATCAATACTAACATTTGCCTTAATCTAAAATTCCTCGGTGATTGATTTCCTAAATATATTTATTAGACTTGAGAGACGTTTTATTTAACATATGAAAGTGAATTAACATATTTTAAGTCAACACAAAACAAGAAACACTCGTGTACGGATTTCCCTATGCTCGACTAGCAAAATTATGTTACATGTTTTACTTAAATTGTATTAATTCTTTTACTAACCTTTGTTGTTGAATTGGGATCGATTTCCATTTTATTCTTTTCTTGTTTAGTTATTGTTGACGAGGAGAATTTTTTTCTCAGCACAGCAATAGGCGGAAAATGAACGCCTAATAAATTTTTTGGTGGCAATTGTTCATCATTATTTTTATCAGTTTTTGTCGATGTTGACCAACGTTCTTGCATTTTTTTTTCACGTCGAGACATTTTATCGGTAGTATTAGTTACCATCTGTTCACTAGTTTCTACCGAACTCGTATCATCATTTGTTAATCTTGTGTAAATGGTATCACTTGTATTAGATGAAGATTGAATATCATCATTCGATATCATTGTTTTCGATTCTACGGTGACATTCGATGATGATCCATCTATCGAAAGAGAAAAATCGTTATTATCGCTTTTAATTTCTTTTCATGCTATTTGATCTAAATGAAAAGTACAAAGTTATTACCTTCGTTGAGTGATACATTAGAATGTTGATTTAATTCGTCAAATTCTTGCACCATATTTGGTAAATCTATTGAAGAAGAATTCGGCGATAAGTAAATACTGTGTGTAGATCCAGATTCACATGATTTATAAATATCATTCGTTGTTAACAATGGTTCATCGACTGCTAAGAGTGGTAGAAGAGACTAAAATAGAGCAAGACAAATGTTTTATGTTATTCGAAGCAATACAACTGAATGATATTTTGTGTTCATCGAGTAGAGAAACGAGAGAAATATTTTTTCTCATCATATTAACATGTTCAAATAGGCGTGAATAAAATTGTGCACACATTCATTGTTATTCTTCCACTATAATTGTCACAAAGTAATGATGATAAACGAGAAAACTATTCTCGAATGTATAAAAAATAAAAGAGAGAAAAAGGCCAATATCGTCTATGTCTAGTTTATACTCAAGGCTTTAGAAATGATTGTATTAGACGTTATTTATTATAAGTGAGACCGAATATGATAATGTAATTTTTAACATGAAATAAAGCATCTATTTATGTTGATGTATTTCATACGGACACAAAATTACAATCCTTGAATTAAAAGATGATGTTATTTTGAATATGTCTACGAGCAAGGTTGAATTTCGTTTGTGAAAAGTTTTCATTGGCAGGTTTTAGTAGAATATGTGCTCTTGGTGAATACTTTTCATCAATAGATCGTAAGATTATTTACCATCATTAGTAAGAATTTATTGAACTATGATACTCGTAACATTTTTCTTTTAAGTCAATTACAAATGACAACAATCCAGTGATAGTAAAACTTACTGTAGGATATGCGATGAGCAGTAGTTAGGAATACAATTGACTTGACTAAATTATGTACTAATAGAAGATGAGAGGCAACGTTTCTATTATGCAGTATCGTATGTTACGTCAACTCAGATATCCTAATAAGTAGCTGAACGCATATTGACCAATACTAATGATCCTTGTCATATGGTAAATAGTAGCTAAGAAGAGTAGAGTAGAGACTTACATGGTAACATAACCATTTTACATCAGATTGTTGTAGGATACGTGGAGAAAGCTATGTTAACATTCTAAAAAAAACTATTAATGTCACGGTCGTATCTACAAGGCAATAGGCTCTTATGAGAGAAGGAGAAAAATCAATTCTCGCAGTCAGATAAGTAAGAAACCTTTTCAAGTATCAGAATTTTTGTAATACGGGCGTAGTACAAACAAGCGAGTAGATTCCTTTAAAAAGTTGACTTGTCAACCTTGCTGTTTTCTTTCTTGCTCGAGAGAAGAACATTTTATTAGTAATAAGAGATCATTGAAGAGTTTGTCACATAGAGAAATATGCATGGGAATATCTCCGGCTGTTAGGAAAGCATATTAGCTTCACGTCGCTGCTTGTAACAATGCATGTAAATTTACTAACATATGATATTACTAATGAGAAAAACATCCGCATAAATACCCATCATATTACATCTACAAGGATTTATAGACTGGAATCGCAACAACCTATAAGGACTTATTTCCAGTAGAATTTTAAAATTATAATATGATAGTTTAATTAATTGTTTAACTGATTCGAAAATTCAATCAATTTTGAAATTAAACGAAAAACATCATTTTTTAATCTTGTTATCTGATAAATTTCAAATAGCCTTGTGGTTAATATGATTAACGACTTTTATCTATTTGAACAAGGAAATTTTTCATTTGTAGACAGTAAGATATATCGTTCTTTCCCCCTTATCGAAGTATTTACATCTATAATTACTCTTACTAGTTTTTAATACGTGACACAGTAGAGCGCTGATTTCTTTGTAGATTAATTTTCTTTTGAATTTAGCTTTATAAGATAAAAAGAAAAAGAATGCCACGCTACAAACTTACTGCTCTATTATAATTATTTTCTTTACAAGCAGAATAATGTATATAGGATAACTATGCGGAGAAGTTCATTGTCATTTCTCAATTAGCTCACATGATGGATAAGATAATAAAAAAAACGGACACATGAATAATAAATGCGTCAGCAGGTATAAATTTATCAAAGCTAACAACTTCAGAAGCTTTTTAAGCGTTTACATATGTTTGAGAGGAGTGAAAAATAAAACTTGATTGTTTATATACGTGCTAGGGTAGCCGCAAGGAGAGCTCTCCGAAAGTGAAAACTCACCCTGGCTTCATAAGTTGCTAGGATTTCGTCCGTTTGAGCTGGTCCAATGTCTCCAATAAAGAAGGTTTCCTTTGTCGGCGATGCTATTGACGGAAATTGGTCGTCTGTTAAAGAATCTTCTTCATAGAATTCATTGGCATCATGATGATATTCACTCATCGATGTTAATGTTTGATCGCTGATACTTGCTGATTCTGAATACGATTGAGTTAGCGATGTCGACAATGTTGTTGATGGCACATCAAAACAACCGTTACGCACCAATGTTTGACAAACACTAACAAAATTACTTTTATCAATAATAGGTGGCGTTAAATCTTTCGACGGGTTTGTTTCATCGTTAATAAACTTTTTAAAAAGATAATAAAGATATTCAATTAAATTTTGATCAACTTCAGCAACAGTTGGATGATGAGGAGGATGATGATGATGGTTATCATCTTTGCGTTTTTTACGTTTTTTCGATTTTTTCTCTTTCGATAAACATTCAACACGTAGAACAAGCAAATTAATCAATGTTAAAATTTCGATATGATCATTAGTGTCAAGTACATGTTCATTTGATAATTGAGAACTCATTATAATCGCTTGAGAAGTTTTTATTGATGATAGAGTCGCAATTTTCGATGATTTCTATAGAAATTAGAAATCTTTAGTTCAGCTTGAATAAACATCAATATTCTTCAAATACAAAACAGTTATAAAAAAGTGTATTTCGATTTAAATTTTCAAGTACGTCTCACTGAATAATTTTTGAATAAAAGAATAGACGAAAACCTGTTTTTACCTTGATGAAAATAAATCGAATCTCTTTCTTCTACTACTTCTCAATTCGATAAATAAGGAAAATTTGACTGTTTCTTTTTTTGTATTGTATTACCTGCTGTCGATATTGATAATAAACATTAGCTTCGCCGTCGGTCGATGATTTTAGTTGATTACGTAAATATTGAAGAAATGAAGTAACAAGTAGAGTTAACTCATTTGTATCATCGTCAATCGTATTTGAATCGCTTGCATAGCGTCGACGTTGTTTAACATCTTCATCCGAGTTTTCATTCAACGAAGAAGTTTGTCTCGCCGGTGGCAACGAGGTCGGTCGAGTGATTGTTTGATATTGTGATCGATCGTTCTTGTTACTGTACTGTTTGCTTGAATAAATGTTATTACGAGTACACTCGGGAGCCAGTTGCCCAGAAGAAAATTGATCTACTAAAGTAAAGGTCGTTGTGTCATCTGTTCAATCACATGCAGACATATGCAAAAGTTATCGTGTGACGAACAAGAAGAGAATTTTTAATGTAAATACAAGTGTTACAAATCACTTTTTTTTTATTGAACCCATTCATCAACACATATCAGACACGAAACAAAAGTTTACTTTAGTATTTTTATTTTCTCACCTGTTACGAATACTTTCGCAATAGCATGACGATCTTCTTCCTCATTGATACGATTCATTGTTTATGATCGATGTCACCGTCATACCAATGGCAAGCAAAAAAAAGAATTCATGTTTTTATTTCATTTCTATGCTTTTTCCTTTTTTTTTATTTATTAGTATTTTTTGTGCGTGTTTGAAAAAAAAGAAATATTGACGACTTTTTTCTATTCTTCACCGCACACATACATTTTTGCACGAGGTCATTAACCATTAGCAATTGTACTTCTGCCTTTTCTGCTTCTTCAATCTTGCTACGACATCGCTGTAGAAGAAAATGAAGGACAGCAATAGAATACGGTTTTGACAAAAACGTTTTAATAATAATTGATTGTGTTCTTAATAAATAGTTTCTTCAGAACCATAACTCAGACACACACACACACACACACTTGATGCTGAGAGACAAACAAAACGCACTCTCATCAGAATTTCCGTATATTATGCTACATGACCACTGGAAAAAGTCATAAACTATACGATTCGTCACATTTAAAATGTGTACACTCATCATGTATACATTACCTTTAACCCGATATTTCGATATAAATATACAAAAAAAAAAATCCCTATCGATCCATTTACCTGTAACATTCATCTGATCTAATATCGGTTTTGAATTGAAATAGTAATGTGTTAAATAATGTTTGTTCTGGATCAATAGACAACGAGCTTGTTACCTTCATTAATCGGTTATATCGCTATGTATCATAGAACAATCGAGGGACAATAGAGTACTCTTATCTGATCTGAAAGAGAGAGAGAGAGAGAGCGCGAAGAGAATATAATGTGTTAATGCAGTGAACATAAACCACACGCGACCATCAATAAGTTAATAAACTCAAGCATGTAACACACACAGAGATGCATAGAAGAAAAAAAGAAAGCAGATGAAACTCGTTTTCTTATCTGTTTTACATGATTTATAGATCGATAGCACTTCTTTCTTTTCCGATTGCTGTTAATATTACGATAATGTAGACCAGGAATGATACCTCCTGCTGTTTATCGATACCATTGCAAGCGATAGAATATTCTTTTCTCCCCTACGATTGCGTCGCTTCGATAAGGTAAAAGCAGCAGATCATCACAGATGAACACATGGTGATAATGCAATGAACAGTTATTCTAATAACATCGTTTATTATTACAGATGAATATGTGACGACAAAAAATACGAATAAATCGAAATCTATTGTTAAAAAAATAGACGATTATTCTTCTATAACCCTTTGTCAAAATTCAGCTCGCTTTTCGAGATAATTAGCCTTGTTGACATTGTAACCAAAATAAATATGTGATATACATACAGAGAGAGAGAGAGAGAGAGAGAGAGAGAGTTAAGGTGAGAACAATTATATATAAATATTTGATTAAGCCTTCGTGCTGTCCGCTCTGTCGATTGACGGTAATATTTGTTATAGTTAAATACACATACATGTACAAACGACTCTAAGAGAAAACCTCAACGCAAGGACAACGTTTTCAAGTTTAATCTTATTATAGATTTATACCTATAAGTAAAAGAAAAAACACATCAAGATCAAGAATACGTTTGTACGAAGAAAAAAAATCATCAATATTGAAGATCATCTTTCGGTGGTTTCGTTTCATCTGTCTGATTGTATGGTTTGAAAGAAGTTAACAAATATCTGAATTTAGTTTTCGATTTACAGAAAAGAAAAATTTCAATATTCTATCGAAACACGAGTCAATAATTTTTCTTTCGATTGTTAAGTACAATCGAAAAGAAAAAGTATTAAAATTCATTCCAAGTGCAAAATTTGAACATTTTATACTTGTTTCTCTCCTATTTTTGTTCAAGTATGTGTAAGAGTTGAATGAAAAAGCTTTCATTTGCCTATAAGAAACAAGTATTATCAATAGAATTCTAAAGAGACTAAAACGACTGAAGTTTGCTCTACGGCATTATACAATCACGATATTGAAAATTCTTACTTTTTTCTTCTACGTCTTTGTTGATAATAACCATTTCTCGTTTCGGCGATTGATTAGAAACTTTTTAAGCTGTTGAAAGTACGAAATGAAAATCTATTTCATATGGATTCATTCTTATCGAAGAAATGAAATGAATCTGATGAGACAAAATTTATCATAAGTATCGGCAAATGTAAAAATATAATCTTACTTGTTGTTGACTGTTTCTTTTTATAAGCGAAAATATTTGCGTTAAATTTTTTGTATTACTTGATCGATGTGTTAAATGTGGGGAAATCAAGGTAACCGATGATATGCGATGGAGACGATGTACGGGTTATCGGCATCGAATGCATATTCGTTTTAATATAAATTCGCTGTTCTTTCCATTCCTCTTGGGCATTATTGATTCTAGTCGTAAGTCGTCTGCCACTTCTTCTTTTATTGATATTAAGCGAAATGACACGACAAGTGCAAGAAAAAAAATCGAGTAAGTTATTTCAAGTGTTCACAAATTCAAAGAGAAAAATCAATTGAAAAATAATCGAAACCTTCATTTTAAATAAAATAATAATAGTTCTAATTTATATCGTATTGATATTATCTTAATAAATGAGAATATACAAGTTCATCATTGAACCTTCGTATTCGAGGTCGATTATTGTGTTTTCGTTTTAAATAACGCGTACGCAACAAACATAATTTGTAGAATAAAGGAAGTTGAACCACCATTTTTGTTCAGAGATTTTTGCAAATTCAATTCATTGTTTGTCAAGGAGCCAATGTAACGACTAAAATGAATCACGAACGTGCTTTAGTAGACATGCATAACTATGATATTGTTTTGCATTCACATTCAATAATCAAATTTCGAAAAGTTATGCAATAGAACCTTTTCAAGTGTCGCATGTCATTCCGCCTCATATTTCGTTTATGAGTAGGACTCAGTGGTAGACCCCATCGGGACCCGAACGTTTCGATCAATTTTTGAAGCTGGAAATTTAAGTGTATCCTTAAAATTCTTAATGAAGTTTTCTCACCTGATTTTCATTGTTGCGTCAAACATACCTTATGCTATTCACCGTGAAATTTGATCAAGATAAAGCGTCGATTTTCACTAAACTGCTCACAATGGGTAATATTATGGGAAATCGCATCATATCATTCATCTTGTCGTCAAGCCTTTTGGTACTGTTATTCGAACTTTTTCTATAGACTATTTTTGATTCCGCTCTGTTTGTAGAACAAGAAATATAAAGAAAATGAGCTTGAAGAAGCTCTACTATAAGCAGCCTGATGTCGTCTATCTATTTTGTCTAAATTGTATCGTTGTTTGATGACACGGGAAAGCATCTCCGTACCTGTTTGGTGCTGAGTTATTGAAATAAAAAAAGCTAACCGTTTTGCGATGATGAAATGCATTTTTCGAGGCGGTGATTTTTGACATATTACAGTTGCTGAGTGATGAAAATACATTTCATTGCATGAAACAGACAGTTCCGTATGCGATCGAAAATCAACACAGGCACAAACAATTTGCCGAGCTTTAAATCGATTTTTTTTCTCCGCTAAATAAAATTTTTGATGACATTAACTCTCTATATCGTTCATCAAATGCTCTTTCACATTGACGTCTGTCCATCGCTTGCGTTACTTTGTACTTCAATATAAGTTTGATTATCATAAATAAAACCGATATGCACAATACCAGACGATGTATAACTATGTTGACGTAGAAGTAACAACGTTATCAAGTTCAATGCCATTTCTTCTTTTGGGTAGAAATACTATGACATTATCATGTAGCCCTTGAGATTTTGCTTCGGCCCAATTCATTTCGTGTACGTTAATTTTGTAACAATATTCACCGATAAAATGACACTATGTCATCACCACATGAATAATCTGTTGATAGATTAATGGAGATAATTAACGAGCCTTCATCTTGAGCTAGAGGAATAACGGTTGAATTAAATTGCATCTGAAGGTCTACACAAACTGGTACAGCAAATTGTGCCGAACATTTATTTGATGCAGAAAAACAACGTTCATATTTCGTTTCATTGTGAATTGAAGTTTCTTGGTAACGAAGAACGATACAATTTCGGTCAAGATCCCTTGATGTTTGTGAACATCTTTGAATAGAATGATTTGATATCCGTACTACCAATCGATTTATAATACAATTTAGCAGTTGAGAAAGAATTTTTCTCTGTTAATGAATCTGCATAAAGACATTGTTCTCCTTCTTTTGTCAGTTTAAAACCTAGAAAATAATAATTGTGTTTTCTATTTAATAAGCACAAAATTTTCATTTCGTCTCATACCAAGAGAACATGTGTGTTTCATGGTATACATCGAGTATACCAATGAATTGATCCTATTACCACATGTATAAAAATAATTTGCTTGGCATTCTTGAGTACAACTGTTATTTTCTAGAGCAGCTAATGTCTTATTGTTTGTACATAGACATTCATTTGAATTTAGAATATCGCTATATCTCAACGGTCATGCAGAGACTTCGATTTGAAAGAAAACAATTGTGTCGTCATCACCACAGCGTTCGTGTTGATTACCTAACTTTTTTTTACAAAGGTAGACGCATATGTTAACTGTAAAATCTATCATTAATAGTGTCTATCGGGTTAATTATTTTCTGGCTTGAAATTATCTTAATGCGGAAACTGAAAGTAGAATTCCGGAATATCACAAATGAGACATTCACAGATGAAACATACCAGGACATGGATTCGCACAATTCTTTTTTCCATTTTTTGTATTGGCTCGCACGAAGTCATATATCCAAAAATGATCAACATGAAAACAATAACATTTATTAATATTTATCACAGGTGCATTTAATTCTAATTTTTTACAAACGGATAAACATAATTCATGTGTTAAATAATTTGATATTATTGCTGGTAAGCCAAGTGTTAATGGCTTACGAAAGCAACGATGTTCTGATTGTACAATAAAAGGGTCTGCTTTACATAGAACGCGTCTTCGTTTTGAACAATTATTGATTTGAATATTTTTTATAATATAATTTTCTTTCTCGTCGAACGTCTGAAAAGTATACATGAAAATCATCTTTTTTAGTTGAATTATCATCTTGATGCAGATTAATCATTTGAAATTTGTTTATAGATGAACGATTGAATTTATCATTGGGTATCAATTGAAGAAAATTTTTATTTAATAGGCCAAACGATTGATTCATATTTTGGGTATTTAACAGATCTAAGAAAGAAATTGAACAAGCCACTGGACTAATTTGTTTTCTATATTCAAGCTTTCTCTACGATAGCTAACCCTTAGAGACTTAACTTGCGTCGAGAAGAAAAAAGCCAAAACGAGCTTGCCATTCTGATGTAAAGTGAACAATTTCACCTTTGAGATAATCGTTCATACGATTCTTCATTGCATTAAAATTTGGCATCCATTCTTGATGAATTTTACTATCGTCAGTATTTACAACATTAATACATTTCTCCGTTGCTTCTTGAATTGTTTTGCGTTCGCTAGACGTTCGATAACAATATCCATTTAAATCAATCCGATTCATCGGACAAGATCTATCCGTCTGATAAATAGAATTCATAAAAGTTGAATCACTTTCTGCATCGTCGGAAATTGGTTTCCATGAAGGATCAATAGTAACACCATCATCGAAATCCATCAAAACTGGGGGTTCGATTAATTTGAGCTTTTCAATGTAGTTTAGGAAGACATTCCATGTTATCTTTCCATCGTAAGCATAATATTTTAATGGCGAAGGACAAATATTCGAATGTCCTTTGTGTGAAGATAAACATTCTTTGTATTCTTTTATATAAATCGAATCCGCCGAGCATAAATCACTTAAATGATATAAAGCCCATATACGTGGATCTGTTAAGGAACCACATTTAAATGTATTATCACCAAGGGGGAACCGGCGGACTTGAAGTAGAAAAGCACTTCAAAGTAGACTAATTGAACTGGCTCTAAGTACCACCCAAGTAGCTCAAAGTAACTTCAAGTCCAAAAGTCCGCCGTTTCCCCCTTGATTATCACAATAATGATCACAGCTACTATATGGTAATACTGTGGAATAAATTTCACGATCAGATACATTTAACTTCTCCGATACTATGCATAGACATTGATTTACATCACCATTAAAAGCTATAACAGAAATTTAGCGAGAAGTTTTTCTTCAGAACGCTCTATGAATTTGATAAAATCAAAAATAAAACGAATTTCTATGATTAATATACGATCTGTGGATGCATCGCTCTTTACACGCTTCGTCTACCTATTGATGATGCTGTTATGTTTTGATCAAGACATACAACTGCACACCGTTCCAGTTTATTCAATGGCGATTGTACAGATGATTCATCAATTTGAACGTGTAATGTATCGTAATAACCGGAATTATTCCATAATTCACATGGTGAAAATTGATTTTCAGTATAAGCCGTATAGGTTTCTGCTGATTAGACGATCGCCTGATTTTCTACATAATATTGAAAAAAAATGAATATCTTTGTCTATTATTTTGCATAATACCGCCACCTGAACGTCGACATACTGTTTGTTGAATATACGTAGATGATTGGTGTTTCACATAAACGAAAACATATGCTTGGTTCCATATACGAACTAGTAAAGTAAGTATCATAAAATATTTGTCTATAACAGCCAATATAATGATATGAACCATAAGTCCGATACTTTATGCAAATCGTAGTCAAAAGAGCGATCAGTCTTCAGTCAAACATCATATGTTGAATACTTGATAATAGGATAGAAAGAGATATACGACCTCTTTTCCTTCTTGTTAGCAATATTTGATATCATAGTGTAACAATTCTTGTTAGAAGAAGTGCTGGTTGGGGTGGAAGTACGCTTTGCTCTATTTGTCTATATCTTAAATCGTATCATTTTCATACAAAGAACTCACTGATATAGGAAAGGTCAAGAGAGACAAAGACAGTAAGATTAACGATGATGAAAGAAGAAAAACATATTACTGCCGTCAGGATAAGTAATTAGTTAATACATGATATTTGGTAACAGTCGAAGGAAAACAAAACGATATGTAGAAGTTAATGGTAAAAGAATGTTACATCAGCGTAAATATGCAAATATTACAACCAACAAATTCGATTGTGAGTGCCACACGTAGTCATATAAGTACTCTACTTCTATTATATGAAACTTGCAAACGTAATCCTTCTCGGATTACGATCTAATCGACTGCTAAGCTGTTATCGTGATGCGAATGAGAGAAGAGTCAAGGTAATTATCGCTGTTTGTTATAAATTTCCAGGGTGTCTATGTGGGATGTAGTGAACAGGATGAGATGTGGGTGTGGGATAGGACAAGGAAGGTACCACACACCCACACCCTCAAGAAAAAAACATATAAATCGATTTTATCAACAAGTAAAATATCATAGGCTATTCGCAATGAATTTGTACATTTTTATTGGGCGCCTTTGTTTCTTCTAGTTATTCCAGTTGGTCATCAATAATTATTGATGACGAATGCAAAACATTGAATGAAGTATTTGATTCACTTTCAAAATTTCAAAAAGAAACAAATAATGAATAAACTACATGACTATAAAGCCCTCACGAATCAAGTCGTTTATTGTTCGTTCGCAAAAATGATGATTATGTAGTTTGAACGGTTGATTCATCATCATCAACTGAAAGATTTGAGTTATTATTCATTGACAAATTAGGATATTCACTAGGAATAAATACAAAAACATATTATCTATCTCAAGAGTGAGGTTGTGAGTAGACAAAGAGAAATCGAACACTGACACTTCCACACTCTAATTCAAACGGTCCCTAGAACGTGTTTTAAAGGAATTTGCAAGGATTCCCATCCACGAAAGTCGCCAGACATAGCTCGCTCTGCTTTTATTTTGTTTATTTATGTATTTCAATGTATGATGGATTCTTGTGTATGTTCACAAATCACGGTATATGGCTAAAAGAATAATTTGTAAAAAATGAATTATTTAATTATGCATATCCAATTTTTTTTCATTTTGTAATTTGTTCTTTGTTTCTTCAATTGTTATTTTTGTTGGATTCTAGATTGAATTTTTGTACTCGCTGATTTCCTGACTCGACGATATAGAGATTACCATGCCGATCGAATGATAAACCTATGGGCACATTGAGCTGGTTCGATTGTCCTCCTTGGCCGTTCCCACCAACAATGACACTTCCATGTGTGGCTCCTTTGAGCCAACGCATGATTCGATGATTATATGAATCAGCCACATAGGTAGTGCCCAATTGATCGACAACGACTCCATGAGGATACAACAGTTGTATAAGACCATTTCCTTGTCCTTGACCACCTGCCACGACAATGCCTTCTTTTGCACCTTCCATCCATTTCATCACACGATGATTATCATGATCAGATACATACAATGAATGATCTCGATCGACGAATACGTAAGTGGGGTGTAAGAGTTGATCGAGCCGATTTCCATTTCCATTTCCACCTGCAACAATTGTTCCTTGAAAATCTCCTCTTCGATATCGTCTCACTTCATGTCCACCATAGTTAACGACATAGAGAGATCCATTCTCGTCCATTGTCAAACCCACACAATTGATGTTCGAGATGAGGGTTTCGCCGCTTGTCCCATTCCGACGGGGCCATCGAACCACTCTTGAGTTTCCATAATCGCAGATAATCAAACAATCTCTTTCTTTGTCGATAATCACATCTAATGGGTGAGACAGTTGGTTAGCTCTATTTCCTTCTCCATTTCCACCAGCAACCACTTGGCCACTCGTCGCACTCGATTTCCATTCTACAATACGGTGATTGTATCGATCAGCGATATAGACGGTTTCATCATAATCAACATGCAAACCGTGTGGAATTGATAGTTGATTGTTTATACTTCCTTGCCCATTTCCTCCGGCGACAAGAATACCATTTTGTTGCCACCGAGCAGTCGGGTGAAGGTCGATTGAACTGGCACGTAATGGAATGACTGAAATCAATATGAAATAGAAATACGGGATTTGCTTCAGTTGAGGTGAGTATTAATAGGGAAATGAAAAATATTCCTCTATTTCGACAGATTGATGGCACGCAGTGGTCAGACTACACTCAGATTCTTTAGCGCTTCCATCGTAAATAGTACTATGCGTAGAAAACCGATTTCGAGTTTTTGGAAATTTTCCAAAGTGTCTTAGAACTGAATAGATATAACAAGACAAAAAAGGAAGATTTGTTAGCTGCTTTTAAATTTAACTTTTTCGCTAAGATCAATTCTAGAGACAGACACAACGAAACAGAAAATGTTTACTTGAAGTCCAACGATTTCAATAATTATTAGGAAACCAACCTGCTTAACTGTGGTAATTCCTAGTGTCCCTATAAGTGATCGTGAGGCTTTTGGAATCTTACCTCTATGAAAGACATGTGACGAGAAAACTTTTACTTTATTTATGGTGGGGTTTAGAGAGACTTTTGTCTGAAGATAAAATTGACCCCATCGAGGTACGCAGTAGTGTACACTAAATAGCACTAACTACTGAAGAATCCCAAATTTTCTCGAAACTGGTCAGAAACGATTCATCCCTGATCGAAGTTGAACAGGGTCTAGCAGCCAGTCATATTTACTAGAATTTTAACGGAATCGATGGGTATAAAAAATTTTCTAACCAACAATATGTCTGTATTAGCAACACAATGTATATTAAAACTAGCTAATGCAATGCTTTTAAGAACTTATTCGATGCATTGAAATTTGTTTTACCGTACATGAAGGACATGAAGGCAAATGCGAGTCGACTTGGCGGATTGCTTCTGCTTGAACTGAATCAACGTTTCTCTGTCGATACCGAATGATTGTGCGTAAGTTTTGTTTTACAGCTGTATCAGTAACAAAATCATACCAAGGAACCATTTCAAGAATCTGAAGAAGAGCAGGTGCAACAGCCAAAGTTCTTTTCCATTCTTTATCGTTTTCAGCTTCTGCATTACCCCCAAGATGACGTGTCGATATCACACGTGTGAAAGCAGCATAGTAACCACAAGTAAAATTATTTGGGTTCCGATCAGAAAATGGTATGCATTGAGTGAATCTGGGAGAGTTGCCAGCTTCGAAACATCGCTTTACTATAGCGCGCTGCTCCACCATACCACCCACAAGTGACTTGGTAACAATATGGGTTCCCCAAACATCAACAAAATCTTCATAAACATCTGGATCGGAGTCTGCTGTTAATTGAGAAACTGCCTGACGTGCGAATGAATTAAGCTGAACGGTCGAGACATTTAGTGTCAATGTATACAGTCCAATTACACGTTGAGAAAGTGCCAGAGCATCATCACGTTTAAAATAACTGCATAGAAATACAAGAATATGAAGAGTATGTGTTATTAATTATATTTTCTGTTGACTCAAGAAATATCACAATAAAACGTTGTCTTTCTGTACAACTAAATTTTGTTTTTTTCTCAAATCTCGATGATTGTCGTTCTCTACTTATGTAAACCATTCAATTTCTTCATCCTTTTTTCTTCAATTCAATACTCTGGTAGAAACTAAGAAATATGTTCTTGGTCTAATTTTCGTTCTTTATATTTTACCAATACATCATGTTTTAACATAACTCAGTTCGCTAGTATCATTCTGCCCTATGGAAAAGGTGAAAATGCAGATGAAAGACTACAACAGAATATATGAAACTACGAAGTAGTTTTTTGTTTCACGAAAAGAAAATATTCAAACGTCTAATTCGACACGACTCAAGTCAGGCCCTGTAAAGAAATAGGCGTTATTAATTGTTACTAAATAAATGACTCTCCTATCTTCATATAATGGAAAGTAGAGAAAGTTTAGAATAAAATAAACACTATGAGTTAAGTTCAATTGAATACATAGGAGTAAAACGCTCACTTATTATAATACGCTAATAGATCAGGTGGCCGGGCTAATTCACCACCACGAACATTTCCATCAGCGAATGAACGTCGCCATGCTTCATTCAATTGTGAAGCATTTCGAAAAACTTCAATACTGGCTGCATCATAAGATGCTACTACCACATTGGCTGGGCCAATTTTCGCTTCGTTAAATACGTCGAACATTGCACCTGTAGAGAGATCAGTCCAATAAGTATGACAGCCTTCAAGTGGATACGTTAAGTTAACAGCTGGTGCCCTAAGTTGACCAGATCTTCGATCAACAGTCATCCCGACACCGCGTGGTAATTTCAAATAGTTTGAATCAGATTTTCTACTAGATAGCTTCATGGGACTACCATCAAAACATCGCATCCCTTCGGTACCGACAAATGGACATAGAGCTGCTCGTGCTTCATCAGTAAATTGAAAACGTGATGATACAGATCTGTTTAAATATGCACAGTGCACATAGAATGATAGAACAACAAATAATCTAAAAACCAACTGCATCATCTATCAACAATAGAAAACAAAAAATGTTGCTTAAAATCGAGCATTTCATCAATTATTTTAATGCAGATTCAGCAACCCGAACGATAAATTCTACAGAAAAGCAGTTATATAAAAAAAAAGGAAAATTCAGATATTAGATTCAGTGACGGTTCTATCTGAAACACAACCAATAGTACCCGGTTGATTCAAACACTAAGTTGTAACTATCTTAGGTTATGATAATGAAAACTGCAATAAATTATATGCTATACCAGTCGTATGAATATGAATATCAAGCTTCAGATAAGGCTGTCGTTCGATTATCGTCATTTTTTCCTGTTTTATAATGCAAAAAGTTTTTATTTGCTCTTTATATTACCATAAATGTACAATAATTAAGACAGCTCTCTATGTTCCATTAAATAATTAAATACAGCGCTTAATCGATTCATTCCACGAGAGCGGTCATTACTTCCTATTTGCTTCAGCAAAGAGTACATAATAGAGGAAATATGTAGAAGAAAAGTAGTTTAAGCAGATGTAATTTATGTAAAATAGTACACGAAGATCGAATTGGTACGAAGTGAATCCAAGCAACTATTTTATTCGTTCATAGAAGTTACCCCCGAAAGTCGGCAATGAAGAATGCAACGAAAGACTTTACTCGAACCACCGATACTCCAGTTAAATACACATTTTCATCATCGATTTTTATTACCCATATATATGTCATGCCGAAGTTACAACTTCGACAAAAAATTCTTGTACGTTTCTAGTCTGATGTAGACAACGGAGCAGAGCAGGTGATCAACTTTGTAAAAATATCAACAAAACTACCAAAGATACATAGCATGTGTTGATTGTTTGTTGCTGTCATATGTCTGTTTTAATTAATCCTATTTTGATTATAAATAAATCTATCAAATAAACCTAATTATACAAGGGAACACATAAGACAATTAATGAGAACATAATAAGATTATAATTCATGAATATTCGCAACATATAAAAAACATAATTTTGATATAAACACGACAAAAATTGTTATTTTAAAAGTGTTTTTGTCAAAGTTAAATGGATCTACTCTTGTAATTACAGCTTTACCAAATGATAGCTTCACCTATTTCATCACCTGTCGTAGTAAGTTAAACAATGCAAAATTGAAAAATAATGCTAATAGAATTGATCAAGCAATATCATTACTACAAACTTATAATGTAATTAACCTTGGTGTGGATGTAAGTGTGGGTGCCTTATCTTCGTTCGTATCCACCCGCGAAATCCCCTGATCGAACAAAACCCTAGTTTCAAGAAAATGGCGCGCAAGTGGTTTTGGAACGACGTATAAACGATGTAAAACATAAAAAACAGTGAAGATAGTGTTAGAAACGGTATCAGTTTTCTAGCGACAAAACGACCCGTAAAACGGACTGATGGATTACGACGACCTGATAAGATCGCATAAACGGCACCGTATACTACCGTTTTATAACGTTTTCGACCGGAAATCGCCGCAATTTGACGTTTTGGCATGCACCGTGTTACGACCGTATTTCGCCGTGTCGTAAACGGTTACTAACGGTCGTAATGTGGTCGAATATTTCAGTATTCGACCGTATACGATCGTTTATGGCACGATGCAAAACGACCGTAATACGGTGAATACCAAACGGCCGTAAATTATGGTCACACGGCTGTGTACGACGAAAGTTGGTCGATCTGGGTACAATAGCTGAAATAGAGTCACCAAAAAGAAGCTATGCAACAAATCAGATATGTCAAATAAAAATCGACATTTATCTTGTTATAATTAAATTGTAAAAAAATTATTGAATTTCGTTTTGCTAATAATATATGGGAGTGACAAGTCAGTATGATACCCTGTTTTGATACAGTGCTATTTAGGAATGAAACATACTATAGCCCGGGTCATATAAGAGAGGATCCTAGATAGGGTGTGGGTGTGAGTATTCACTTTCATGTCACACTCACACCCTTCACATGCCAGACATAAAGTTGAGTCCAAGATGTGTGCCCAGGTCGAAGCAACTGGCCCGGAAAACGGCCGGTTCCCGCGCATTCCCGCGTTTTCACGGAAGCAGTATTCCGGATCGGGAAATCTACGGATTTTTCCTGTAAATTCCGCCAAGTTCCTGTTGGTTCCCGCCGGAAATCACCGGGAAAATCTGGACAAATCCATCCCGGAATCCTGCATCCAGGGTCCGATGATATCCGGCGTTTTCCTGCACGCTCCGGTGCTTTTCCAGTATGTTTCTGGCCGATTCCAATGAAATCCGCTCATTTCCGGAGACCGGAAACATCGTCCTGGGTGAGACTAAAAGAGAGATCTACATAAAAAATTAGACATTACACAATTCTTTTTAATTTTCCACATGTGAAGGAATACCTCTATGATCATAAGGTCACAGATTACAATATAAAAGTATAAATCCAACCTGTGCTCATGAACTCGATCAACATTAGAGTATCAGTCACTAATACAAAGTATATTTTGTTTTGGTGTTCGAAAATTTGATCTACCTCTTTCACTTCTGTTTTGAGATTTGCTTAAGAGAATTCATCATAGAGATGACCTTACATTTCTGATTTCCTATAGATTCTAGCCAATCATCAGTTGCAAACTCTTTCCATTTGAATGAGAATAAATAGTACAACTTGTATTTTGAAGATTTAGTTCTTTGTTGAAAAGTATCAGATGAAAATACTTATTGGTACTTCAAGAAGTAGGTTTCAAAATTCCCACATATTGACACAATTCTATGTCTTGTTTGTTTATTTTGAATTGAATTAGAAATACTAAACCATCTAATCACGCGTATTTCTATTCTATGTAATTCAACATTCCCTTTCAATTATGTTACGTAAGAGGAAACGAAACCAAGGATGAGTAGAAGTTATCAATGGATATTGTCGGTTTTTTTAATTTTATTGTGGCCCATCTTACCAATATTTACTTATGTAGTTTGCTGTTCAATCCTTTGACTAATGTTTATCTGCTAAAAAAATTATTTCTATCAAATTGAATATTTATTCAGTAAATATCAATGCTCTAGTTTAGTAGAGTATCGTAGAAACGTTTCGTTTCATATTTTAGTCTTACATAATGTGAGTCAACCAAAAATAATTAGAACGAACTTTTCAGAAAATAAGGTTAACACATATGATAAAAAGATGAAGAAATTTTTATATATCTAGTCTATTCAGTTTCTTCGGCATTATATTTATTCGAAACGCCATTTGATAGTCGTCGTTTTTTAATTGGACTACCAGTGAAGTCTCCTAAAAGAGCTTGTCCAAATCCCATAAGATTAATCGGTGTATGCCCATCAGTAACTAACATTGATTGAAGACCAAGTGCCTGCAAAAGTTTAACTTGTGTATCTGCACTAGAAGTAGCAATAGCTTGTATCGTTGGTGCACCAATCGATTCAACTTGCAGTTTAAATTTTTCTGTTTCAATTCTTGATACTTCAGCTATTTTACTAATTTCTAATTCATTTTTTTCGCGTAAATATTTTATTTCAGCTTCCCGTGCTGATGTTAAACGTAATAATTCCGATTCTGATTCGATTTTTGCTGCCTTAGCTTTGAGAGTAGCTATAGCAAAATAAAACAAAACAGTACATTAGTTACATATTTAATCTATAGAAGTTCACTTTTTTACCTTGTTCAACAGCGGCTTCGCCTTGAATTCGAGCCGATTCAGCGTGACTTAAAGCTTCCGCTTTAGCTTGACCGGTTATTTCGACAGCAGCCGATTCAGCTTGCAATAGAAGTAGTTGCTTTCGAACTTCTTCAGCTTCGCCTTCATCTTTAATACGTTGACGTTCTAATAAACCTTTAGCTTCTTGTTCACGACGTGAAGCTTCATGTTTAGCTGCCGCTTCTTGTGAATTTGTTGTTATCTAAAACAAAAACAATTCATAGGTATGATTTTATAAATCACTTTGATTTATTCATACTTCAATAGCTAATTGAACACTCTTTTGAAGTGCATCCCGTGTTCGTTGGTCAACTGGTTCAACGCTTTGAATATCAACTGATGTAATAATTAGATTATTTTGTGGAAAAACAAATCGATCTCTTATATGTTGATTGGCATCAATACCAAATACAGATGTACGAATAATGTGAGCTGAATTCTGATGAAAATCATCAAATTTCGCACCGGCAACAGCACCACGAATACGCGATGCAATAGCTTTAGCTGCATCACCAACAAAATCAGGAACTGAAAAAAGTTTCCCCGCTTCTTTTTCATCGTCTTTATTGATTTCAAAATGCCAATCTAAAATAAGATTTAAAATAAAATACATGTATATAACTCAATTTCGTTAACTTACTATACGAAAGTCGAAGTGAAAGACGTGCATGATCAGCTGTTTCAATAACGATTACATCAGTAAAAAAATCAGGACCAAGTAGTAAACAAAGTGTTTGATTTTGATTTGGCTTTTTTGGTACACTACCGCTTAATGACATTAGAGTAAATTGCTCATCAGGACCCAGCATAACAAGTTCTGGCCCAAAAATAATACGAGCTTTTTTAGATTTATAATTATAAATTTGCACAACAGCATTATGTGGCACAGGATAAGTAATTAATTTTGATTTATCGCGTGCAGATAGTTTTGATTTTACACTAGTTATTTCTATAACACTGGCAGTAGTGGCTTGTTGCTGAGACTTATTCGATGTTTGACTATGTGTTTGAACATTGCGTTCAGCTAATGGATCACGTGTAAGTAACTCTTCAACTCGTTGAGGCAATTCTTTTCCCCAAAGTTCTTCATCCTGTGTTAACATGTATGTTTCACCAATAACAGCTCGTACACGGCCTGTTTTTGTATCACGAACATAAATACCTTCGTTTTCATCTAAAGGTATTGCTCTTCGACGTATAACAACTTCAACTTGTGTTGGTGGAATATATTCACTGAAAAAAAAGGACAGATCAAAATATTTTAATCGGCATAAAAAAATCAAGCTCTTACATTGGACCCCGAATCATCCATCGATCACCTGGATTTCGATCAGTATTAGCTTGTTGATCATGAAATGCTTCAACACATCTAAGAATAATACCTTCATCTTCGCCCAGAATGAAAATTCCTTCAATACCATTTGCAAGTTTTTCACCTGGTTGAAGAAAAAATGACTTTTCACCAACAATAAGTTTCTAAAAAGAAATTGCTTTAAAATGTTAAAAATGTAATAAGAAACCGAATTGAACATTTCTCAAAATTAAGGAAATATTCTAAGCGGTTGTGATGCACGGGCTTAGATCTCTATCTATGAAAAATCATTGTCAAAATATCTGTCATGCCTGTGATGTAGGAACGATCCAAATTTCTGTCTCTATGCTTCAAGATTTCTTTGAGATTGTGTTTCAGAAAAAACAACAAGCTTATATTATGACTTACTTTTTTTCCTAGTTGTGGCTTTCCGTCTGCAACTGGATCAAGGACAACACAATATTGACGTGAAGTAAGTACTATTACACCAACAACAGCAACTAATTGTTCATAAACATTAATAATATGTGTTTCGGTATCATTAAGAGTTACAAGCCATTCTTCACCGTTCATACGCTGTTTGCCAAAATCATCTGTAAAAGTTTTTAGAGCACGAAGATGAAGCGCATTTTTATCTGTTAGAACATGAGCAGTTTCAACAGAAACCACTTTTTCCTACAATATGAATTTGTTAGCTCGAAATCGAAAAGAAAAATAATTTAACTTACATGAACAAGTGGCAAATAAGCACCATTTTTTTTAACTAACCATTCTTCACCAGTAACACGTCGTTGACCTGCTCGATCGATGATTTCCTTTCTGGCATTTAATCGAATTGCTTGATTTGGGCCAATAATAATTGCACGAACTTGCTCTTCTACACTAATTTCTTTTCGTGGAATGTATGTTGCTGGTCCTTCAAATAGCCATTCATCACCGGCATGGCGTTGCTCTTTTGTTGTTTCATCATACAAATCAAGTACAGCTCTTAAATGCAATGCTGAATTAGCTGCTACAACTTTTAGAGCAGTAACTGGCTAGAAAAAAAAAAGAAAGCAATAAAACATTGAAAGAACTATTCGTTTTCATACATGACGAAGAATTTCTCCAGGATAAAGTGGAAAAGGTATTTGGTCAGGTTTTGCAAGACGAATTTCTAAATCGGCATGAAGAAGTTTGACTTGTCCGCTTTCATCAAATTGAACTACTCCTGCTTCATTACGTACGGCAGGTGATTCAATAGTACAATAATGATGGGGTCTAAATAAAATTTGCAATAAGTTTTATGTTCTTTTTCTTTGAAACAATTCACATACGGTACTGTGATCATTTTTTCTGGGCCAATTGTAACTGTTTCATTGCCTTGTTTAATAAATGTTTTTGGACCGACTTCAAGTCGCGTTATATTTGTGTTTTGATCCAAAACATGAATATAATAATATGGTGGTATACGATACATTGGATTTGAACCTTCCTGATGTGATGTTCTTGTGTCGGATCGACTCATATCGACTGCTTGTAACAATAATCAAGACAACAACGTTATAAAAATTGTCTAATGAAAAAAATCTTAAATGAAAACGAGATTTATATGAAATTTTGTAGACAATATTGTAAAATAGTCCTTACAAACTATTGTGCAAGCTTCTACCTCAAAATAGTAGGAGAAAAATTGCGTATATTTTTCTGTTTTGCCATTGACATCGCGGTTGAGCAAGATTTTTTTTCCATTCTTTCATGTTTTCATCAGTAAGAGCGATAGAACTTATACGTTTAAAGATTTGATTTGTGAATACATGTAAACATGCGATTTTTAAATCGATGGCACGCACACTCAGGCCAATACTTGGTCTACTGTAAATTAGCAGTGGAGTCTTATGTTGCATTTTATGCGTCTGATTATTCTCGTAATTTATTCTATAATGACGATACAAACGAGTTTTAGATGTTTGAGCACGCTTGCAGTATAAAGAAAAAATTCTCTCATATCAAAACTCGATGGACTAATCAAACTTATAGTATTGAATGGATTCAATAGTATTAAAATTTTTAAAGAGACTCAGTGCATAATTCTGTAAGATAATTATACGAGGGTAAATTCGATGTTTTGTTGATCCGTGCCATAGTACATAGGGGACTTTAACTTTCATTATGCTAGAATTTATGCGCACTTTATGGCAATCTACGAAAATTACCTGAAACTCATATGATGTGGCATAGGCAGGAGGCAGATCAGCATCGTTTGCAAATGCATGGAATACGGCGTCCTTCAATGCATACGTTACTTTCTCTTCCATTCTGCGCAAAACTACTACATCTACCCCTACCTACTCCTGTCTGAGATAAGGGTGAGGTTGCTGGATGACTCTAGCACCCACTATCATAATATCGCCCCTGTTAGAGGACTATTCAGGTGGCTTCGACGATGCATTTATTCAAAGATACTGATTAATTAAATGAAAACAAACCGACATATCTCTTAGCAAGAAAACAAGTTCAGTATATTACTCTCAGCTTTTGCTTTTCAGCAATCGACCGAGTCGTAATTATTTGAAAATTTGGATAGTGTGATTCTAGTAAATTTGAATGAAAGAATAAATGCAGAATTTGTTTGTTATCTTGTTAAAATATTCAAACACTCTTCGGACTCTGCATTATCACTCAGCACAAAATAAGAACGAAACAAAATTTCCATGATGCGTTTGTATCGAAACAACATTGTCTATTGTTTATTGAATTTACTTCCACTGTAGTAATAGAAGTGCAGTATTGTCTGATAAAGATCATGTTGATCTCGACATGGCATCAATTTCAGGATACATTTATGTTAACCGTTAAAACTAGGGGTGTCAATTTACATTTTATTTAATTTAAATTTAACTTCGTGAAAAGTTAATTTAATTTTAAATAAAATTCTATCAAGTTAAATTTAAAATAAATTTAAATTCTTCTGATGCAAAAATTTAAATTTAAATAAAATTTAAATTTTTAGAAGTTAAATTTAATTTAAAGTAACTTTTTGAAAATTTATTTCTCGATTTAATAAATTTTTTTAAATTTAAATTTTAAATTTAATAAATTGTTTGGATGGATACACATCATTGCTACGAGTAAAATACGTGACTATAACAGTAGTAAATACAAAATGAGAGGAAAAAACCTAGTATTTTAGGTTAATATTTGTTCATAATAGTCAAAATTTCTCTACAGATTATGCAGGATCCGTCATCTTTGTTCTTCAAAATACTAGGATACTCATAAAAATGTATTTAATAGCACAATTCATAGAAGAATGACTAGTTTTAACTTTAGAAAACAGGAAACATACTCAAATTTAACTTTAAATAGTAGCAATCAAGTCAAAAACTATGTTTTTCTACTAGTTGCAAAATTTAACTAATTTGAATTTCAAACAATTTAATTTAAATTTAGTTAAATTTAAATGATATAAAATTTAAAATTTAATTAAATTTAAATCTGGTGAATTTAAATTTATTTTAAATTTAACTTTTCATTTGAATAAAAGTTAATTTATTTAAAATTTAAATTTTTGAAAATTTATTTCTCGATTTAATAAATTTTTTAAAATTTAAATGTGACACCCCTAGTTAAAACCTCGATTAACCACCAAACAAATTTTTAATATTAATCCACAAGGTAATGAATGCCATTGATCAATCAATAATGACTGACGAGGGAACGTCACCAACTGTTCAATTGCTTTTACATTGAAATCATGTGCATTATGTAGTACTCAAAGAGTTATGAATACTGTGAGAATTAAAAACAGAAACCTACATAAAATATGTATCACCTGCTGAATAGATTGAAATTCTATACACAATGATACTCGAATAAACAACAAAAAAACTGGATAAACATTTCCGAAGAACTGATCAAAATCAGCCAAATCGCAAAACGCTACCTGAAAATTCTCTTCGTTGAGATGACATGTCGACATCGTGGTTTACTTCAGCGAAGAGGATATGAAAAATAGTTTATAATAGCTTGAAATAAAATGTATTGTGTATCAACAATCTGAGTCATCATATGTTCGAATAGCTTGTGTTCCAATCATAGAAAAAGAATGGAAACGAGAATATTAAGTAAGTAGCAAGCAAACACGTGAAATATATGCATGCTTGTAATTGAGCACAGAATAAGCAAATGCTTTTTTCCTATTCGCCTGTTGTTATTGCACCACATGAAACATTTTCAAAAGATATATTTCTATTCATTTCTTTTCAGTGTCAAGGTCGGCATTTCGCGTGTCAGTTACTTAGATGAATACAGTTACCTTTTCTGTAAGACTCATTGAAGTTTTCATGGTTGCGCGCACTAGATTGTATCAAGAAAAAATATAATTTTAACAGGTTTTCAACAGCGAACAAGATTTTCTAGGACTGGCTAATTAATATAGAAACTGCTCGCACTATCCGGCCTTGACTTTTTCTTGTTAGAACCGTTAATATCAATTACCATCTTCAAGATTATTTTTTTTCTCTGCATGTTTAAGCCATCTGCTGATGAATGAAAAATAAGTGAAATTGAATATCACGGTCATGAATCACTAAACATCACAAAAGTAAGAAGAATTGAAATATTTTGAGAAATTTGTATAATTCGTTTGATTGACATTTTAATTAAATCATTGAGATGGATTCGATGAATAGGTGTTATATGCCAAAGAATTGTACTATATAGAGGAATAATTATTCTACAAAGAATAAAGAAAACGATGAGCAAAGAAATAAATGACGTGAGAAAAAGCTTTACTAGAAAGTACTTTCAGAGAGAAAAGTAGACAGCTGGATACAATTATATTAATTACTTGAATTATTGTAATGATTATCGTGTTAATACGGCATATTAATAGAGTTGGATGCTTATGACGAATCAATGATATATGGATTAAACAAGATATCCTAATGATTTAAATAAACAAGCAGAACGATGAATATATGCGCGTATTTAAAAAAATGTTGCATCTACTTTTTCTATATGAATGATTTGAAAAAGAAACGTTTTGTATATAGGAGAGTAACATGAACATAAAAAAACAAGAGCAGCATTGGAATTACACAAGAAGTGTCACTTTCGCGTTTCCATTCCGAAGAATGGTGAATGCATAGCAATCTCACTTAAAAATATGAATAAACATTTATCAATGCCTCGGATGTTCCAAAATTAGTAGAAAGAAAAAGTAGTATGAGAATCAGTTCGGCTCTTTGAGAACGGAACGTTGTCACCGCCAATCTGCTGTTTTCTAATATTTAATATTTAACGTTTTTCACAAAAAGAGCGATAATATCACTCTGTTAATAATTTCATCTAGCAATACAAACTAATCTAATAAAAAAAGAACAGTTTTCAGTAGAAATAACTTTTAGATAATCAAATAGTTGATTATAAACGATTCCTATTTCTTACTTTTTATTAGAATATAAGAAGTTTTACTTAGTCTATTATTCGTACAGTTATTAGTAAACGTCACTCTACAATGAAGGAAACTATTCAAAAACATCTTCTGAAATAACCATTGGTCCTTCGATAAGTAATCTGTTCACTTTGAAACAATTGTGTCGTGTTCCATCTCTTGTAAAGTTTACTGTTACAAGTTTTAATACGTCAAACTTGATTTGTAACTCAGCTAGACGAAGTAAATGCGCCTTTGTTTGAAGTAAAAATTGTGTAGCATAATCTATATTCATACGTCTGATATTAAGTGAGGTGTAAATATTCAGTCAGTGGATAAGATGATTTTTCATCATATTTCCATTCCTGACTTGTTTTATTCTCCAGAGAGAAATACTTGAGCAACGGAAGAGCTCGATTAATTCACATGAAGAATTCATGTTGCATTGGATTCATGTCGTAAGCAGACAAGTGAGTTACAGTGTCAAATAAAATAGCGGGAAAATGAGACGTGATCTTCTCCAGGTGATTAAATTTGAATGGAAGCGAGTAAACATGGCCAATAGCCATAAAGTCGCCATTGAAATAATCTATGAAACAATCCGTTTATCCATATTTTGTATTAATAAAAGTTAGCAGAATATCATCGTTAGATTTACGAGGACGTAATGCGAAAACTTGATTTTGTGTACTAATATAAAAGATAAATGTACAAAGCCGACGCATATGAACAAGAAAGCCTTTTATGAAGACACATGCCTTCAATAAATGGATTTGTGTCATCGATGAATATAATTGAGTCGTTGGGCGACATGTATGACGCAGAGGTACGAAGATACAAAGTTAACTTTTCGAGATTTGTCATATGTCGAAGAAGTGGTACGACCAAATCACCATATTTATATGAAATATCATAACTTGTTAAAGAGAAACATTTTAGATTGTGCAGCTCATCCTATAAAATACAAAACAGTCAACATAAAAAAATGGCATGAGAAACTAATTGAAAATAGTAGATATTTGTTTTTGGAAGTTAGTTCTCGTATTTTTTTAAATCTAAGGAATTTTATGTTATCTAATTCAGCCTCTTCACATCATGACGCTTGAAGAGGTGCTTTTAGCAAGTGAATAGTAGCTACATAATGTTGATAATCTTTCGAGTTTTTCTTTCAAAGTTCAAGAAAAATTGCTAGCGCTTCGTATTGAAAAGAATAAGTTTATTAGTTTGTGTCATTGTTAAACCAAAAATCAGTCATCCAATTGGTTCCTTGAATATTTAAAAATGAGTCACAAAAAGTTAATTATTAAAAAAATACTAGACAATCAATTTTTTCAACTGGCTGGAAAACTGGAACAAATTCTTTTATAATATCATTGTTGATATTATCAATTAACTTGAAACATGAAAAAAATTGTATGAACTCACCTTATTGAATTTAATCGGTGACGCGACGGAAATATGATCACTATGAACGGTGAATTTGCTTGGTTTTTTGAGTCGACCATCAAGTAAAGAGAGACAATCTTGAAATTCATAAACATTAACGCACAAAACAGTAAGAGCCAACGGCAAATAGATTTTTGATAGAAGATAATAAAGTGGCAAAGGTGGATACTCGCACATAGATGACGAAATAATTGTATGATGTTGTAGATTTTCAAAAAGCAAAAAGATATGTGCTTAGACATTATTATTATAGGTTATAAATAATCTTGGTATAGTATATTCGTCATTATTATGAAGAACCAGATCTGTTATTTGATGTTTGAAAATATGTCCCAAAACTGAATTATCTAAACCAGGAAGAAAAAATACAATTCGATGCTTTTCTATTTTAATTACTGCAGAGAATACTAAGCGGTTACCTATAAAATAATGAACATCTCCTTCTTCGAAATTGAATATTTATAGGTAGGTCAGATTTGGATAATCACTAAGAAGAAGAATACGTTCCATAGGTGTTGGCTCGAGAATGAGTTTTTTAATATAACGAGTTTGAGGTAATATTTGAGTACAAAATCGATCAAATTTGACACCAGTGATTGATGATGCTGTTGTAACATTTAGAGTATTAATAAATACATCTTCTTGTAGTAATATATCAAGTCGTCCATTATTAATTCCAAATAGCGAATACAGAACATCAACTTTGTGAAGCTTTTTGATGATGATAAGCAATATTTCATTGGGTAGATCAAGAAGATAAATGTTTGATTGACACATTGCTTTTTATGGTTGTCACCTTTCTAAAAGAAAAAATATAAATATATGTTCATTTTTTCTCTTCTAACTTTTTCCGTCAGCGAAGAATAAAATGTATGCCAATGATGCAAAACAAAACAAAGTAGTATTGACCGATGCATCATCCCTCAGATCGAGAGCCCACAATCATATACGACCGTAAACAGCGGAATACGGTAACTGTAAACGACGGTCGTATCCGATCGTAGTTTCATCGTCTGCGTCTATTACAGAAGAAATTACAATTATCACAAATAAAAGCTACAACAAATTTTGCCATGATCTGTTGTTTCAATTGAGACTTACAGAGGGCGTGATATCATCGAGCACCTGATCCTGCACACATCAAACGGAAATTCAACAATATATATAATCATTACTTTCTTTACATTCATCTCCATCATTCATAATGAACCTCTAACATTACAATTCATATTGGAAATACAACATAGTGAAATTGCCCCAATATTAACAGGTATTTTCTTCTTTATAAATACTTGTATTCCACAAGTAACTACAAGAAATCTGATATTTTTTTGAGACAACTATTTTGCTTTCTTTAGGAAAATTTCAATGCAAAAATGTTGAGATATGTTCAAACGAAGTTTTCAATTTTTATCTTGTGCATTTAGATTCGTTCGAATTGAAAAATGTTGAAGTATGTTTAAACAGATCTAAAGTGTCTTGTATTAAGAACCGTATTTTTTCCTAATATTTAATTGAAAAGGTTTTCCAGAAAACTAAGGTGATTTTGCAAGGTTTTAAGGGTGTCATTTGAATTGTAAACACATTCTCTTAATATTTCCAGCTTAAAATGCTAAGAATCAGGAATATTTTGATGGAAAAACGCTAATTACAATTCGTAATTAGCAAAAAATTAATTAATTAAAGGGGGTCATTTATAATGGGGGGAGGGGGGGGGGTTAATTCGAAGTTAGTTTTGATTTTCTATTTTTCCTGTATTCTAATAGACGCGTCTTAATTATCTATTGGAATAAACTTTATGAAATCAGCATGGTATTTACAATTTTAATTGGCCTACAAGATAATTTTTCAGCATCAATCTCATTAGGAAAAGAGGTTAAAGTTTCTATTAGTGAAAAGTGGGTTGTTATCAGATAAAACCCATCAAATGAGTGTTCAATATCAACAAAAAACACTCCTGATCTTTCTCCTGATAAACTCCTGATTTCAAAATTTTGAATTTGGTAACTGGTACCAATGGAATGCGTTTCAAGGACCGTGTCCTTCAATTATTTACGCCATTGGTACATCTATCCGTTTAATAATAAACTCTTTGGATTAAAATAAAGGATAAATAATCCTTTAAAAATTTTTATAAGCTCTTTGAAAATTAATGTACCCTTCCGGTGAAAAGCCCTCCTGTTCATGAACTCCTTAAAGGATTTATGCCATGCGAATAAACCCTTGGCGGATTTGTGAACCAAAAAAATCAAGGACAAGCGTTGATTATTTAGCGCCTTTTTTTTACAGTGAATGGTACTAGTGCAAATGTTTAAATCGAATTACATCTCTGAAAAGTCTTATTCAGAAGTTAAAATTTTAAGTCATTAAAGTTCCTTTAATCCTCAAGAATTTTTTCCATTAGATTGAAGAATGTTTTCTTTCACAGAAATATTCGAAAAATATTTTCACAAGTATTCGTCTATTTGTTAGCTAATGAACATATTTTCAATCTTCATAAACGACTGATTCATATAATTATGCCACCTCATTACACAATTTACTAGCATAACTTACCGTTTCTTTAGCGGGCATACTAAAACTGCATTTCAAGTTGTTGCCATCGAACAACAAACAGCCTTGCTCAGTTTACAGTTCTTTCCGATTTCTTATGACCATGATTTTTTGACTTAAATTTTATTCTATCCAATATATATAGGCATCGTTTTAGTACACTGTTCTCAGTTTTATCTAAGTTTGATAGATAACAGAATCGACTTCAAAACTACTCCTCTTTCGAAAGTAAAGATTGTGATTAAATGTAAATTCAAATTTTACATTGCATCATTCTACTACTCGCCGTTGATAATTGATATCGTTGGTACGATTCCACGCCGAAAAGGCAAAATTTACAGCTATATAATTCGTAATCTTTTCAGCACATAGCACATGTCGACAAAAGATTTATGTGGCTATGCTACGATCATGATGTATATAGACGACTAAAGGAGAAGACTAAAAAACACGAAAAACTGTTTCAGTCTACTTGGTAGATAAACTACGATAGAAAACCTCACAGCGTTAGAATCAAACAAAGAATGAGTCATAGCCTCATCAAGTGAATTCATATAGTGTCGGTCCCGGGTTTGAATATCGTTCAAAAAAGACACGTGTAAATTGTTCCATGGCTTTGATTTCATAATTTGGTGGTAGTTCTTCCCCAACGTATGGTTCTGGCACTAAATAGTTCTTCATTTTTAAACATGAATTTTTTAATTAGTACGATTACATACTCATACTTCTTTCATGCCATTCAACGACACATCCATCCATGCCTAACTATTAAATAAGATAATTGAAATTGATCAGAAAAACAATTCATAACATTTCCTTACTTCTACAACATCAGGGCTTGTGTCGTCTGTTTCCTCCATCAGACCAGATTCGTTAGGTTGCTTTGCACTTTATATCTGTTTTAATTCGTGACGAATTTTATGAATAAATCATTTCACGAAAGTATCAAGTAGTTCTAAAAAGATTGATATATGTGTTTTTCTCCTTTCGACTTTCAACTCGCGATGAAAGAAAAGCATAAATACACCAATATTTTTCATGACCAAAGATACGTGATAGATTTTGTATTTTCTTCTTCCTAAAAAGAGCTATTCTTATCTTTACTTTTCACCTTCGTGTTTACATAAAATAAAAAATAACAACGCATTTTAATCACATTGTGAAATAAATACAGAAATAAAATCAGCTAAATATTTTTTCCCAACGAAGAAATTTGAGAAATTTCAAGTATGAATAGTTGGTAGCACAACCGTTGGTAGGGCTATCATATGAGGGCGCGAGGTTTGCGTTTGAAGATATATTGATGATGTCTTCTTAACATCGAATGATAAACGATGCTAACGATTATCATCCAAATATTAAACTTTCTTATGAAATAAAGACAAGATTTTTGTTTTTAAATATTGTATCCATCAATTTTTTATTTTATTACATATCAATGAACTATATTATTTCTGAAAAATAAGCAGCAATGAATTTTGCTTGTACAATCATATGTCTTTTGTATGACTAATTGAGTGCCATCTCAACATTAATTGTTTAAGTCGATACGCCATATTTGATTAGAATTAAAGCATGATACATAAAGCACATAATCGCTAGTGATAAGTACATCGAAAGCAAACGGACAAATGTTTTTGATAGTTCCCATTAATATTCCTTGGTTATTATAAATCTGAACGCCATTAGATCCAGAGGAGACCCAATAACGATTGTATTGATCAATTGTCAAATTAATTGCACTATTTGTTGATGGGCTTGCATATACATAAAATAAAAGTCTTTCCTGCCATACAAGACTATTATTAATAGCAGAATATGCATAAATTGCATTGCCAGTCAATGATGTTACGTAAAAATAAGAATCATTCACATACCATAATCCATATGGATTACTATAGTTTACCAATTGGCTTTTAATAAAACTATAATTGCTAGACCGATTACCTGTTTGATTAAAAAATAAGAGATAACTATTACTCATAGAAGTTGCAATCATTAATTCCCCATTGCTTGAAAAAATCATATAACGAGCTCCTTTTAAATAAGATGCTGTAATATTTTGAAGTATGGTCAAATTATTACTATCAATAGCTAAAATGTAATTAGTAAATGCAACATAATAAGTTTCATTATAATAGGCTATACCATAAGGCATATCATTAAATGGTTGACATGATGGATTACTAACTACACTTAAATTTCCAGAATACAAACGGACAAGAGTAGACATGCCTTGAGAAACTGTCACTAAATATCCATGATTGTCAATAAACATGGAACGAGAATATGATACCGTGGCATAAATCTTATTAGATGCATTGAATCTATTCAGTAAGCAAGTCGTATCAGAAAAACAAGGTTGACTTTTATTGGGAAAAACTCCTTGAAGAAAATAAAGATGAGCTTGTAATGTCAACTGAATTTTGTAAACAAGTGGAAAAGTATTGAAAAATTGACATGTATTATTTGAAAGGCAATTAAGAGCAGCATACGGAAAAGATAGACATAAACATTCTTTGCAGGTTTTGTTGGCAATGATTACAGTACTTGTATTTGATATTGAAATTAAAGTAGCATTGTTAATGAAAGGTATCATGATTGAATTAACAGCAGTAAAGACAAGTAAAAGATTAAAACCAACTGTAGTAAACATCTCTTGAAAATGTTCTTAAATAAAATATAATTCTGAATTTAAAAAAAAATCAAATTAACATTAAATTTACACTTATTTTTTAAAACAAGAAATAAAACGCAGAATATTAACCGACTTCTTTTACCGAAAAATTCGTGCAAAAAATTTGATCAACTGTATTAGTATTCTACAAACAGGCAAAATGATATTTACGCGTAATTGAAGAAAGCATGAAATTAATTTCTACTGATGAACATTGACTCTATTAGTATATTCAATTAAGGTTTATTGAACTAATTTGTCGTTACTGTAGAATAATATAACATTTCGAATAAATGAAACTTGAATGTAGCGAAGAGAGACTTTGGAAAATACGAAGACGGAACATATAAAGAAATTCTCCATAGAATATTGTTTGTGTATGATATTTAAAAAAATGTTGCGTCTTCTCAAAACTGCAATTTTTGTGTAATATTTAAATGCTTATGAAGAATCAGGAGAGAAACAAGTGAACGGTCTTTCTATGTAAATTTATGCATCACTCGTGATACAGTGTAATGAAATGGTATAGCAGAAAAAAAATATTTAAGGAAGTCTTTATTATTTAAAACAAAATACCTTTTATATTTGTAGACTTGAGTGCATTACTCAACAAAGACAATAATGACGTTTTTAAAGTATAATGTTAATGCCTTTAACCAGTAACTCATCTTCAAGTAGATATCAATAGAAGTGTGCTGTTAGATGGATCTGCTATTATAAAAACAAGTTTTTCCACCAACTCGTTTTTCATTTAAATGTGTGACTATAAGTGGTGTCTATCATAAAAATAAATCTTTCTCTTGTATCCATTCAAATTTTGTCTTTACTGTGAAAGATTAGATATTATAATTGATTGAAAAAGCTGTCTAGGGGGTTATAATTCACATTACAAACAGAGTTGCTAAATTTATCTTTACATTTTCATTAAACCACAGAGAAAAATAAAGGAAATATTGATCTTTGAAAAACAAAAATCAAAAAATAAATAACTGTTGTTTTGATGTTTTGAAATGGAAAGCATTCTATAAGATAAAATTCATTTGATTGGTAGCAGAATTAAACTTTATCATCCTTTTCACCGTATATAATATCCAAAAAACACAAGTTTTCCTTTTTTTTCTTCTCATTAGTAACAAAAATGTTTTCCTCTAGCTTTATTTTGAAAAGTAAAAGTAAGTTAACACCTTCAGTCGCGTTGTTTCTTGATGTTTGCAACAATTTGTGTTGAGGGTATGGGTAACTAGATCTATCTGATACTCTCAACTTGTCCTTCTCAGCAATCGATAAAAGTTGAAAACAAATTTAATTAATTACAATTTCTAAATAAAGTGCTAAAATTTAAAATTTAAAATGAATTAATAAAGAAATGCACAGTTATTTTTGCTGGCGCATTTCGTGTATCTTTGATTAGTTTATTGAAATACTCATTAGGACTCGGCATTAAATAAAGGACATACAAACAGATTAAAAAAGTTTATTAGCGCAGCCCCTTTGGAGCTAAAATGTGGAACTCACATATATCCCTTCGATTTACTAAAATAATTCAAAATAGTTTATCTGAAAACTTTACCCTGATTTCCAAAATCTATAATTAGGGGTCATTGCTTATTTGCTTATGACTGTAATGGAGTATTAATTGTTAGCTCGTATATTTAACAATGGCAGAGACTAGTTTCTGTGGTCTGTAATGTGCAAGCATGGCTTTTTCCGTGTAGTCTGTAATTAAAATAGGAAGAAATAGCAGCCTAATTAGTCAAGAGAGTAATTAGCACAATTTTAAACTCATTAATGTTTGTAATAGGGGGGGGGGAGCCGCAACAATCTCGCTTTTAAACTTACACTCACCATTTTCTTCGAAAATATATGTGAATTCCACAAAACAGAGAAAGCACAAGATAAACGAAAAGAAATAGTAAAATAGAGATTTGACTAAACATGCGAAAGGAAAATAAATGAAATTATAACTAGATGTAGATAAGTTTTACTCTTTAATTTTGATTAGAGCATAATGTTACAAATTGTACTGATAATTGTAAAGTAAAACAATTATCTAATTTCCAAATATAATATTTTCAAAGTTTTGATACGTTGCTCTCAAAAAAAAAGAGAACAGTGATTGTGAGTGTATGTTTTAGGTTGCATAAAATACAGCTTTTACACTCGCATCCGCATCCACACTCTCAAGATGAAGTAAACCGCGAATGCCATCAGTGATGACTTTCATGACTCTATCATAAAGTAGAATGTATTCAATGTTCAGCGAAAATGCATAGTCAACTTTTTTGTGAAGGAGTTACAAAACTGCTGTTCGCAGAAAAATCATTTTGAACAGCCGAATTCATTCACCTGGATTATGGCATTCTGTGTCGTTAGCCAACAAGTGTACAGTTTGTACTACCAGAATGCAAAAAAAAAGCAAATATAAACATTCCGAGAGAGTGTTTTTCTTGGTACAAGAGAATGGCAAAGAGAAAATGGATTGATGTATATTGAAACGGCTGTCGCATAGCTACACAGTTGGCAGAAAAGGAGAACACTTGTAAAATGTGCAGGTAGTTATAAATCAAATATAGTTTCTTTCACGAGGAAATATGCGTGAGTACTTCGCTCCGTTTTGATTCATTCGATCACAAGTAAGAAAATTTCAAAATGCAACTACAATTGATTTTTTTGCATGGATCTATGAAACTCATCTAAAAAAATAAGGATAAAATCAGAAAAAACTTGATTAACAGGTGTATGATTTTTTTCTGATCTTACCTCTAATTCGTTTAATGTGTAGAACATTTTGTAGCGACTGTTTTTACCTTTTAAACGATCATTGTTATTGTAAAATTCTGAATACCTCTAATTTACTCTGATCGTTTAATAAATATTAATCTGTGCTGACTTCTTAGTTGATTTTAATCCATCCCCATCATATAATTAGCTACAATCGGCTATTATTTTCGAATTCATTTTAGTGACAAATACTGAAAATTAGCGCTTTACCCTAGATTTGAACTCAAAACCCCAAATTTGCATTCAATTTTGTTTTAAGTTACTTACGTTGGCAAACTGTAGACCTGTCATAGAGAAAAGTGATGCACATTTAGATATAAGTTAAAACTCTCATTCAAACTGTTTCCCCTGAATCCGTGCAATGGTATAAAAAAATCATTAAAATATATTAGACTTTTAATTCATTTTGTTGATTGAATTGCAGACCGTTCAAAATATAAAAAAATGCCTATTCATTACACAGATTAATAATTCGAAGCTTGCCATTACGGAATATACCTAACCACTTGTAACACCATAACTCACACCAGCAAAAATACCAGCTTCCGGGTACAGTCATAAGGGCATAGCTATACTACGATAATTACATATCTTAAAGAATAAAATGAATTTTCATGATGCATGTTTCACTTAGCTGAATAAATCTCAAGTATAAGTGAAAGCCCTACAGCAGCTATCCCAGCAAGCTTTTTAACCGATTATTTTTCGAACCAGTTAGCTATAATTGGTCTAACTTTTTAATCGATTTTAAGTGCTTATGGCGATCAAAAATCTATCAAAATTGCTTGTGCTTTTTACATGAGCTCATGCCTAATTCGATAGATTCGATTTCGATTATGAAAACTTGAAAAGATTGGAACTTCTCGCCTGTTGAAGAAGAACTATGACTGTTTTACTAGAGGCCAGATTTTTTGCAAAAACTCAAAATAAGGAATTTCGCTAGAAATTTTACATATCTGTTAAATCTGTGTACCAATATCAATAAACTACAAATAAATATTACTACGATACACCAGCATAAGAAGACCTGCAAATTGAAGAGTCTGACTCCCAGTAATTCTGAGGGTGTGGGTGTGCCGATATTGATGGCACGCTTCGATGATTCTCCTTCTTCCTCTTTATGTTCTCTTTCCATTGTTCTAATCTCTCTCTCTCTCCTATATGTGTGTGTTATGTATGGAGTTGTTACACTCTGGATACGTGAAGAAGCGAATAAACATCATTGGAGTGAGTGGCGCTAAGCTACTCCGCCTCTATCCAGTTTGTCTAATGCATAAACCAACAGGGTTCCCTATTTATCGTTACAGTGGGTGTGTGTAGTTCTTTAAGCTTACAACACAAACCCATACCCACTCACACCCTCAAGATAGGGACTCTTGAAGCCTATTTTCTTTTGATTTATGGTTCTACAAAAATAACGCAATAAATAGGTAAAACAAGTAGTCTCCAGAAAAAGGTGCGAATAGCAGCGCCAAATAAATTGAACATGGAGACAGATAGCTAGCTTAACGAAAATATGAATGATACGATGTTATTTCCCATAAAATCGCTGAAATTTTAGGCTTTTCCTGATTTTTCCCGGTAAAATCGCGATTAATCGTCTAAATTGCAGCGATTTCGACGGCATGGGTAAATAAAAACTATTTAATACTATACTTTGTCAACTGTGAATGCGCATTCTTTCAGTTCTTCTGCGTCGTAAATGCCAGTTTCGCCGAATAAAATATCATTCATTCTAGATTCTAGAATGTAGCATCTTTCATTCGAAATCTTTCGGCTAACAATTTAAAAGGCGTAGCTGGACTAATTCCGTCTCGAATATTATTGATTTTCATCTGAAACGATTTGCCGATTTCTCTTTTATTATCAATATTGAGAAAAAAAATCACATTTCAAGTGCAAAGAAAAATTGAAAAAGCTTCTTCAAGCGTTCACAACTTTGAAGAGAAAAATCGATATCTTCAATGAAGAAGATTAATAATGTTTCTAATGTAAATCAAAATCATTTCCAGTTGCCAATGGAGAATAAACGGAATCATCGTTGTCGCGTGCTGTTCGAAGTCTTGTATTATTCTTCTGTTTTAAATAACGATTGTATAATAAGTATATCGATCCAGTTAATATAGCAATAAATAGAGTTGCAGACAAGAAGAGAGCTAATGGAAAACGCGTACCGACAGGTTTTGAAGACGCATGGAAATTGAATTGCATATTCATCGGTGAGCTGATATAAATAAATAGAAAGAAAAATAACGTTTTAATCAAATTCGAGCAATCCTTCTGAAATAATTATTAGCATTTGCATTTATAGATAACTCATACGAGAAGTTATAATCCGGTTCTTGTAAGAGAATCAGCCAACGTAGTTGATACCGATCTCGTGGAAAATATGATGATTAGATAGATCATAGATTGGATTGGTATAATCTAAATTACTTCTAACGGCATAGAGCCGAGTCAGTATATCTAGTCAACAGATATACACTGATAGTTTATCTGCACAGTGAAGACAAAATAGGAAAGATTTTGTTGAGATTTTGCGAAACAACTTTCATAAGGTCAGTTTCTAGATATGTTCCTACACAAGTAGTGGAAAGCAGTACTGTGTCAAACTTATGAAAATATTTTTCTTGATGAAATAGATATTCCCCTTACGAAAAGAAATAATAATCATCCACTTACCAGCTATCAAGCTCTGCTGTTCGCGCCTGTGATATGTTAAATATGGTTCAATGAGACTGTATGGATGTTGACCTTTTGACTTTTCCTCATGATTAATCACGTGTGACTTGAAATTTAAGTTAAGTCACTTTGGCAAGCCTTTTCAAGATCAAATTGTGTTTATTCGAGATATCTACGATACTAAACTATTATTCTTCCAAGCCTTCTTGGATCGTTTTCATGCTGATGATGCTTAACTTATGAATGGACACAATAAGATTCAGATTAGTACCCCTGGTAAGGGTATATCTTTCAAATCGATGACAAACGAATAGAAAATATTTTGACTTCTTCACATTCCTAGCTCGTGAATAGGCTGAAGGAATCTATTCATATTGATACTTTTGTCACTGACTGCAGAAACATAAGGAGTTATACAATTTTTAAAAGCAAGTGTCTGCACATTTAAATTCTATTCAAGTGGAAATTTGAAAAACAAAAAAAACAGTTTTATGTACGTTTGGTTTTTCGAGATCACCGCTTCGCGATTAAGCAACGGTTTCTCTTTTAACTTACAAAGTGCATAACTTCTAGTAGAAAGAACTTAGCTTTCAGCAATTCAGACGTTTTTCTCGTGAGAACTGATTGCATTCTGAATCGTTTGTGCATATAGCTAACCTTTTCGCTACAACTGTACGTGCTTTTGTTATGGGCGCTTTTTGACATATAACAGTGGCCGATCGATCACAACGTATGTCGTCACATAACACATATTTCCTGTCTTCAGATCGGACATCGACATATGCGCAAGCAGTTTGTTCATTTTTCAATCGTTCTTTTTCCTTCGTTGATAGAATTGATGATGACATTAATTGTCGATAATGACGAAGAAATGTGCTTTCACATGAAAAATAAGGACTTGTGATCTCCATTGTATCCAGTACACTACTTGCATTATTAGTGTTGGATTTTTTAATAGTACTATTTTTATTATCATAAGTAACACCAACATGTGCAAAACCGGATGATGTATAACTCTGTTCACGTAAAAATAATAATTTTATCAATTTTATTGCTATAACATTTTCCGGTATAAACAACGCCGCATTTTCACGTTCACATTGAGATTTTGCCTCTTGCCAAGTTGTTTCGTGAACAATTATTTTATAACAGAATCCATTTACTAGATGATACTCTTTATCACCACCACAAGAATACTCGATTGTTGTATTAACTGAAACAACTGAATCATCACCAACTTCTGTAGAATGAATAAAAGTTGGATCAGATTTTAAATTTTTATCAACACAAACTGGTACAGCGGATGTGGACGAACATTCGTTGGATTCAATGATACAAGGATCATAAGATACTGTATCATGAGTGATCGTCTTTTCAAAAATAACCGCAATACAATGTCGATCAACTGATTCTGAAGTTTTCATTGAGCATTTTGGAATCGAAAAATCTAATGTTGCATCCTTATTTGAGGTGCTTGATGTACGGTCAATCCAAAAGTAGTGTACTCGTTCAGGTATTCGTGAAGCAGACGAGTAGGGCCATATTTCATCGTTACCACCAGTTAGCGTAGATTTGGGTGCTAAATGTTGAATTTCCAAAGCATCATTTATCTTAGCAATCATACCACCAAATGATTCACAGGAGGATTGTGCATTCGAAAAAGATGTTATATTTTCTGTTGTACCAGCACGCACACATCGCTGATCATCTTGAGCATTTCGAAAACCTAAAATCATAATAATATTTCTTATTTCATTTGAAATGAACTATTGTCGATAAATTTGTTTTCTTACCGACAGGACAGTTCTTCTGCAATGAATACACCGAATATACCGATGATTCACTAATATTTCCACATGAATAAAAATAATTACCCAGACATTCTTCGGTACAATTATTATCTCGAGGTAAGAGCCAGCTATCCGTTTCTCTTTTTTTTATTCGAATATTGGAACATAAACATTTCTTTGCATTGAGCAGTGCATATTTTTGTTCATACTTTGTACATAATTCTAAACAATGACGTGGATGAACATCATCTGCATAATTCAAATAGAATTGAAACATCTTTGATTGCGCAGCAGTGTCGACATGTAGGCAAGTATCATAAATGAAATCTGGATATGATGGTGTTAGTTGAGTGATGGTGCTGTATCTGAACGATAATGGTATGCGTTTGATGTTCATGGCAACAACTGTATTGTTATTACCACAATATTCATGTTGGTTACCTAAAATGACAAATTATTGCAGATGCGTGTTTTCAGCGGTACAATCACATCCATATAACTCGAAATCGAGAGCATAACTCTTTCTACGCCAAGAAAATAACAAAGAACTATGTATTGGTAAATTTGTCTATCGGATTTATTCACAGAGACAGATCTGTGTGCTAACTATGAAAAATCCTAGCAGCAATGGCCATGAAATTCATACTCATATTGAGTAATTGATCTAGTCTGGCATGTCGGATCATCTTTATAAGGGTGTTGCTATGGAATCGAATCTTAGAATGTATTAACGAGTATTGTTATTGTATCAAAATTTGGCACTAATGTCATAAAAAACATTAACGCATCAGGGATACTCCTACATAAAAGATGTCATAGAGCAAAATTATCTTGACATTCATATTTATATAGCTTTTTTCTATTGAAACAAAATTTCGGTTAACATGCATTCTCTTTGTCAGGCTTATCTCAACTTAATTTGGCAGTTCAAATGAACTTTTCTCGTTTAAAACAAATAGTAAGGCCGAAGATACGAAATACATTTTATATGTCTTTCAATTAGATAAATAATTCAGCTAACGTATTTATCAGATGCACAACGTCTTTCTACCCACAATTCTCAGCCACGAACCTAGCAGTATGCGCGACAAATTTAGCAGCTTCTGGCTTATAGATTGAATTGATTATTTGAATATTCAGCTTAAGTTCTAAGCAAAATAGCAAGCGGGACAAGCTTTGATATTTGCGGGTCATTTGAAAAAAAGATCTCAAATTCATTGCTTAGTATCTGCACGATAAGAATTCACATTTCGTAACGGTTTAAAATCAATAAAAAACTACCATGCCATGTGAAAATTCTAGAATTTTCGTAATTTCGGATGTCCCAGAATAAATTACCATGTTTGTATTTTTTATATTTCTCCTTTCGATTAATTTTGATGGGACTGATTTTTTTCCGAAAGATTTGCCGTTCAATTCTCTTCAAAAAAAGATGTATTGACAGTTTGTTGCACAGTCTGAAGGTGCAAACTGCCAAAATGGAGCAAAAAATAAAAGTAAATGAATTAAAAAACAGTTTTTTCAGTATTATTTCATAAATATTTATGAGTGAGAGAAAATATAGTTAAATTAACCATTGTGTAGGCCTTAATAAGCTCTATTTTTTTATTATCATCAAAACAAAATTTCAGTTAGAATTGAGAGCGTGAGAATTTCATTCTTTTTTTGCTAATTTTTCAAAAACTGACAATTTTTCAAATAAATCATTTACACTTTTCGATTGAACAAATAAAGTCTAGTCAAACTTGATTGATTCAGGCTCTTTTTGTTTTTAATTTCTCTTGAAAACCAATGCTTAATCGCTATGGTTGAATCTCTTCAGTTTAAAACAAAGAGATTTTTGCGCAACTGTACAAGAGCACGTAAAGCGTTTTGCTATTTTTCACATGATTGCCATCAGGCTAATCTTTGGGTCGGATATTTAGATTCAAATGATTTTCACTCTATACGAGGATATAGAGCATATTTAAAACAACGAAAAGTATACTGAAACCGTGTTACGGTGCTTGTGAAATCATTCGAAAAGCCTAGTTCTACTCTTGAATATATGGGAGAAAATAGGTCTATTTTTTGCTCCATATTGGTAGTTCTCACGATTTCTTTTGGCATTTTGCACCTTCAGACTCTGCAGCAAGCTGTCAATAAATCTGTTTTCGATAGAGAATTGCACGGGGAATCTTTTGGGGGGAAAATCAGTCTGATCAAGATTAAACGAGAGGAGAAATAGTAAAAATACAAACAAACTAATTTATTCTGGCACACCCAATAGTATGACTTCAGAATTCATATTGCGCAGATTTCGCTAAAATAGTGAATCTTTCAACCGATAAAAGGGGCTGAGAATGATACCTAGGAGATGTTTACCAACAAAAATATAATCAAGTTTCGACGCATGATTCAAATGATTTAACTTTAGAAACAACATCAACATTAAGCATTTAAACATACCCGGACAAGGATTTCCGCAATGCTCTTTTCGATACTTTTCATGGTGTGATATAATTCTCGAGGTATGTGTAAGAAAAGAATTCAAGCAATAACATTTATTCATTTGTACAACAGCTACATCTACTGTTAATTCTTTACAAACAGATAAACATAATTCATGCGTTAAGTAATTTGATATCATTGCTGGTAGTCCAAGTGTCAACGGTTTATCATAACAAACAGGACGAAATGGAATGCTTATTTTTGTTCTTGATTTACATAAAACATGTACTGGTCTTGAACAATTATGAATTTGAGTAGTTTTTAAAATAGAAATTCCTTGTTGATCTAGCACTGGTCGTGTGACAACTATACAGGAATCATCGCCGATGGTTGAGTTGTTATTTTCATTTGAATTTATCATTTGAAATTCACTTATTGACGAAGAGTTAATACTTTCAACAAGTATTAGTGGTGATACTTGTGTTTTGACGGGTAGCGATGACATGCTTTGGACGTATATTGGAAAGCTGTCACTATTTTCTTCAACATTGGATGCATCTAAGAAACAACGATTCGAATTATATTGAAAACGACTTGCTTTCTAGTACAGAACTTGCTTTTATTCATTCGAAAAATTCATTTGTTTTATGGATCCTTCATTTTAACTTTAAAACTGTTCAGAAAAGAAACTGGACGATACATGATTCAATATGGAATCCTTGTGAAGGTTAAATCAGAAGCATAGACGTTTTCTTCTTTTGTCCGGGTCGAATTAGAGAGTTAACTCCTCCATTACGGATTCGAACGAACTATGCTCGCTTCAATCAATTTGAATTTTAGTAGTAAATTTTTCAAATATTCGTATGTGTAAATAATCTGAATGTCCGTTCTATTTAAAAAAATCAACATAGGCATTTTCTTCCACTGATGAACTGAGCGTTGTTATATCTTTAAAATTTTTCGTCGTTTAACAATTTGTCACGATAAATAAAAATCAAGATTTATTGCTCAATCGCAGTAGCACTTTATTCAGAGAACGTTTTTGAGTATACAACAATTCTTCAATGATATCATGTGATTCTAACTAAATAAATAGAATCCGTAGATCATTTGAAGCATTAACGCCAAGCTAGTAGCTGTTACCTACATTGACATATGTATACGTTCGAGATATGCCACGCATGTCAGAGAGAGAACCGATACCGGTTCGGCCAGTACCCAGATCGGTTCCATCTCTGGCGCATTCTACTTTTGATGCTTTCATTTAAATCTTACATAACCTCAGTTGAAATCTACGTATTACAATACTCTAAGAAAAGGCTTCCCTCCGTTGCGGACAAATACGTGCAAAAATTAGCAATGACTAAAATATTTTACTTGTATCAAGTAGGTAAAAACCAAGATGTGTTTGCCATCGGGATGTATATTGAGCGATTTCACCTGTGAGATACTCACTGATAAATTTCGTTGCTTCACTGGCAAATTTTTTCCTATCTTCATCATCATCATCATCGTCATCAAGCGCTGTATGACTTTCTAACAAAGATATCTCTTTTTTAAACTCCGATATATTAATGCAACTATTTTTTGCTTTTTGTATTGTTTTAGCTTCATTTGACATCCGATAGCAATTTCCATTTAAATCAAACCAATTTGGCATGCAGCTTGTTCCCATCTGATTAATACGATAATAACTATTAAAACTAATCAATATATCATCAAGTGGTGATTTCTTATTGATAGCATATGTTATACATAAACGATTTGATGATATATGTGAAGACAATGTATATGAATTTTCACGTAAACAGCCATTTTTTAATACATAATTTGTAGTAAAGTTTCCAGTAGAATAATTCATATTGGAAATATTCGACTTGGTTCTATTGTCTGTTGTGTTCGTTTGACATTTCCACGAAGAATCAATAATAACAACATCATCGAAATCGACTGAAACAATAGACTTAGTTAAATTTAATTTTTTAATCACTTTCAGAAACATATCCCATGTTACATTTCCATCATAGACGTATTTCATTGCTGGCGACGAGCATACAGCAGTACGAATTTTTTCTGTAAACATACATTGCTTCAATTCTTTTATATAAACAGAATCGGCCGGACATAAATCATTTAATTTATATATCGCCCATATTCTTTCATTTGTTAATGAGCCGCATTGAAACTTCTGTTTAACTTTTGAATCGCCCACTATGTTCTCACAATATCGATCGCACTTATCATTGGGTAAAATTGCTAAATACGATGACCGATCGGAGTTTTCATTTGATTCCTTCGGCATTATGCACGAACATTGATTATTATCATCATTGAAAGCTAGAAATAGATTATGACGTTTTACTATTTTATTATGAGTAGATTAAATCTTGTTTAGATGCTACTATGAAGTATAGTCTGCACTGAAGAGATATGACCTGATGTTAAGATCAATTATTGAAATTCTCTCGAGAAATAAAAAGAGTGTGAGGTCATACTGTTTACAGAAAAAGAAAGAAACCGACAATAACAGTAGGCGCCAACATCAGTGAATTGATAATGACTCCAGTGCATGTTGTAAGGAAGAACTAAATTATCGTTTTTAATAGTGATAATGTTGTGCTTTGTAAGAATTTATAAGGTGTCTACTTTCATTTAGAATTCGGACCAAATTCAAACATCAGAACGACCAACGTACAGCAACGAAATTGTCTGCGAAATGTACTGCACATTTATTTCACGAAGAGCTTCGTTTTTTTGTGTAGATATAATTTACAATGTTTCCAACACAATAAGTACCGAGAAGAAGCCCAATCTAATCCAAACATTTTATGAAAACTTGATGCAATATTATCAATTAACACACGAAACTATATCGACTCTATGACATAGGGAATCTTTCAGTTATATTGCATTTCTAAAAAGTACACACCAGAGATTCTCTCAGGCGTTAAATTTTTCATGTTCTATGAGAGTGGCTTACTTCGTTATATACAATTACTTTCAAGCTGCTACGATTCATTCTCGAGAATAAGAATTATCTCTCTAACCAGCTGACAGAAAATTCATACGATATGTCACTGAAATATTTATCGAGTATTTCGTGGCCTATATCCACAATAGTTCACGCAGTAAAATAGAATATAGTGATTGAATAACTTATTGAACTTTCCATTCATACGTCTAACTATCCGATGTTTACTGGTCTTGTACAATTATCTCTTACCTATTGATATTGTCGTCGAATTTCGATCTAGACATGTAGCTGCGCATCGTTCTAATCTAGTCAATGGAGATTTAGTAGATAATCCATCGGTTTTAACTTGGAATGTATCATAATAATCAGATCTGTTCCAAAATTGACATGATTCATATTGAATACGATATTCAAGTAAATAAGCATGTCGTGTGTAAAAATCTTCCTCAGCATAAGCTGAATAGGTTTGTGCACCGCCGCATTTTGCATCTGTTTTCACTCGATAGTCACCTGGCTTTCTACATTGTATTGGACAATCGCGATCTTCGTGTCGATCGTAATGCATTATACCACTGCCTGAACATCGACACATTGTGCCTTGAATAAAGACTATCGGTGTTTCACATAAACGAAAACATAAATTTGGTTCCATGTAGGAGCTGGTGAAATAACTATCATATAATACTTGTTGATAGCAGCCCATATAACGATATGCGCCATAAGCTGTATGAGCTGTAGAAATGATGACCATAAGAGAGAGCAGTCTTGAGTACAACATCATATGTTGAAATAATATAAATGATTAAAAAAACAAGTAGCATCGCAAAATGTTTTTAACACGCACACCAAGAAACTAAATATGAGCTGCTTGGTAATCGCTGCGTATCTAAAGATTTAATAACGAGAAACAAAGCATGGAATGACCTTTTACAGCTCTTTATATCGATATTGAATAGCACAAGATACGCGTATGATGTTTTTATGATCGGCAACTTTAACTCGAAAACATCGTTGTATTTTGCTTAGTTCTGTTTGAAATATTTGATTGCTATTTCAACAAATAGCGAAACCCTAATGAAGAAACATAATCGTTGTGGACGCAAATCGTGCTGGATTCATACGCGAAATACGATATAACATTTGTTCTTATCACGAGACAAAGAATTGTAAACATGTTCGTATCGATTTTTGATGAGTAAATGATAGTTTGTTTGATGCAGGCTATGCCAAATGTGCTTTATCTTCTGATCTATGTCCGCGAAAACTTCTTTCATTCAATACTATTTAAACAGAACATCAGATACTCGACAATTGTGAGGAGAGTCTGGCGAGTAAAAACTGAGATATCCTTTCCACGGACTCAAAAATTCATCAATTTTAAAATTAGAAAAACACATTATCGACAATATTTTTTACTCACATTAGTTCGTATCATAGAATTTCCGTAACATGAATGTCGTTGTATGAAAACCATTTCCGAACGACACAGTACATCGACTATCATGAATACGATAACCACGGGGTGATTTATGATCTGTTTCTGTTTTTACAATAGATCATCATCGTTTCCTTCAAAATTCTTCTACCGACTAGGAATTTCCGATTTCTCGACTCTTGGATACAGTTGGTATTCTGCGCATGTCCATCAAAAGAGAAACGCGCTGCTGACATCTTCCATGAAGGCTGGATCTTTTTACATAGAAATCAATCGAATTGTATATTAATCAAATTAAGTCAAACTTTTTGACAGATCTCATCTATTTAAGTACAACAGCAAGACCTGTCGTCTATAGAAAAACCAGCAGTTAGATCAAAATTATTTTAATGTACGAAAAAACAAACTAAAATAATATAATTTATCCAGCATGAACCTGCATTCTGTTCATCTTGGCTATTATTGAATTTTATCGATATTGAGAAAACAATCGCATTAAAGTTGCAAAAAAGAAAAAGAGAAAATTTTTGAAAAGTGCGCTCACAAATTTAAAGAGAAAAATCATTTGAAAAAGCTTCATTTTAAATGACGAAAAACATAATGTTCCTAATGTAAATCAAAATCATTTCCAGTTGACAATGGAGAATAAACGGAATCGTCGTTGTCTCGTACTGTTTGAAGTCTTGTATTATTCTTCTGTTTTAAATAACGATTGTATAATATGTATACCGATCCAGTTAGCATGGCAACAAATAGGGTTACACACAGGAAGAGAGTTAATGGAAAACGTGTACCGGCTGGCTTTGAAGACGTATGCAAATTGAATTGCTTATTCATCGGTGAACTGATATAAATGAATAGAAAGAAAAAGAAAAGTATTAATCAAATTCGAGCAATCCTTCTGAAATAATTATTAGCGTTTGTATTTATAGATAATTCAAATAGAGAAGTTATAATCGGATTTTTACCAGAGTATCAGGCAAGGTACTCGACACTCGTACCCCAGGCAATATGATAATGAAAATAGAACATAGATTTTAGGGATGTACCTTAAGTTAGTTCTAGTGAAAGTTATCAATGCTTTTAAATTCGGCGAAAAACTCTCATTTCTCTGATTAGCAAAAGGCGGGAAACACTTTACTGAGAGTATGTGGAAGAAATTTCTTAAGATCAATTTTTCGATATGTTCCTAAACAAGTAATGGAAAGTGACACTACTTCGAGCTTATTAAAAAATTCTTCTTTATTATAATTACAGATATCCAGCATAGCTACTACACTAACATATTATTCCTCCAAGATTTGTTGACTCGTTTCAAGACCCATGATGCTTAAAGCTTGAAGCCCAGTACTGTTTTTTTTTGGACAAATACTCATGAATGTACATCAAGATTAATAACACTGGTAAGTGTATACTTTCCAGATCGATTTCATCACTAGAGAGTGTATCCAAGCGCGTGAATAGTCTGGAACAATCTATTAAAATACTTAAAAAAAACAAATTCCGACAGAAAATATGTCGATCATATGAAAATAGCGAAGAATGTATTTCCCTATTCAGGTTTTGAAAATATTCTAGAATCTAGCTGAAGAGATCACTAAATAAAGATATGCCGTCTCTTGTTTTTTCACGGACTTACAATTTCATCAGGCAATAAAAAATCATCACCTGAACAACTTTGATTGAAGACTCAGCGAGCAATTTCTGTTTGCAATTCAGAACTTCACAACTCCTTAGAGAAAGAACTTAGCTTTCAGCAATTCAGACGTTTTTCTCGTGAGAACTGATTGCATTCTGAATCGTTTGTGCATATAGCTAACCTTTTCGCTACAACTGTACGTGCTTTTGTTATGGGCGCTTTTTGACATATAACAGTGGCCGATCGATCACAACGTATGTCGTCACATAACACATATTTCCTGTCTTCAGATCGGACATCGACATATGCGCAAGCAGTTTGTTCATTTTTCAATCGTTCTTTTTCCTTCGTTGATAGAATTGATGATGACATTAATTGTCGATAATGACGAAGAAATGTGCTTTCACATGAAAAATAAGGACTTGTGATCTCCATTGTATCCACTACACTACTTGCATTATTAGTGTTGGATTTTTTAATAGTACTATTTTTATTATCATAAGTAACACCAACATGTGCAAAACCGGATGATGTATAACTCTGTTCACGTAAAAATAATAATTTTATCAATTTTATTGCTATAAAATTTTCCGGTATAAACAACGCCGCATTTTCACGTTCACATTGAGATTTTGCCTCTTGCCAAGTTGTTTCGTGAACAATTATTTTATAACAGAATCCATTTACTAGATGATACTCTTTATCACCACCACAAGAATACTCGATTGTTGTATTAACTGAAACAACTGAATCATCACCAACTTCTGTAGAATGAATAAAAGTTGGATCAGATTTCAAATGTTTATCAACACAAACTGGTACAGCGGATGTGGACGAACATTCGTTGGATTCAATGATACAAGGATCATAAGATACTGCATCCTGGATGACCGTCTTTTCAAAAATAACCGCAATACAATGTCGATCAACTGATTCTGAAGTTTTCATTGAGCATTTTGGAATCGAAAAATCTAATGTTGCATCCTTAATTGAGGTGCTTGATGTACGGTCAATCCAAAAGTATTGTACTCGTTTAGGTATTCGTGAAACAGACGAGTAGGGCCATATTCCAAAGTTATCACCAGTTAGCGTAGATTTGGGTACTAAATGTTGAATTTCCAAAGCATCATTTATCTTAGCAATCATACCACCAAATGATTCACAGGAGGATTGTGCATTCGAAAAAGATGTTTTCTTTTCTGTTGCATCAGCACGTACACATGATTGGCCATCTTTAGGAATTGTGAAACCTACAAACATAGTTTGGTTTAATATTTTTCATGGCATGAACTATTCTTGATATTGACTCTCTTACCAGTAGGGCAATGTTTCTGCATCGAGTAGACAGAATATATCGACGAATTATTGATATTGCCACATGAATAAAAATAATTACCTTGACACTCATCCGTACAATTAGTATCTCGAGGTGAGAGCCAGCTATCCGTTTCTCTTGTTTGTATTTGAATATTTGTACATAAACATTTCTTTGCATTGAGAAGCGCATATTTTTGTTCATACTTCGTGCATAATTCTAAGCAATGGCGCGGGTGAACATCATTCGGGCGATTCAAATAGAATCCATACATTGTCGATTGCTTGACTGAGTCGACATGTATGCAAGCGTCATGAATGAAGTCTGTATGTGATGGTTTGAATGTATCAGTGTTGTCGTATATGAACGATGATGTAACTTCATTGCTGTTGATAGCAACAATTGTGTGGTCATTACCACAATATTCATTTTCGTTACCTAAAATTACAAAGCATTGATGCACGTATATTTTTGATGGTGCATTCTCATAAATGTGGCTCGAAATCACCAGCACAACTCGTTTCACGCCAAGAAAATGCAAAAGAGTTTTGTAATCTTGCCGACAAATGTAAGTGCTAACTAAGAAAATCGTTTATAGTAATCCCTTAGATTGAGTTATTGAAGTAACCAGGTACTTCAGATAGTCTTTAAAAGGTTTTTGTTATAGAATCGAATCTTATAATGTATTCATGATTATTGTTATTATATTAAATTGTGGCGCCAATATAGATACAACCAATAAAATGCATAGCCATGCTATGAATGGCATGCAAAGTATTGATTTATTAGGGATATTGGTACATGCAAGATCACATAGAATAAAATTATCTTTTCATCCATATAAACAGTTTGCTTTTTCTACTAAAAAAATTAGCTGAACAGACACTATCTTTGGCAAAATTTTCTGAACGCACTTCTATACACCGAATGACCTTGTTCCATGTAAACCGAATAGTATGACCAAGGACACAAAGAACATTTTCTCCATGCTTTTCAATTATAATATTTATTGGATGCAGGAATTCTTCCTACTCAGAATTTTCAGACGTGAAACCAATGACATGTAAGACAAATCCGAAAAGCTCTACATAGCCGATGACTTATATATTCGATCATAGTTTTAAGAAAAATATCAAACAAGACAAACATTGTATTTTCGGGCCAATTAAAAACAACTGGAATACATTGTTTAGTGCCTGCATGATAGGATTTCACAGCTATGAACGGTTTAAACTAGAAAAAGAGCTGCTATACTCTGGAACGAAAATATGATCGAATTCAGAAGTGCGGTTCAAATGATTTAACCCAGAAACAACATTAGCACTAAGCATTTAAGCATTTAAGCATACCCGGGCAAGGTTTTCCACAATGTTGTTTTTGATACTTCTCATGGCTTGGTTTGAGTATCGAGGAGCGTGTGGGAACATAAATAAAGCAATAACATTTATTCATATGTAGAACAGCAACATTTACTTTTAATTCTTTACAAACAGATAAACATAATTCATGTGTTAAATAATTTGATATCATTGCTGGTAAGCCAAGTGTTAATGGTTTCTCCAAACAAACAGGATGGAATCCTACACCCGGTTTTGATTTTGTTCTACACAAAACATGTATTGGTTTTGAACAATGGTTAATTTGAGTAGTTTGTAAAATAGAACTTCCTTGTTTATCCACCGTCGGTCGTGTGACAACTATACATGAATCATCTTTCACGGTGGAGTTGTTATTTTCATTTGGATTTATCATTTGAAATTCACTTATTGACGAAGAGTTAATACCTACAGCGGGTACCGGTGGCGGTAGTATTATGATTGGTATTGATAGCGGATACATGGAAGCTTCTTCAAGGTTTGCATTTTTTGATTCAATTTTTGATGCATCTAAGAAAGAACTATTTGAATTATATTGAATGCATGCTGAATAGTGCAATATTATTGGCTCACTTCGTGTCTTTTCTTTGAAAACGAACTGTTCTCAACGTATTACTGTTTTCTAGTAGAATATTTATTGTGATTCCCTTGAAAACTTCTCTTTTTTTAAGATTAAAACTGTTTAAAAAAAAGATTGCCTCGTCCATCGTTCGAGATTGGATTAAAAAGTTAACTTTTCTACTAACGATTTGAAGTCTATTAGTAAATTTATCAACGATTTTTAAAGAAACGCAATCTGAACAGCTGCATACTAATAGTTCTAAGAACAAATATGCAGTATGTTAATCGACTTGAACTTTAGACCTTCTATTGTTGTTGTTGTTCATTTAGATATTACACTGTATCGGTTGTCTTCTGCGTATTACCGATTAAAAGAACAGTGTCTCTGAGTTATAGGGAAATACTTCCACAAATAAAAGACATCTAACAGCGACTTTACTTGTATCAAGAAGATAAAAGCCAAGATGTGTTTGCCATCGGGATGTATATTGAACGATTTCACCTTTGAGATAATCACTAATAAATTTCTTGAATTCCTCAACAAATTCGTTCTTCTCTTCAGTATCAAGAGCCAGTCGATCAATTTGTCCGAGGTTTTCCTTTTCTTCAGATTCAGATATACTGAAACAAGTATTTTTTGCTTCTTGTATGTTTTTGGGCTCATTTGACATCCGATAACACTGTCTATTTAAATCAAACCAATTCGGCGGACAGGCCACTATCGTTCGACTTATATAACGATACCTACCATGCAAATGGGGCTCATCATCCAGGGGCGATTTCTTATTCATTGGATATGTTACACATAAATAATTCATTGGCATCCGTGAAGATACTGAATATGTACTTTCACGTAAACAGCCACTGTCCAATACATAATTTACACTGGAGCTTTGCTGAAAATAGTTTGTATCAGAAATATTCGACTTGATTATATTGTCTGTTTTGTTCATTGGGCATTTCCACGAAGAATCAATAATAACATCATCATCAAAATCGACGGAAACGATGGATTTAGTTAAATTAAATTTTTTAATAACTTTCAGAAAGGTATTCCATGTTAAATTTCCATTGTAAACATATTTTACTGATGGTGATGGGCACGAATCAAAAATGTCTGTGTTTGTAAACATACAGTGTTTCAATTCTTTTATATAGACAGAATCGGTCGGACATAAATCAGTTAAGTTATATACAGCCCATATACGCTGATCTGTTGATGAGCCACAGGTAAATGGATGTTGAACTTTTGAATTAGCCACTATATTTTTACAATGTCGATCGCATTTATCAGTCGATAAAATTGTTAAATAAAGTGAACGATCAGAATTTTCATTTAACTGCTTCGGTATTATACATGAACATTGATTGTCATTACCATTGAAACCTAGAAATAGAATATTCTTATGTATGAATAAAATTTTAATATAAAAAAAAGACGCATAGTCGAATTTCGACAGAATTGGCGTTTCGAAAGAATGGGAGATCGGCAAACCAGCAAGAGTTGACCTAGTTGAATTCAGAATGACTCGAGTGCATGTTTTCAGAAAGAATTAAATTACCGTTTTTCATAGTGATCATTTTGTACTGATTTAGAATTCCGATCAAATTACAGATCATAAGAATGAGCGTACAGCAACGATTGTGTATTTGAAATGTACCGCGAATGCATAGGATGTAGAGTTTTCATTTTTGTGTAGATGTATAGTGTTTCTTACACAATGGGTACCGTTTAGGCTTCTAATCCTATCGATATATTGTCGAAATAATAGTCCTATTTCGCTAACGAGTCTCATTCCCAATGTCTGCAGCCTTTATCTGAAAACATTGTGCTGCATTCTTACCGATAGATGTTGTCGTAGAATTTCGATCAAGACATGCAGCTGCACATGTTTCTAATCTATTCAATGGAGATTTAGTAGATAATCCATCAATGTTAACTTTAGATGTATCATAATAATCAGATCTATTCCAAAATTGACATGATGAATATTGAATTCGATATTCAAGTAAATGAGCATGTCGTGCGTAAAAATTTTCTTCAGCATAAAGCGAATACATTTCTGTACCACCACATTTCTCAGTTGTTTTTACTTGAGGATTACCCGGCTGTCTACATAGTGTTGAACAATATCTGTCTGCGTGTCTATCGTAATGCATCAGACCACTACCTGAACAGCGACATACTGTGTCTTGGATAAAGATTATCGGTGTTTCACATAAACGAAAACATAAATTTGGTTCCATGTAGGAACTGATGAAATAACTATCATAAAATACTTGTCGATAGCACCCCATATAACGATATGCACCGGAAACTACATAAGTTGCCGAAATGATCATCAAAAGTGAGAGCAGTTTTGAGTACAACATCTTATGTTGAGATAATATAAATGATCAAAAAATCAAGTAACATCACAAAATGTTTTTAACACGCACAACAAGAAACTAAATATGAGAGGGTTGGCAATCACATCTTATCTAAAGGTTGATCGCGAGAAAGGAGTCGACAAGTGGCCTTTTACAGCTTTTGTTATCGATATCGAATAACACAAAACGCGAGGATTGAATTTTTTTATGTTGGAGGACTTCAACCCGAAAACACTATCGTATTTTGTTTTGTTTCGAAAAGTAAGGAATACCTAGTGGTAGCCAGGAATGGCGTAGTGGTTCTATACATCTGATTTAGTCAGATAGCAGAAGGTTCGATTCCTTCCCCTGGCAAGGTGTTTTAGTTTCAAAGATATTCGATAATGAAAGAATAGTCAAGAAAGAAAAAACAATTCAATACACGTGGATTCGTCATCGACGCCTCTCCAGTTTGTTTGTTTTCTGTTCTTTGTATTCTGTTCTCTATATGTTGTCGTTATCTTTCTCTCTTGTACGCGTCCGAAAAAAACTGTACTGAAAATCATAAAAAAAATAGGATGTCACGAATAAATAGAGCAAAATTTTAAAACAAAAATACCTAGTGGGGCACTGTGGACGTTGTTACTACAAAACATATAGGATTCATATGTGAAATATGATAAAACAGTAGTTCTTATCTCCTCATTTAGCTATGTGTAAGAGTGCCTCAAGACTCAGAAATAAGAGTTATTTTTCACTTGCCAAAAGAATTATCAACTGTAAAATATTATGCACAATATTTTTCACTCAGTCACTCATTTTCATCAAAGAATTTCTCAGACATGAATGTCTCTATAGGAGAACTACAGAATAATTGATCTACCGACTCAGAAAAACCATTTTGATTCCAGCGAGTTTTATTTTCAAGCATATGCACAGATAAATCTCTTTTCAGATTTAATCAAGGTTGATCGATATTTTCTAGCGCATTAAATAAATTGTTTAGAATATTTCGAGAGTAAGAGCGACGCATTTAAGAGCGTTAAAATTTATTAAACCAACAGTCATATTTGCATATGATACTGATGATAACGTGGTATTAGAATGAATTATATAGTAGCTACTTTAAAAATCGTAATATGACTCATCAAAGAGCTGATAAATTTTTTATTCTCTAGCGTACGGCAAGAGTCTAATAACGATGTCGTTGCTCAGAGGAACATTATGACGACGAGACAATAAAATCCAACAGAACATTCATAATGAGTTTATAGACAATATAATTATGAGTCGTCAGTAAAAAAAAACGCTAGTGTGAGAGTTTACTAGAGAGAATTTGGTGCATCTCTCACAAGCGAATGAGTCCGAACAGAGACATTCAGTTGATGGCGAGCATACATGAGTTCTTCGAGGTATCGCCCGACGTTTGAGTCCGAATGACCAACAATAAGTTTTGCATATTGAACGAGAAACTCTAAGGAAACCAGAAATTGCTCAAATCCAATCCGAATAAATGGATCGAAGCAGGCTTGCGGAGCGAAAACATTGTACATAATTTGTCGTCCACGTAAATATTGTCTAGCATATGGCTCGTCAATGCCTTTTGACCGCGGATTAGCATAATCTTGCAGTGATTTCATTACTGACACATCGTCAGTCATCACAAAAATTGATGAAAATGTTTGATTTCGTCGTTGTTCTTCATCGACAATTCCTTTGACATACATGGAAATATTACGCCATCGTTTGTGTTTTCTCCAAAATGAATCTTCACGCGCTTTATCACTGTAACGATGGCGAGGACTCAGTTGAGTCTATATCGTAATGACAAACTGGATAGAGGTGGAGTAGCTTACCGCTACTCTAGGTAATGATGTTTATTCGTTTATTCACATATCCAGAGTGTAACGACACAACTAGAGAGTGTCGCCTATGCCCGTCGACATGATGGTATATTGTGTCATCTGACATCTCTAGAGTGTCCCAACTTCATACATAACACACGTATATATAGGAGAGAGATAGAAGAGAGACAAGAGAGAGAGATATTACACCAATGGAAAGAGAACAGAAGGAAGAGGAAGGAGAATCATCGAAGCGTGCAATCAATATCGGCACAATCACCACGACGGATAAATAAACCACCTAGAGCATCTAAAGATTGTCCATTTTTGTCATTTAAATATGTTGACCAATGATCGACAAGAAGATGCGTCAGTTGACGAATTCGTGGTGCGGGTTGATGGAAAAAACGTGCAAACATGTAATAAAGAAACGATGAAAATAAACGATCTTGCCATGTTACTTGATAGGATTTACCTGGTAAATTGATCGCTGATTTTCCCCATGGTCGATTACGTGATTTCCATGTGTTGAGATAAACTGAAGATAACGATGGTTCATGATACATATGTTCGTATGTATGATTAATTAAGTATGCAAAAGAATAACTGTAGTCAAGAGGCCCGCGATTATAATCAAATAATGCGCGACGATGAGGTATATGCTCATAGCCAAAAGCCCACACAGTACTCTTGTCTAATAACCTGAATTTGACATTCATTTTACGCTGATTTTCATACAAAAGATCGTCTATTTTTGATACAGACATCGAATTTTGATTAGCCCCACGTAGACGCTTTCGAATAGGTTCCAATCGGGAATGGCGAATAAATTTCGAACATGTTGAAATAGGATCGAAATAGCGAACTATACCTTCATTGAGAAAATCATCACGGCCTGCATTCGAAACTGAAAAACGATAATTAGATAGAAGAGCCATCCATGGGCTGTATAGTGTTTGACCAAATTGTTCAAGAAAACGGTGAACGCGACTAAAAAAACCCCATCCCTGTTGATTAATAATGAACAATGGTCGCTCGAGACATTCATCAATTATTTTATCATTTGATCTACTATCGTCAATAGTCTGTTTTTCTAATAAATAGGTATACATTTCACGTTCGGCAGCTTCATTCCAGTGTGGATCACCATACATATCGAGCCACAAAATCGGTGGAGATGATGACAAACGAAAATTGGCTTCGGAATAATTCAATTTAGTAGATATTACATTCGGAATTTGGGAAACTGTTTTCTTGCTATAACGATATTCATTGTTACGAAGTTCGATTGATAAAGTTTTTTCCAGCAAGTGGGATTGATCTGATTGGATCGATGGTAAATAAAAGTATCCGTTGTAAAGAGAACGTAAAAATGTAGGTCTACTCCAAACAAAAATTAAAACAATGAATAATAATAGATATATAATGTTGTTGATCCTTGTCTTACGAGTAAGAATAAAATTCATACGATACATTGCAAGTTGTTTACCTTAGTACACTATACCAATAAAAAAGAGTAACATTACACGATTTTTTTGAAGATTGCACCGAGATGGTACCTGGATCACTTCAGAGAATTTTTGAACAAATTGTTTCCTAAGAATGATGTTTGAAAGTAGGACTATGAAAAATAAAAAGGAAAGCAATATGCGAATTTCCGTCAATGTTTTCTATGACATAGAACAAGTTCTATAGGCACACGTATCTTCTATGAATGCACTATACAGATATTAGCTTAGGTGTATATTGTTCAAGGGGGAAAGTGCTGACTCCAAGCACCAAATTTTACGATAAAGTGTCGAAGGTGCTGGACAGGTGCTGAAGATGCTGAAACATGCTAAGGATGTTAGTAGTTGTGAAAAAGGAACAGTAAAATAAAGGAGTGGTATACGACAGGATGACAAAATTTTCTGTTAAACTGATTGTTCTCCGGCAGTCTTGGCGAATACACTAATTGCATGATCAAAAAAGAGGTCTGCCAAATTAGGCAGCAGCTACCGGGAGTTATTTATTTGGGATTTATTAGGATCTTTTAATAAATCCCGGTATTTATTTATTTGGGATTTATTAGGATCTTTTAATAAATCCCGGTATTTATTTCTGTTTCGAGATTTATTGAGATTTATTGAGATCTATTACGATTTTATTTTATTTTATTTAAATTG